TTCTACCATATTGTCTGCCATTATTGCTATGTCATCCGCGTAAGCTTGTATTAAAATTTCTTTCAAGTGGTTAATTGAGACACCTCTAACCCACCTATCAATTAAGTATTTTTCCAAGTCAGCTATATATAAATTGAAAATAAAGGGACTCAACGTTTCCCCCTGCATGACCCCTTCAGTAGCTTCAATTTGATCCGAATTACCCTCCTTCCCTTTGATGGAGACTCTCGCGTTCGAGTAAAGACTCATCAATAATTTTATAAATTTAGATCCCACCCCTAGCTTATATAATTTCTTCTTTATTAGAAGATGATTCAAGGACGGAAACGCGCCTTTAAAGTCTATGAAAAGCACAAACAATCTCCCATTTTTTAAGTTTATTCGATTTTGGATCATTGCATTCAGAGTAAATAAGTTGTCTATGCAACTTCTTTTTTCTCTGAAACCTGACTGCGATTCAGGGATTAAGTTGTTCATTTGAGTCCATTCATTGAGTCTTCCCGAAAGAACCTGCGTGAAGAGTTTGAGAATGCAGTTCAGCAAGGCAATAGGTCTATAGTTTGTGAGATCTAGTTTATCTCCTTTTTTGTGAATCATGATTATATCCATAACTGACCAAGACCGAGGTATGCATTCGTTGTTCATTATTTTTTTAAATAATTCTAAGATATAATTGACTCCACTTTCAGGCAGATTCTTCAGGAACTCGTACGAGACTCCATCCGGCCCTGGGGCCTTATTGAATTTACATTTTTTAAGACTTTTGAAAATTTCCTCTTTTGTAATTGGGGAATCCATAATTTCATTACTATACTCCGAGTCGTTCAACAGATAGTTGGCGGCACATCTCGGGGGGTAAGTTTCTTCAAGGAATTTACTCCAGGATTTCAAATCAATTGGGTTCAAAGAATTAGATTTACGTCGGGTATTATTGATAATTTTCCAGAACGATGTAGGATCTTTTGCTGAGGCTAAAATTTCAATACGGTATTCATTATATGCTTTTTTCTTTTTTTCTAATAAGATAACATGTTTTTTTTAGAGTATTGTATTCATTAGTTAATTCTGGGGGGAAATTTTGCGATCTACAATCTTTCAACAATTTTTTCAATAACTTTTTACTTCCTAAACAGTCTGAATCAAACCAAGGCTTAGATAGACCTATTTTATTATTTTGATTAGAAACCATACCTAATTTTCTGGCGACATCTTTGATTATATCAACAAAGCATATGGAAGAAGAGTTAAGATCGTCCTCGATTTGTACAGATTTCAGAGACAAAGACATAGAATTCGCGTATTCAATTTCAAGTTGGTCCTTCCATTTGTATTTCGGCTTTAAAATATTAATTTCTTTATCAATATTTAATGAGAGAGCCACCGGGAAATGATCTAAATTAGAGACAATATTAAAAACCTTTAAACTATAAATTAGGTAGGTGCTGAACAAATTTGTCCAAACTAAATCAATTAAAGATTTACCACCCAGTGTATTCATAAATGTAAATGATGCCGGGATATCTCCCGTGGTTCTCCCATTCAATACACGGAGAGACCCACATTCGTAAAAATTACTAAAAATGGTTGCAATGACCGGAAATAAGGGGACTTTTAGCATAATGTACTACAGAATTAGATAAATTTACAAAAGAAATAGATAAATTTGCTACATTGAAATAGCAAGTTTTAATATTTTGTGTAAGAGTTGTAAATGTAGCAAAAATTGATTATATTTTTCTCTAATTTAATTAGACAAAATCTGACAAATGAAAACATTTTCCACTAAAACCTACTATCCACTGTAGTAATTTTTGGTGAGCAAGTGTGGCTAGCGAGTGCAGTCATATGGCGCCTGCATTTCTATTGGTTGCTAACTTCGTCAATCTCCGTAAATGAGCCGATGCCATCCGATCATTGACAGTGACTATGTTTCGCGTATGTAAAATAAATTTGGATATTATCTACAATAATTAAATATAAAGTGAAACGTAGGTCGTTCAGTATCTCAGAAATTGACCATTATAAATTAATAAATTTTGCATTTATTCCTGTCCCAAGAACTATGTCTTATAATAAGTTGTTAAAAGTAAACTGCTTTCTCGTAAGTGCTGTAAATTTTCATCATTCAATATATAAGGAAACAAAGATGTATACTTTCAGTGAAATTCGTTGTCGTGCGTGCAGTTGTGTATTAGTGTATTAATTAACCGCGTCTATACATATATTTATCTATAAATAAACATGTGTGTGTCTTCAAATATTTATCCAAAAAATATATAAGTGTGTGTGTGTCTGTCTGTGTATGTAAAAATCCTTCCAGTTTACCTCCATTAGTCAAGAATTGACGGGAAACCGGCGACAGAAATCCGTATTTTTTCTTTCACTATTTCTTTCTGCATTTACAACGACTATAGTAATTTTACGTACACAATGCTTCTGAGTTTACTACAGTTGTTTGGAACTATTGGACGAAATAGTAAGAAACTTTGATAATTTGGTGAACATTTGTCAGATTAGTGACTTAGTGTAGAAAATAGTAAAAAATACAAAAAGTCCCCTTATTTCCGGTGGTTGCAATGTGAAAATAGTAAATTCTAGTGTGATTTTATACAGAAATTAGTAATCTCGGTCTCTCCGTGTAAGAACATTCCCATACCTTCAAAACTCTTTATTAATTTGTTACCTCTATTGTTTATTTCATTACACTGGTTTACAGTGAAATTGTCAATCGAAAGAAACATTTTTTTTTAATAGTAAGCGTTTTTTGAGTAAGAAAATCATAGTTTTAATTTTTTTCCCTCGTGCAGTTTTTCTGTAGCTTCAAATTTTGCATTTTTGAGGTGCGGCGCCACTTAAACTTACCTGCAGGAGAATTAGCTTATCAAAATATAATAAATGAGGTATCATTGGAAAGGTTATTAAATTACCTTTCGATCCATAGATCACACAACCCACACAGCACCGAAACTTTCCTAAAAATTTATTAAAGATTTACTTACAAACTTCGAAGTATTTACTTGAAAAGTTTAGTGAAAATGTTGTAAAGATTTAAATGTCCCACTTCAATAAATGTTTAGCGTGAAACTTTCCTGAAAATTAAAAAAAAAATTTCGCCTACTGCATATAGGCGAAAATTTAATTTAAATTTTCAGGAAAGTTTTAAGTTACATTTTCGCTTATAAGAAAGAAGTCGAAAATTTAATTTAAATGTTCAGGAATGTTTTAAGTTAAACTTTTAGGAAAATTTGACTATAAACATTTATTTAAGTGGGACATTTGAATCTTTACACAATTTCCACTAAACTTTGCAAGTAAATTTTTCGAAGTTTGCAAGTAAATCTTTAATAAATTTTCAGGAAAGTTTTGGTGCTGTGTGGGAATAAAATTCAATAAAAATTGAGAAAGTTACAGTCGATTAAAGATCAAATTTCATGCCAATTTTAATGATTTTTTGACACTTAAGTAACTTCTACTATTTTTTTCTACATCAAACAGGAAAAAATGTTTAGGTTTTAATTTTTTTATTGATAGACTATATAATTACAAAAATTTTGAGCCCTTGTGGACCTCGATTGGATTAAAAATGACAATTCTACACTAAATTTAGTGAACGAAATTACTTTCTTTATTTTTAATATCCCATAAACATTTGCAGCAAAAATTCAAATAATAAAATTTAGTTAAGCCCTAAAGTGACTAAAATCACTAATCAAGGGTTTCTGATGTCGTAGATTTTGAATCCAATGTTAGTTTTTCAAATTTCAAAATGACGGATTCAATATGGCGGACAAGTTTTTAAAAATCGATGAAATTCGTCTTAAATTCGTTACTCAGGGGTTTTCAGGGTCGCTGATTACGAATCCGATGTCAGATCAATTATATTTATAAATAGCAAAATTCTTTGCAAAAATTTAATTATATAAAACAATTTCACGAAAGAATTCAATTTTTTCTTAATTCGTTATAAAAAATGTCAAAGGATTTAATTATTTTTTAAAATTTTAATAAATTCTTCGAAATCATTCAATTATTATTTGTAAATATAGTAAAATTCTTCTTTGCAAAAATTCAATTATTTTTAAAATTTTCAATAAATCCTTTGAAACAATTCCATTATAGTTATAGATAATAAAAATCTTTGCAAAAATTCAATTATTTTCAAAAAAATTTCACGAAAGAATTCAATTTTTTTCTTAAGAAATTTCAAGAATTTTAATAAAATTTAATAATTAATAATGTTTAGTTTTAATTATTAACAAACACAATTATTTTAAAAACTTGAAAGAAATTGTTCATAAAATTCAATTATTTTTAAGATTTTTAATTAAAATTTTTAAAAAAACTCCATTCATTTAAAAAAAATTCAAAGAAATTCTGCAAAAAGAGTTTAATTAGAATTATCAAATATTTTAATATATTTCTTCTCGAGAATTAAATTTTTTTGAATTTCCATATATAAAAAAATTGAATATAACAATGTTATTTTTTTAGCATTTTCAACCTAAGAACAATGTTTTCTTTAAAAAGAAATGCTTCAAAAATAATAAAAATCATTTTTTTCATTCGTCAATTTTTGTATGAATAATACAAAAACATATTTTCTACAAAATTACGCATAAATTTTAAAATCTATCCAATTTTTAAGAAAAATAAAAATCCAAAAATGGTCAGAATATTTTCTGATTGATTTTATTTTCTGACAATTGATTTCTTCTCTAAAAATTACTATAAAAATATAATTTTATGGAAGATTTAAATCATTTTCTTGATATATAGTTAAAAATGTATAGTTGAAGTCTCCCCTTAACATTTTTTTCTTCTATAATAACTTTCAAGAAATAAAAATCGTTCAGAGTTAAAGTCTCTAACATAAAATACAAGACTCCGGTATTTCAAGGCTGTAGAGATTTATAATTTTCTCTTACACTGTGTATTTAACAGAAAGTTTCCAAGAAAACATTTCCTGCATCCACGTGTGTATTTCCGAATCTCTTGTCTCTAAAGTTCCCGCAGCTGCCGTTGTATATAGAATATAATATATTTGTCAATAGATTTCCAAGCTACGAGGTACGACGACAATAATAATTCATTTTGAGGGGATTCCGAGTTAAAGGCAAGCAAGGCATGTAGTCAGGCAGGCATTAGTTTTCCTCTACGATCAATGTTTCTAGAGTCACGGTGCACAGCTGATACACAAATAATGTTCTCTGATAACGAGTCATAAAAAAAGCGGTGACTCCAATCAGATTATATTTCTATATCATTCAATGAATGACAGTGCATTCATATTGTTAAAAAAACATTAGGAAAATATTTCAATAATTATTAGAGAAATTAGAAGAGAAATTATTCATTTTTATCCGGTGTTTTTTTTTAGAAAAGTCACAAATAGTTTTTATTGTAGACAGATTTTTTTTCAAAAAAAGTGCGTGAATTTAAAAGTTAATATTATTCAATATTGTTGAATAATTATTGCAATTATGGAGAATAATACGAAAATAAAAGACAATATTTTATACGGTCCTCCGTTTGAAAAAGAATTTCCCTATGAATCAATTGGGGAATATTTTTTGGAAACCATGGAAAAACACGGTCCTGCAACAGCACTGGTGAGATAATAATCTTGTAATTATTTTTTTAATTAGATAATAATTTTTTTTATTATTTACATTTCTATATTGAGACAATTTTTTTATTTATCAAATTATATTATTAAGGTTAAATAATTTAATTATAGACATACCGACCCACTTTTACAATAATACATTTTTCTTTAAATTCATTAGCTGTTATTTATTTAATTTCAGATGGTTCATCTAAAAGAGTGCAGGGAAAAAATGCTCTAAAAAATTAATTAACATTCAAATAATTTATAAACTATTATTATTAATAGTAAGATATTAGAAGAAAAAAAATTAATTTGCAAGAAAAAAATTTCAAAATAAATTTATTTGTTTACCTATACAATTTACATCAAAATTTTATGTTTGAGAAAGTATCATTCATACACAATTTTTTTTTGTTAATCAAATTTTTTTAAAATTTTTTCTTCTATCAATAAAAAAAAATTTTTTTTGCTATAATTTTTATAGAATTTTTAGAGTTTGTATAGAAAAAAAATTACGGTTGGGGTACATTTTTGTAAAACGTATTTTTTATTTTTTAATTTTCTAAAACTTTTTTTTCTAATAAAAATGAATTTTTAAAAAACTTTTTTCTAATGAAGGTGATTTTCTAATTTTTTTTTTCTAATAAAGGTCATTTTCTAAAAATTTCTTTTTCTAATAAAGAAAATCGTAATTAACAAATAGAAATTATAGGGATTTTTTTCCTAAAGATATTTAAAATTTTCTAAAAAGATGTTTTATAAATATATATTAATTTTGAAAATTATGGTATAAAAGTGATACAAATTATTATTTCTTATTTTCAAAGAAGAACAAAATTTTGTTAAAAAATTGTGTTTAGAAATAGAAATTTTGCAAAATTTTTTCTTCTTTCACAGAAAATACTATTCATAATAAAATTATAATGTCTAAAATGTTAATATATATTTTTCTTTTGAAAGTGTTAAATTGAAACAAATTGATATCAATTTGATCCACTTTCTTATCTATTTGAAACTATCAAGAAAACTGTGTTATTACATTTATAGTCAATAGATAATTTTATTTATTAATAATCTTAGTTTGTATATTCAATTTTTTGTCTTTCATTTATTATTTATTTTACATCATATTATTGATACTTATGCCGAGAAAAAAAAGTTTTCAATTTTAGAGGATTTCTCTTCTTTTGCAGCATTTTTTCTCTTACATATGGACAATAAAGTTTTCCATTCAAATTGAGAGGATTTTCCTAATTTGCTATTAAATGTAGTTTTTTTTAAACAATTTGAAGCTGCGTGCAAAAAAACAACTTAAAAATCTTTTTTCTAGTATAAATTTGTTTCATTTTTAGAGAAATTATTTCAAACAAAGAAGAAAGATTAAAAGTAATCTTTTAGCCCTTTAAAGCCCGAATTATTTCTACCGATTCGATTTCTACCAAACTTGGTATATAAGGGTTTTCTGGGTCGCTGATTACAAATCTGAAGTCAAAATTCAAAAATTCAAAATGGCGGATCCAATATGGCAGATGAAAAAATTTCATATTTTTTATATGTTTAATCATATATATATATTAACCCAGACAGCACGTAATGTTGCAGCAAGCTTGTGGCAAGCTTGCCGCGTAAGATTACCAATATTGCCGAGCAAGCTTGCGGCAATATTGTGGCAAGCTTCAAATGTCCCACCTACAGGAAGCTTGTCGCGTAAGCTTGCAGCAATATTGCCTTGTAAGCTTGCTGTAATATTGCACGGCAATATTGCCGCAATGTTGCACTGTAAGGTTGTGGTAAGGTTACACGTAAGGTTCTTGTAAGGTTGAGGTGAGGTTGTGGTAAGTTTACAAATTATGGAAAAAAATTAACAAAATAATTAATAATTTAAATAATTAATAAATATTAATTAAAAAAATGTTAGGTATCAATGTATCAATGTTAGGTATCAAAAATATAGAAGAGCAACAATCTTCATTTTTTAATTAATATTTATTAATTATTTAAATTATTAATTATTTTGTTAATTTTTTTCCATAATTTGTAAACTTACCACAACCTCACCTCAACCTTACAACAACCTTACGTGTAACCTTACCACAACCTTACAGTGCAACATTGCGGCAATATTGCACGGCAATATTACAGCAAGCTTACGCGGCAAGCTTCCTGTAGGTGGGACATTTGAAGCTTGCCAGGCAATCTTACGCGGCAAGCTTGCCACAAGCTTGCTGCAACATTACGTGCTGTCTGGGAATAAGAATGATAATAACAAAAATAATATTTTTCATAATTCTATTTTGGATGAATATTTCTACATTATTAAATATTCTTGAAAATATGGATTGAAAATTCCCCATATATTTCGTGGAATGAACGAAATATTGTTTGAGAATAATTAATTTTGTTAAATTATTTTAGTTCATGTTATAACTATAAATGAAATATCATAGTAAATATTTATATTTAATGTAGGTAGGTACGCACTAAAAGAAATTAAGAATATTTAATCCAAAATGACTGTTATTAAATATTTATTAACTTGAATCGAATTATTTTTATGTAAATCAAATAAATTGTATTTGAATAAATAATGTCAGTGTATTTGAAGCAAATATTGTTGAAGCAATATCATTTATAAGTTATACACGGAGAGAAATTTCTGTTAATATTTACGGTGCTGCCACCTGAAACTGTTCAAAGTACATTCTGGCAGTTTTTACCGTGCTGCCTCTACCCAATGGTAGGGTGACCAGACGTCCTCCTTTGAGGAGGATTGTCCTCCTTTTTTAGTAGCTGTCCTCCGAAAATAAAAAGTCCTCCTTTGTCCTCCTTTTTTGAAATAGTTCTGTGTCTCATGTGTAATTCATATGTATTGAACTTTTTAATAACATCAATAATTATTGTTTTATAGTAAGTGGGGACCTTTTTTTTGCTTATTAACCTATATTCTGGTGGCTGTCCTCCGAAACCATTTTCAAAATCTGGTCACCCTACCAATGGGAAGTAAACGATTGGTTCAATAATGGGCCATGCTTGGCGAACTCCGTTCCATTATTGGAACATTAATGGCAACCATCATTGGACTACCAATGGTTTAAACTTGGGATGATATCACGCTACTGCCAATGATCGGTAGCGAAGCATTGGGCCAATATTAGTTGCCAAGGAATTGCCAAGGAAACAAAATCGATTTTCAAAAGCTTGATTTTTTATTGGCAGCCAACAAAAAACCAAGGTTTTGAAAATTGATTTTTTTAATTATTAATTAAAATTTATTTTTAAAAAATATATTTTTCAAAAATTTATTTAAAAAATATATATTTTTTAAATTAATAGAACATATTAATTTAATTTTTCACCTCTAGTAAAACAAAGGTGAAAGACTGATAAAAATTTCCTCACCGTATATCTCACAGTGGAGGGATGACTGTGAATGTCTTTGCGGGAGAGGAGCAGGTACTTATAGAGTCAGTGAAACAGGTCACTTGTACTGGCTATTTGTTAAACAAGAGGCCATTAAAACAACAAGAAGAAGAAGAAGAAGAAACAGGTCACAAGCGAGAAGAAATCACTAGCATGCACTCTGGCGGCGCTTGTCGGAACTGTTTTCTGGCGCGCATGCATATCCTGACATTATTGGCACAGCGCTTGGCAACCAACGTTGCGCCACTTCCGACAAGCGCCGCCAGAGTGCATGCTAGTGATTTCTTCTCGCTTGTGACCTGTTTCACTGGCTCTATATAAGTACCTGCTCCTCTCTCGCAAAGACATTCACAGTTATCCCTCTACTGTAAGATATAAAGTGAGGGAATTTATCAGTCTTTCACCTTTGTTTTACCAGAGGTGAAAAATTAAATTAATATGTTCTATTAATTTAAAAAAATATATATTTTTAAAATAAATTTTTGAAAAATATATTTTGTAAAAATAAATTTTAATTAATAATTAAAAAAATCAATTTTCAAAACCTTGGTTTTTTGTTAGCTGCCAATAAAAAATCAAGCTTTTGAAAATCGATTTTGTTTCCTTGGCAATTCCTTGGCAACTAATATTGGCCCGATGCTTGGCTACCGATCATTGGCAGTAGCGTGATCATCCCAAGTTTAAACCATTGGTGGTCCAATGATGCTTGCCAAGAAAAAACCATTGGGCACCAAGCATGGCCCATTATTGAACCAATCGTTACCATTGGCAACTTCCCGTTAGGTATAATTTTGCATTACAGATTGTAGGGGCGGCACGGTAAAAACTGCCAGAATGCACTTTGAACACAGTTTCAGGTGTCAGCACGGTAAATATTAACAGAAATTTCTCTCCGTGTACATATTATGTAGTTTAAAAATATCAGAATACATTTAAATATAAATAAGTAATTAAGTACTTTTTTCAAGTATTCCTTTTACATAACTTTATACTTGTTTAATGTTTCGATGAACAAATGATATAGTGAATAATAGTTTTTTATATATTTTTTTTAATTTCAAAGTTTCTTTATAATTATTTATTCAACGGTAGAAATGATTTTACTCTAGTTTATACTTTTTTTCATCTATTAATAGAATTTTTAAATTAAAAAATAGTGTTATAAATTCAAAAATCTCAAAATGTTATTAAATTTTTAGCTCTTCTTACATTAAAATTAAAAATATTTAGATTGATTGGAAATTTTTAACTATACACGGAAAGATATTTCAAAATTTACTAAAAATGAGAATACATTTTTTTTTAAATATTGTTGAAAAAAGGGGGCTATTTAGGGTACAATCAGAGTTAGTTTGAACTTTTGAAATTTCAATACGAAGACTTACTAGTAAAGGAAATGAAAAACCGCTACCAAGTTATATTCTTGACGTTATTATCTTTTCACTACCTCATGCAGATAATAATAACGTATCAGTAAAATATGTATTTAAAAGTTTCTGAAGAAAAAAGTTAAGAGAATTATATTTTTCACAATTTTTAGTTTTGGAGAATAACGATAATTTCGTTATTTTTGATCGTATTATGTTCAAAATAAATATATATCCAAATACTCAATTAAAAGAACTTTTTGTAAAATTCAATTAATCATTTTTTACCATGTAATTAATTAATAGGCTTCACAGTCTGTCCCCTATTTCCCTAAAAGTCCCCTTTTGCTTCCTTATAAGGAAGCTTTGCATTCGTGACAATTTTCAATTTTTCAAAAGAAGGTTATATGGACTCATTTTCATCTATAACATATGTATATTCAATTCTGAGCAAATGTCCAGATGTATGTGTGTGTGTATGTGTGTGTGTGTGTGTGTGTATGTCACAAAAATTGTGTACAAATTATCTCAAACAAATTTTGATGGATTGTCTTGAAATTTTGCAGGTTTATTGCAGTCATTAATACCTAAAATCTGACACAAGGATTTTCAAAAATATCTAAAAAAAAAAAATTTTATACAATTTTTTTAAAATTCAAAAAAAAATTTTTTTTGTATTTTTGTAAATAATTTTTTTATCTGTTAATATTTTAATTAATTATTCTCAAAATTACATTCCTGACAAGAAAACGAATCGATTGATGTATACAAAGTATATTTTTTATCAAAATTTATAAAATTAATAGAAATTTTTCTTTTTCACAAAAAATTCAAATTTTGTATTTTTTCATAATTTATTTAATATTAATATTTTTAAATGATTATTCTATCATAAAAAAAGAAGCAATTTGCATATGAAATAGAGGTGTGTATTTAATCGAACCGAACATTAATCGACTCGACAACAGAAAATTCGAATCATTTCGAATTGCAAAAGTTTGCAAACCGCAATATAATTACATTTAATTTATGAATATATCTTGCTGCATCAAAAAGAAATTTCCTTAAGAAGAATGTATGCTTTGATTGTTATGCTTTTGAAAAATCATAATTTGGTTTTCATGGAGATTTGTACCTAAAATGAACAATTCACGTTAATGATAATTTATTTTTTATAATTATATTGTAAAAAATTATCATAATATGATTATAATATAATTATTATTTGTAAAATTACTTCAAATAATAAAAAATATTGATAATAAATATTAAAATTATATTATTCTTATTATATTATATTATTTTATAATTTTTTTATATTTTTTATATTATTTATTATATTATTTTTTTCATTTTAAAAAAAAATTTAAATAAACATAAATTTAATATTTTAATGACCTCTCAAATCGACTTGTCATTGTTAAATTTTTTAAAAAAATTTTTTAAAAACGAATTTTTAATTTAAAAATTTTTTGATATAACAAAGGTTTTTTACAAGAAAAAATTACTAGAATCTATAAATCATTTATTTATGATAATGTTTGATTAAAATTAGAATAAAGTTTTAAACATAAAAAAACATTGTTATAAAAATAAATTGATATAAATTTTTTATTTTTATACAAAATTGATAAATATTTGTATGAATGTGTGTGTATGTTCCCGATTTTATGGGATAAATTTAATTTTATACATATGTTTAGATGGAGTTTGCTAGAATTTTGTAATTGAATTACGTCACGAATTTATATTTTATATGTTGAGGAAGCTAAATGGTCATGAAATGAACAACTTGTTTATTAATTTTGGTCCCTAAACGTACCCTATTTTGAAAATTTCCCCTATTTTTTTCGTCGTAGGAAATCAATTATTTTCAATAATTTTTAAGTAATTCTGCAAAAAAATTCATTTATCTTGATAACCAACAAAATTCTCCCCATATAATCAATTATTTTAAGAATTTTTAAATAAATTCTTTTCCAAAATTCAATTATTTTGATAATGATCAAAATTATTCTCAAAAATTCAATTATTGTCAAAAATTTTAATTAAATTCTTGGCAAAATTTCAATTATTCAAACAAAATTTAATAAAATACTTTGCACGAATTCAATTATTTTCATAAATAATAAAATTTCATTTACGAATTCAATTATTTTCAACGCAGAATTTCAAATATTTTTAATACAATTTAAAATAAATTCCTTCAAAAATGCAATAATTATTAAAAATGTTATTAAAACTTGTGGAAAGAATTCAATTTTAGGAAACATTCAATTATTCAATAAAACAATCAAATTCGTTACAATAATTCAAATATTTTCATAAATAACATTTAATTCGTCGCAGAAAATCAAATTATTTTCAAAATTTTTTAATTAATTTTGCAAAAGAATTCAATTATCTAGATAAACAACAAAATAACATAAATTCTTCCCATAAAATCAATTATTTTAAGGAATTTTAATAAAATTCTTTTCCAAAATTCAATTATTTTGATAAATATATATTCATCACAAGAATTCAATTCTTTTGAAAAGTAATAAAATACTTTGTAGAAATTAAATTATTTAAATTTTTTTTTCAAAATTCTTGTCAAGAATTAAATTATCTTTATAAATAGACAGGGAAATTCTTCTCGTGAATTAAATTATTTTCAAAAATTTAAATAAAATTCATCTCAAGAAGTCAATTATTTTCAAACATTTTAATAAAATTCTTCTCATGAATTCAATTGTTTTCCACAATTATTATTTAAATTCTGCTGCGGAATTGAATTATTTTTAAAAAATTTAATAAAATTCTTCAAAAAGTTTTTAATTATTTTCAAAAATTGTTATAAAATTCTTTAATATAATGAATTTCATTAATATTTTAATTAAATTCCTTAAAAGAACTTAAATATTTTCAAAAGTTGTTAATACAATTCTTCGTAAAAATTAAATTTTAAGAAACATTCAATATTATTTATTCTTGTATTTAAATAATTGATTTCTCGAAGAATTAAATTATTGTTTTTCGTACTTTTAACTAACAATTCTGTGGAATTAATTTTTTAGAAAAAGTTGAATTGAATAATAATTGATGTTATTGATTTAAAGTAAAATTTTAGTTAAAAATTCTAAAAAATGTTAATTGAATTGAAATTATACAAATAATTTTGAAGAAATTACAGTAACAATATTCTTATAATAATAAACTAATGATTTTGTCAGTCGGTCATCTTTATGTTTTATAAAAATATTCTTATGAGTTGTTCAATTTCAAATTTTTGAACATCTTAATTCCAATGAAAAAACCGCTGGCAAGTTGTATATTTTTTTATAATTTTGGTGCTCATTTCATGAACACTTTACTTCCTCATAGGAATAAAAATAATAGAAATAGTTAGATACAATTTTTCAAACAAAAAGTTGAGAAAATGTCATTTTTCACAATTTTTGGTTTTTAAAATACCAATAATTTCGAAGTTTATTATCGAATTAGGTTCAAAAATAGGTCAATCGAAGCGTTTTTTAATGCTCTACAAGTTGGTAACGATAATTTTAAAGTTACTTTTACATTTTTCAACAAAATTTTCTAAAAAGTCTTATTTTCCAAAATTTTTTATTTTTAAAAGTTTAATATCTCCGGTTACTATGAACGAAAAATGTTCAATTAGGGCTCAAAAGATGCGTCTAAAAAAACTCTACAAAATTATGAAAAAACATTTATAGGTGTCCTAACATTTTTTTAAAGTTATGGGCAAAAAACGTTTTTTTGCAAAATTAAAAATAAAAAAAAATTTAGTTAAACTTTATTAATATATCAGAATGTTGTCTCACTTTATGTCCGCAGGTAAGATCTACAATTTAAAAAAAAATTCAACCCAGAAGCTCTTCATGATTTCGAGATATTTATGAAAATGTGATGTTTACACACACACACACACACATACGGAATGACATTTTTTAAAAATGTTATTTTTGAACTCCTGAGGTCAAATAACATAAAGATATGTCAAAAAATCGAACTCGAAAAATTTCGGTATTACAATACTTCCTCTATGAGGAAGTAAAAAATGATTAAATATTTATTTTAAATAAAACTATCGATGTTTTCGAATAATTTTATTTTTGAAGAAATTTGTAAATAAATATAATAAACCTGCGGACATAAAGTGAGAGAACATTCTGATATATTAATAAAGTTTAACTAAATTTTTTTTTATTTTTAATTTTGCAAAAAAACGTTTTTTGCCCATAACTTTAAAAAAATGTTAGGACACCTATAAATGTTTTTTCATAATTTTGTAGAGTTTGTTTTAAGACGCATCTTTTGGGCCCTATAATTAAACATTTTTCGTCCATATTAACCGGAGTTATTAAACTTTTAAAAATCAAAAATTTTGGAAAATAAGACTTTTTTGAAAATTTTGTTGAAAAATGTAGAAGTAACTTTAAAATTATCGTTACCAACTTGTAGAGCATTAAAAAACGCTTCGATTGACCTATTTTTGAACCTAATTCGATAATAAATTTCGAAATTATTGGTATTGTAAAAATCAAAAATTGTGAAAAATGACATTTTTTCAACTTTTTTGTTTGAAAATTTTTATTTAACTATTAAATTATTGTAACTATCTTGTAGAATATTCAAAAATACATTGATTGCCCCGAAATTCAATCACTTTTACCATATTTATAAAAAGTTATTCATATATTTCTATTATTTTTATCTCCATGCGGAAGTAAAGTATTCATGAAATGAGCACCAAAATTATAAAAAAAATATACAACTTGGCAGCGGTTTTTATCTTTATTTAACCAATTTTTATGGTCCCCTAAACGTCCCCTATTTTTTAATTTTCAGTCCCCTATTTCCCCTAAAATACTTTGTAGGGGCACTGTGAAGCCTGAATTAATTAAGGTACTCGGAGTTCATTCGGCTGGCGAATTTCTCGACAATTAAAACCCCTATCATTATACGTACACATTAAAGGAGAAGTCAGAATGTCGAATTAAATTATTTAATAAATTTCTCAAATTAAGAAAAATGTTTTCAAAAAATATTTGTTTTTTGCAGATAAATATGGAGTCAGGAGAACAATTATCTCACAGAGAGGTTCTGGAGAAGAGTCTTAAACTAGCCACGTACTTGAATAAATTGGGACTAGATATTAACGATCGAATTGCAATTTGTAGCGAGAATAACTTAAATTTTAGTATCGCCGTGTTATCAAGTATTTTTCTTGGCACCGCAATCTGTCCCTTAAATCCAATATACACCGAACGTGAATTAATACACAGTTTAAATATTTCAAAACCAAAATTTATTTTCGTATCGGGTTTTGTATTGGCAAGAATGCAAAAGATCATCAAAGACTTATCTTGGTCACCAAAACTTATTTTACTTTATGATATTCCAAATTGTAGTGTACCCAGTATCGCGAAATTAATTTCCAAAGTATCCGATTATTCAGTGAAAAATTTTCGATTACCAAAGATTGATAAAAGTGAGCATGTCTCGATAATTGCTTGCTCTAGTGGAACGACTGGATTACCAAAAGGTGTAATGTTAACCGATAAAAATGTCTTAAATCAATTACGACATTTTTCTGAATCGCGTGCTTTAAAATTGACTGATAATATTAGCGTTTTAGGTTTGTTACCGTTATTTCATGCGTATGGATTATTTGTTTCGTTCTTAATTTTTTCAAGTGGCGCCAAACTCATTGTTTTGTCGCGATTTGATGAACGTCTTTTTCTTGAAGCCATTTCAAAATACAAAATAGATTCTTTGACTCTAGTACCGCCACTAATGGTATTCTTGGCTAAGAGTCCAATTGTTGATGAATATGACTTGTCCTGCGTGAATGAAATTGCGTAAGTTGTAAATTTACAATTGTATGGAATTCATTTGTAATTTACTTTCTTTGCAATTATTTTCATAAAAAATTAAATTAATTTTAATATTTCAGATGTGGAGCCGCTCCATTGTCTAAAGAAATTGCACTAGCTGTTCAGAAGAGGCTAAATGTTCCGTATATTAAAACTGGTTATGGATTAACAGAAGCTACTTTAAGTGTAATTAGTTCCTTTGATATTCCCAAACCGCAAAGTGTTGGAATTTTGGTTCATGGAGTCATTGGTGAGATGTTTATCATTTTATATCTTTAAAACAGATTTTCTTTTTAAGAAACCTGAAAAATAAACTTTAAATAATTATAAGCACCGCGATGTCTCCGTGGAGGCAGGCTTCGCACTCATCTACTAAAACTTAGTATTTACTACCTTTTTTACGTTATCCTACTATTTGGGTACTTTTAAAAGATTTCAACCACTAATAGCTACTATTTCTATTTTTTTTCAGAATTTACATATTTACTAGAAAATTTACTACTAATTCGCTAATACTAGAAATAAGAAAAAATATTCTCAAAAATTATAATCAAATTCTTTAAAACGATTCAATTATTTTCAAAAAATATTCGAAATTCTATTATTTTCAATAAAATATAGTATTTTCATAAAATTTCGCAAAAGAATTCAATTATTAAAAACAATTGATTAAAAAAAATATTAAAATAAAAAATATTAATAAAAAATATTTAAAAAAATTTCATCTAAAATTCAATTATTTTCATAAATATAATAAAGTTCCGCAGAAATTTAATTAATTTAGAATAGAATTTTCAAAAAAATTTCAAAAAGATCAATTATTTAACAATATTTTTAAACAAATCTTCACAATACCTAATTCCAATACTTTCACTAATAATAACATTTTTCATGGAAATTCAATTTTTTAAAAAATTTTTTGATAAAATTCTAAGTAAGAATTCAATCATTTTAATAAATAATAAAACTCATCGAAGAATTTCAATTATTTTTAATATTATTTTAAATTAATTAATCAAAAAATTCAATAATTATTTTCGCAAATAAAGTTTTCCACAAGAATTCAATTATTTAAAATAAAATGTTCATAATATTTATTATATTTCGAAAAAATTAATTATTTGAAACAATGTTTATAAAATTCTTATGAAGAATTCAATAATGTTCAAAAATAACAAAATTTTTCGCAGAAATTCAATTCTTTTTGAACATTTTAATAAAATTTTTCGCTATAATTCAATTATGTTCATAAATAATAAAATTCTTCTTAGGAATTCAATTATTTTTATAAATAATAAAATTGCTCAAAAAATGTAATTATTCTTAAAAATTTAATTTCAATTCCTCGAAAAAAGTCAATTATTTAAAAAAAAGTTTTTTTTAAATTCTTTGGAAGAATTCAATTATTTACAAAAATAATTCTTCGAAAGAATTCAATTCTGTCTATAAATAACAAAATTATTCCCGAAAATTCAATTATATTATGGCATTTTAATAAAATTCTTTGCAAAATTCAATTATTTTCATAAATATCAATAATATTCATCACAAGAATTCAATTATTTTTAAAAATAATAATTTTTTTCTTAGATCGAAAGAAATCAATTATTTTAAATACAATTTTAATTACATTTTTTTGAAATATGTAATTCAATAATTATTCTTTTAGATTTTAATAAAATTCTTCTCAAGAATTCAATTATTTAATGAAATAATTCTTCAAAAGAATTCAATTATGTCTATAAATAGCAAAATTATTACCAAAAATTCAATAATTTTAAGGCATTTTAATAAAATTCTTTGCAAAATTCAATTATTTTTATAAATATTAATATCCATCACAAGAATTCAATTACTTTTAATATCTTTAATTAATTAATCGAAAAAATTCAATTATTTTCATAAATAAAATTTTCTACAAGAAATCAATTATTTAAAATAAAATTTTTATAAAATTAATGAATTTTAGAAAAAATTAATTATTTAAAACAATGTTTATAAAATTCTTATAAAGAATTCAATTATGTTCAAAAATAACAAAACCTTTCGCAGAAATTCAATTCTTTTTAAACATTTTAATTCATTTTTTTGCAATATTTCAATTATTTTCGAAAATAATAAAATTCTTCTCAGGAATTCAATTATTTTTGAAAATTTTAATAAAATTTTTTGCAACTATTCAATTATTTTCATAAATAATAAAATTTATCGCAGGATTTCAATTATTTTTAAAAGTAATAAGATTCTTCTTAGAAATTCAGTTTTTTTTAAAAAATTCGAATAAAATCTTTCTCAAGAATTCAATTATTCACATAAATAATTTTTCGAAAGAATTTAATTATTAAAGATAAATAACAAAATTATTCCCGAAAATTCAATAATTTTGAGGCATTTTAATAAATTTCTTTGCAAAATTCAATTATTTTCATAAATAAGAATATTCATCACAAGAATTGAATTATTTTTAAAAGTAATAAATTTCTTCATGGAAATTCAATTATTTAAAAAAAAACCTAATAAAATCGTACGCAAGAATTCAATATTATTTTCATTTCATAAATAATAAAATGCTTTTTAGGAATGGAATTATATTTTCAAAAAAAATTATTAAAATACCACACAGGCATTCCATTATTGTCCAAAATTTTAATAGAATTCTTTGCAAAATTTAATTATTTTTAAAAATTCTTTTCGCAAATTCAATGATTTTCAATATCAACTATTTTCATAAAATTTCCAAACAGAATTCAATTATTTAAACAATTTTTTGAAAAATGTAAGAATTCAATTATTTTCATGAATAAGAAAAATTTCTCGGGAATTCAATTATTTAAATTAGAATTTGCAAAAAATAAGTCGAAAGAAATCAATTATTTAAAATTTTTTATAAAATTCTTCGCAAGAATTAAATTTTTTTTTATAAATATTAAAATTTTTTCATGAATAATAAAATTCGTTGCAGGAATTGAATTTATTAGCAGGATAAGAAAGAAGTAAATATTTTTGATGAAAATTAGGAAAAAGTTAGATAAATAAAAAATATGTAATGGAACTTTTGGTAGTTTTGTGAAGTGTCTAAAACGTGTTTTTTTTTGGTCGTCAAGTTTAATTTTTCGATAGCTACTGTTGTAATACTTTTTTTAGTTTGAAAGCTACTTTTTAAAAATTAATTATTGAGTGTGAAGTCTGCAGTTACTTTAAACATAAAATAAAATTAAAAATTGATTAAATTAAAAAAATTTTAAATTGATTTTTACTGATGTTTTACAGCTAAAGTAATTTCACTGGATGGCAAGTCGAACGCACCTCTGGGTCCATTATGCGAGGGAGAATTATGTTTCAAAGGAGATACAATTATGAAAGGATATTGCGATGATGAAGAAGCAACGCGTGCAACAATCGATGAAGACGGCTTTCTGCATACCGGCGACGTTGGATATTACGATGATGAGGGATATTTTTACATTGTCGATAGAGTAAAGGAGCTCATTAAATATAAAGGATTTCAAGTTCCACCAGCAGAATTGGAATCTATTTTATTGTCACATTCGGCAATTAAGGATGCTGCTGTGGTTGGATTAGCTGATGAACTCGCTGGAGAATTGCCTCTTGCCTTTGTCGTCAAACAACCTGGTGTCAATGTTTCTCCTGCAGAAATAATTCAATACGTCAATGGTAAATTCAATTAATAAATTATTATCACGTCTCTTTTAACAAAAATTAATATTTGTCATTGGGTAAAGTAATTATTTTCCAAAAACGTTGATTTTTTTTGCTCTCCTTGCGGATACGGTTTTGCACAACACACCCCCCATTTTTTCAAAGTTTTAAATTTATTTTTCAATTAATAAGTAAATTTTTCTTCTTTCTTTTTTGTTGCAGAACGTGTGTCAGCTGAAAAAAAGTTACGAGGAGGTGTTCGATTTGTTGAAGCCATTCCAAAAAATCCGTCGGGTAAAATTCTGAGACGAGAATTACGAAACTTATTAAAATCGCGATTGTAAGTGAAACAATTAAGTCGATTTTTACTAGTTATTGTAATACAGTCAATATGAATTATTTATATTAGGAGGAAAATTTTATAATACGTAATAATATAATTTATTGCTTATTTCAAAAGTCTACTCAAATATTTTTTGAGTCTCTTGTAAAAAGAGGGTACTGAATTCCATTCTTTATCTTTTAAACAAATGTAAAGAAATTCTTTTTTGTGAATTATGTAAAAATGAATTTGTAATAATGTGTTGATTAAAATAAGCAACTGTTTTCCAATGAAAAATGCTTTTTTTTTACTGATTACTGCCTAACTCTTTTAAAAAGATTTTATTCAAATCTATATGAAATTTAACAACCTATAAGAATAATATTATACAATTTTTCAAAAAAAAATAAAATTATTTACAAAAATTTTCATAAAATTCTTCAAAAAAAATTAAATTATTTTTACAAGTATAATTAAATTTTTCGCATGGATTTGTCATTATTTTCAAAAATATTTTGCAAGAATTCGCAATTACATTTCACAAACCAATGAAACTCAAATATTTTCAAAATCTACTATTTTAATCAAATTTATGAAAAGAATGAAATTAGGTTAAAAAAAATTTAATAAAACTCGTAGCAAAAATTCAATTATTTTCATAAATAATAAAATTATTCATAGGATTTCAATTATTTAAAAAAAAATGCAATAAAAATTCGTTTCAAGAATTCAATTATTCTCCTAAATAATAAAATTCTGCACAGGATTTTAATTATTTTTAAAAAATGTAATAAAAATTCATTGCAAGAATTCAATTATTTTTACAATTAATCAAATTTTTTCACATGGATTCAATTTATTATTTTAAAAAATGTAATAAAATTCGCTGTAAGAATTCAATTATTTTCGTAAATAATAAAATTTTTTCTAGGATTTCAATTATTTTTAATACAATTTTAAATAAATTCTTTGAAAAATGTAATTATTTTCAAAAATTTTATACAAGAATTCAATTACATTTCACAAATAATGAAATTCTTCGCTGAAATTCAATTAATAAAATTCCTCAAAAGAAAAAATATTTTTAAAAATTTAATAAAATTCGTTGCAAGAATTCAATTATTTTTCTAAATAATAAAAATCTTCACAGGATTTCAATAACATAAAAAAATGGTATAAAAATTCAATTATTTTCCTAAATAATAAAATTCTAACAAAATTTCAATTATTTTTAAAAAATGGAATAAATCTTCGTTTCAAGAATTCAATTATTCTCCTAAATAATAAAATTCTTCACAGGATTTAAATTACTTTTAATACAATTTTAAGTAAATTATTTCCAAAAATTTTATTAAAATTCTTCAAAAGAATTCATTTATCAATTATTTTTAATAATTTTTGAAAAAGTTCCTTGAGAATTTTCAAATCTATTTTTTATAATTTATTCAATTTTACGAAATTTCTATATTATTCGGGAATTCTTCAATTAAATATTTAGCGAATAATAACTACAAATAATTTAAACAAAAAAATTCAATTAAAATTTTTCAAAAAAATTAATTCTTCGTAATTGTCAGTTAAAAGTATGAAAAATTCAAATTTTCAAATATTGTAATTTGAAACCTTCTTAAAATTCAATTATTTCTATGTATAAATTGCAATTATTAGTAAATTCTCCAAAATTCAATTATTATCTAAAACTTTAACTGAAATTAATTTTTAAATCAATTTTTATTAGAAAATTCTACGAGAATTCAATTATTTAAATTCAATCATAGATAATTTATTAAATAATTGAATGTTTCTTAAAATTGAATTTTTATATAAATAATTTTATCAACAAATTTTTTAAATAATTGAATTCTTTCGACGAATTTTAATAAAACTTTCCAGAATAATTACATTTTTCGAGGAATTCGATTAAAATTTTTGTATTCAAAATAATTGAAATTCTGCCATGAGTTTTATTATTTTTTATGAAAATAATTGAATTATTGCGAAGAATTTTATATAAAAGTTTCAAACAATTCGGTTTTTTTTTTTAAAAGTTAAGCAAATTCTATTTTTAATAATTGAATTCATTTGAAAAATTTGATTAAAATAATAAATATAAAATTTTTTGAAAATAATTGAAATTTTACAATGAATTTTGTTAAAATTTTTGAAAATAATTGAATTTTATAACTTTTGAAAATAATTGAATATTGTTATTTATGAAAATAATTGACTTTCTGCAAATAATTTAATAATTTCTGAAGCTAATTGAATGCCTGTAAGAAATTTTAAAATTTATGAAAATAATAAAATTACTGCGAAGACTGTGTTAATCCCAAATTTTAAAACATTTGATTTTTTGGAAAAAATTTATGCAAATTCAATTTCAAATAATTGAATTCCTGTGAAGTTTTATTTTTTTTGTAAAATAATTTAATATTCATGTAGAATTTTATCAAAATTGTTTTTAAATAATTGAATATTATTTTGGGAAATTTTATTAAAATAGTAGAATATTGAAAATCATTGAATTAGGAAAATTTTTTGAAAATAATTGAAATCTTGCCATGAATTTCATTGAAATTTTTAAAAATAATTATACATTCTTGTGATGAATACTATTATTTATGAAAATAATTGAATTTTGCAATGAATTTTATTAAAATTGCTGAAGATAATTGAATTTTGCAATGAATTTTATTAAAATTGCTGAAGATAATTGAATTTTGTCGAAGAATTTTGCTATTCAATTTATAAAGATAATTGAAATGTTGACAATTTTTTTTTTAGATTTTTTGAAAATAAAATTGGATTTTTCCAAAGAATTTTATTGATTTTATAATAATTAATTTAATGTTTGCTTAGAATTATTTAAAAAAAATAATTTTAAAAAAGTAGAACTGTAGAAGAATGAGAAGGAAAAGTCTTTGTGGAATATCAACATTTCTAATTAATGGTTCATGAAAAGTCGTAAAATTTAAAAAAAATACGAAAAATTTGAATAAATTTATTTTTGGAAATTTAAAAATAGTCATTACTAGAAAATTTACTGTATGAGGAAGCAGAAATTACAAATGTTAATTAATGTACATACAATTAATACTATGTATTCACAGACTTGTATTCTTTTTTGAACATTAAATTGTCGTCATTACTTGAAAAACTAAGTTTCATTGAAGATAAAATTTCTTCTATTTTGTCTTCATTGACAATTTTTCAATTGACTTTATTAAATACTATTTATGTAAATATTATTTAAAATTTGTAAATTATTAATTTTTTATTCAAATTTTTACAAATTAATACTTGAATTAAACTAAGTGATATAATAAATTCTTTTAAAAAACAATTTTTCCAGTTATTTTCTCTTTATTTTTTATTTGAATATGTCAAAGGAAAAATTTATTTTAAGTGGACCAGTATTAAAAAGTGAATGGAATTTCAAATCTGTTGGTGAATATTTTTTTCAAAAATTTACCGAAAATGGAGAAGCAATCGCACTGGTAAAGTTTCTAGTATACAATTTTAATTTTAGTAAAATTTTCTGAAAAATTGAAAATACTTTTATTTAATAATTTTTTTTTTTTTTTTTCTAATAGTTTCTTTTATAATAGTTTTTTGAAAAAAAAAGTTATTCTTACAATCATTAGAATGCATTTTCTAGGTGGATGCTGAAACAGGAAAAGAATTATCATACAAAAAACTTTTCGAAAAAAGTTTAAAATTGTCAGTGATTCTTGAGAAAATGGGTTTAAATGTAAATGACAAAATTGGCATTTGCAGTGAGAATAATATAAATTTTGCAATTACAATTTTTGCAAGTATTTTCAAAGGCGCAACTATTTGCCCTTACAATCCTCTTTACACTGAACAAGAATTATTGCACGTTCTTAATATTTCAAAGCCAAAATTTATTTTCATCTCAAAATTCGTTCACGAGAAAATGGAGAAATTAGTGAAAAAATTATCATGGACTTTGAAATTAATTCTTCTTTATGACATAGAAAATAATTCAGAAATTCCAAATATTTCAAATTTAATTTCAAAAATTTCCAACGACGAACTGATAAACTTTCAATTGCCAAAAATTAACAGAAACGAGCATATTTCGATAATTGCCTGCTCTAGTGGAACAACTGGTCTCTCAAAGGGAGTAATGTTGATGGATAAAAATATTTTACTAATGATTCAAAGTCAGACTGAATGTCTACATCCTGTCATGAATAATAGAATGATTGTTTCGGGATTTATGCCATTGTTTCATATTTATGCATTAGACATTCTTTTATTTACAGTTGCATTCAATTCGAAAATGATTATTTTCCCAAAATTTGAAGAACGTTCTTTTTTAAGGGCAGTGGAGAAATATAAAATTCAAATTGTCTGCTTAGTGCCGACGATACTCATTATTTTTTCGACAAGTTCAATGATTCGTGAATACGATTTATCATCTGTTGAGCGTATAATGTTAGTTAATGTTTATTTTTTGAACATTATTTATTGTATGATTAAATAAAATTTATTATTTATTTTTATTATATTCGTTGAGTTTTTTTTTTTTTTTTTTGCTTTAAAAGTGAAAAATATTTAAAAAATAAAAACTATCTCATTATTAACGACTAAATGTCCAAAATTTTATTTGAATCTGATCTGAAAAGACAAAAAAAATTCCTTAAAGTTTACTATTTACTCGATTTAAAACCGACTTTAAAATGAGTTCAGATTTTTTCTCTGAAAACTTTGGACATTTAGACGTTGAAGTTTAAAATAAATTTCTTAAAATAATAAAATAATTTTATGATTGTACATTTTTTTAGAACTGCTGCTGCTCCATTGCCTCCTAAAATAGGAGAAAATGCTAAGAAGCATTTTCCAAATTCTAAACTTTTTGTTTGTTATGGAATGACTGAAACTTGTTTTGCAGCGACATTTGCATTAACAGATTACGATATGAAAAGCATTGGTATTCTTCAACCAGGCTATCGTGGTGACTTAAAAAAATATTTATAATATTACAATAGCATAATTAATTTTAAAAAAGTAGTACAAAAAAAAGTAGTTCTCGAAAAGATACTTCACAAAACTGCCAAAAATTTTATTCTATATTTTATTTTTCTGACATATTCCTAATTTTCATCAAAAATATTTACTTCTTTCTTATTCTACTGCTAATAAATTGAATTTCTGCAACGAATTTTTTTATTCATGAAAGAATTTAAATATTTATGAAAATAATTTAATTCTTGCGAAGAATTTTATAAAACATTTTAAATAATTAATTTCTTTCGACTAATTTAATGCAAATTCTAATTTAAATAATTGAATTCCCGAGAAATTTTTATTATTCATGAAAATAATTGAATTCCTACGAAGATTTTTAAAAAAGATTTTTTAAATAATTGAAATTCTGTTTGGAAATTTTATGAAAATAAAAGATATTGAAAATCATTGAAATGTGAAAAGTTTTTAAAAATAATTAAATTTTGCAAATAATTCTATTAAAATTTTTGACAATAATTGAATTCCTATGGAAAATTCTAATATTTTTGTAAATAATACAATACTTCCAAAGAATTAAAAAAAAACATTTTTTTAAATAATTGTTTTTTCGAGGAATTGAAATTAAAATTTTTAAAATAATTACATTTTTTGATCAATTCCTGTAAAATTGTATTAAGAATAAATTAAATTCTGCGATAAATTTGATTATTTATGATAATAATTGAATTCTTGAAAAGAATTTTTAAAAATGTTTAAATAATTGATTTCTGTCGACTGAAATTATGCAAATTCTAATTTAAATAATTGAATTCCAGAGAAATTTTTATTATTCATGAAAATAATTGAATTCTTACGAAGATTTTAAAAAAAGATTTTTTAAATAATTGAATTCTGTTTGGAAATTTTATAAAAATAGTAGATATTAAAAGTCATTTAATTGCGAAAAGTAATTGCGAAAATAATTCAATTTTACAAACAATTCTATTAAAATTCTTTAGAATAATTGAATGTCTGTGTGGAATTTTATTAAATTTTTATGAAAATAATTAAATTCCTAGACTTCCGGTAGGGGATTGGTTTAGAGCACACGCGTGTATACAAGCGGATAATAATACTTGAAATTTATAGAGTGAAAGTAGTTAAAAAAAAGGTGTAAGTGTAAGAACCTGTTGGGAAATAATGAAAAAATGATGAGTTAAAGTTGGAGTGAAGAAAGAGTTAATATTGTGAAAGTGAGGAGGAGAAAACAATTTGAGGGAGTTTTGAGGTTAGGAAGGTTGAAAAGGTGGATAAAGTGATCGTTTGACTAGAGCAGTGAGTGGAGACTGAGTGCCTGGGAGATTTAGTAGTGGTAAAATGACAGCTCGCGGAATAAGAGGAAACGGGAAAGGAAATGGAAAGGATAAGACATTGGATAGTTTTGGAGTTAGTGCAAAGGGAACAGTGGAATTAGAAGAAAAAATGGTAAGAACACTAAATAGTATTGGAGAAGATATAAAGAGACAGTTGAAACAACAACAAGAACAGATGATGCAAGAGTTTTTTAAGAAGTTAGAAGAGAGAGATGAGCAATGGGAAAGAGAAAGAGAAAGCTGGAAGGAAGAAAAGGAAGAATTAATAGAAAGGATTAAAATATTGGAATGGGATAGAGAGAAAACAGAAAGAGAGAAAAGAAAGCTAAATATCATTATAAAAGGGGAAGAATTCGAGGAGATCAACGGAGAAAAAATGGAAGAAAAAGTAGAAAACTTTATTGAAAAAAAGTTAAAAGAAAAGGTAAAAGTAGTAAATGCTTTTTTGATAAAAAAAGATAAAGGAGAAAAAAAGGGAAATGTTGTATTAGCAAAATTAGATAATTGGAATGCGAAAAAACAGATAATGAGTAAGAAGATGATACTAGGAAAGGGAGTATATATAGATGACGACTTAACAAGGGCTGAAAGAAAGGTACAAGAGGAAGTTAGAAAAATGTCAAGAGAAGAAAGAGAGAAAGGAAACAATACACTGGAGCTTCACTTATTTTCACTAAGTCGAAACAAACTGAAAGGCAAAGTCGCACTTATTTTCACTCTGAAACGTAACATTCGAGTTGATTTGATTGGTGGATTATTTAACAACAACCAATGAGAACGCACGGAGAACCTTTTAACTGAAAATAAGTGAGACTGGAAATGGTGAAAATAAGTGAGACTGAAAATAAGTGAGACTGAAAATAAGTGAAGCTCCAGTGTACTAAGATAGGCTATATGAAATTGCAAGTGAATGACAAATGGATAAAATGGGACGAATGGAAGCAGACATTCGTGGAAGAGAGAGGAGGAAGGAAAAGGGAATAGGAAAATGAAGAGGAAAAAGGGGCAAAAATTTGCATATGGAATATTGCTGGTGTATTAAATAAGGATAAAGAAACTTGGGAATATTTGTGTAAATTTGATATAGTTGGCCTAATAGAAACGTGGATAGAACAGGAAAAATGGAATAAAATAAAGGACAAATTACCGCAGAAATTTAATTGGAAATGTACATTTGCAGAAAGAGAAAATAAAAAGGGAAGAGCAAAAGGGGGAATAATAGTAGGGATAAATAAAAAACTGAAGGAAACAGAATACAGAGAATGGAAAAGAAATATAGTAGAACAAAAAATAGAGTATAACGGAAAAGAATGGAGGTTGGTGATTGTATATAGCCAAGACATTAGGAATACATTGGAAACAATTAAAGAAGTAATAAAAGAGGAAAATGAAGGATGGTTGATATTGGGAGGGGATTGGAATGCAAGAACGGGAGAAGAAGGAGGACAGATAGTGCAAGGGATAGGAAGAGAGGATGTAAGAGTATCAAAAGATAAAGTAATAAATAGGGAAGGAAATATACTGATAAACGAACTAGAGGAAAGAGGATGGGCAATAGTAAACGGGAGTAAAGAAGAGGAAGGGGAATACACTTACGTGGGGAAAAGGGGAGCCTCAGTGATAGACTACATAATTGGGAACCAGGAAGCAGTTGAAGAAATAAAGAAATTAAAAATAGGACAGAGGACAGAATCAGATCATTTACCATTGGAATTGGAAATAAAGGGAGAAGAAATTGAAGAAGAAGAAACAGTACAAAAGGAAAGCAGATTAATAAGAGACTGGTCGGAAGAAGGAATTAAAGAATATCACGAAAAGTGTAAAGATTGGAAGTGTAATGGAGAAACAGCAGATGAGATATGGATGGAAATTAAAGGCAAAATAGAAGAAGCAATCCCGAAGATAAGAAAGAAGAGAAAAAAATGGATATTAGGAGAAAAAGTATGGCATAACAAGGAATGGAAAGATAGGAAGAGAGATCTAAGAAAGGAATTAAGGAGATATAAGAAAGGAAAGATAAAAAGGGAAGAATATCTAGAAAGAAAAAAGGAATATAAAGACTGGTGTAAAGAAAAAAGGAAAGAATATGAAAGGGAAGAAGAAGAGAAAATTAAGAGCATAAAAACGGAACAAGAGACTTGGAAATATATAAATAAATTCAGAATAAGAAGGGAAACAATTGAAGAAAACATCGATATGGAAGAGTGGCGAACTCACTTTCAAAAGAGGTTTGGAGGAAAAGATGCAAGAGAAATACTAGAGGAGGAAGACGAAGAAGAGGATATGACTAATGATGAAGAGGATGAAATTAAAAAAGAAGAGGTAATAGAACAGATTAGGAAATTAAAAGCGGGAAAAGCACCGGGAGAGGACATGATTGAAAATGAAGTATGGAAGTTGATGCCTGTCGCAATTGGTGAAGTATTTTGGAAGATGATAAACAAAATTTGGAAGGAGGGAGGAATACCGGAGCAATGGAAGATGGGCATTATTAGTGCAATATATAAAAAAGGAGATAAGAAAATGGTTAAAAACTATAGGGGAGTGACATTGATGGACACAGCTTACAAAATATACGCAGGAGTTTTAAACGAAAGACTAAGAAAGGAAGTAGATAAAAAACTTACAGAATCGCAGTTTGGATTTAGGAAAGAGAGAGGAGTGTCGGATGCCATATTCGTATTAAACCATTTGGTAGATAGAGAATTAGGAAGAAAAGGAGGTAAGGTATTTGCATGTTTTGCAGATCTTACTGAAGCATTTGACAGAGTGGACAGACGAATTCTAAGAAACGAGTTGAAAAATATAGGAGTAAGGGACAAACTAAGGAAAAGGATAATGGAAACATATAAGGAAACGGTAAATAAAGTAAAGATTGGAGACAATTATTCAAGGGAATTTTGGACAACAAGAGGAGTGCGCCAGGGCTGCCCATTAAGTCCAACACTATACAATGTATATATCAATGACATGGAAGAGGAAATGAAAAAGGAGCTAACAGGAGGAATAGTAGTAGGAAAAGAGAAGATTTGGACGATAACGTATGCAGATGACACAGTGCTTTTAGCGGAAACGGAAGAGGACCTGAAGAATATGTTGAAAAGATTTAAAAAATATTTAGAAAAGAAAAACATGATATTATCCACAGATAAAACAAAGATTTTAGTTTTTGAAAATGGAAAGGGGAAGACAAGAGAATGGAGATGGGGAAAGGAGAAATTAGAACAAGTAAACGAGATGAGATATTTGGGATATATAATGCAGAAGAACGGAGGGGTAGAGAAACAGTTGAAGGAAAGAAAAAGAAAATCGGTTATAGCAATGAAAAGTACGTGGAGTATTGGGGAAAGAATTTTTAGAAATAACTTTGAAAGAAGAATGAAGATGTATATTGCACTGGTGGAGAGTGTAGGATTGTTCGGAGCTGAAACTTGGGGATGGAGAAACGATGAAAGATTGGATGGAATAACAAGGAAATACTTGAAGTGGATTCTAGGGCTAGATATTACGACACCAAATTATATTCTACTGGAAGAAACGAAAGTGGAGGAAATAAGGGAAAAAGCGCTAAGAAGAGCAGTGAGATATGAGGACAGGGCAAGGAAATCGGACAAGAAATTAGTAAAAGAATGCATAAGGGAAAGGGAAAGGGAAGGCAGAATAGGAGGAGAAGGAAAGCAGGCTAAAATAAGAAGAAAGATTATAGAAGAGACAATAGGTAAAATTGAACTGAAAAAAGCATTGGAAAAAGAAGAAGACTTGGAAAAGAAAATCATGGACAAAATGAAAATGAAAGGAACGGAAGGCAGAAAAAAACGAATAGAAGAATCTCGATATAATGAAACATATAAAGTAATATGGGAGGAAAAAAGGCCAAAATATTTAAACGGAATTGGAAAATATAAGAATAGGAGAATAATAGCAAGATATAGGTGTGGAAATGAATTAAGAAAAAAGGAATATTGGAAGGAAGAAGGAGAGAAAATTTGTAGAATTTGTGGAGAGCAGGAAGAGGGAATGGAGCATATAATAAAGGAATGTGAGGAAACGAAAGTGAATGAAGAAGTAAAAGAAGTGCTAAGACAAGATGGGCAAGGATTGGAGATATTAAAAAGGATAGAAAGGAAGAGAAAGCTAGTGAAGGACAATGTGAAATAAGGACTCAAAAGTGAAAATGTGAAATTAACTCTGAAAGAAAACTTTTCAATTTATGTTGTTTCTTTTCATTAAATTCGTAAGAAAAAATATCTCAAAAGAAATTTTAATCATAGTATATTTTAGGATTTACGTTTAAGTTTATTGATATAAAATATTTGATAAGAGAATATGTAAAATGTAATCCGGAAGTTCGTCCGAAACCGAAAGGTATGGACTATAAATAAATAAAAAAAAAAAAATAATTAAATTCCTAAAAGAATTCTTGTGATGAATATTGTTATTTACAAAAATAATTGAATTTTGCAAAGAATTTTATTGAAATGTTTTAAAATAATTAAATTTTCGGAAACAATTTTGTTATTTATCGACAGAATTGAATTCTTCCAAAGAATTATTTATGTAAATAATTGAATTCTTGGAAAGAATTTGATTAAAATCTAAAAGAATAATTCAATTATTTTTAAAAAGTTTAATTAAAATTGTATTTAAAATAATTAATTTCTTTCAAACAATTTTATTAAAATATTTGAAAATAATAGAATTCCTGTGAAAAAATCTAATATTTTTGTAAATGTGTAATTGAATTCTTCCAAAGAATTTTAAAAGAACATTTTTTTAAATAATTGATTTTTCCAGGAATAAAAATTAAATTTGTAAAAATAATTACACTTTTTGAGCAATTCCTGTAAAATTGTATTAAAAATAATTGAAATCCTGCGACGAATTTTATTATTTATAAAAATAATTGAATTCTTGCTTAGAATTTTATCAAAAATTTTTTTATAAAATTGAATTTCCATGAAAAATGTTATTATTAGTGAAAGTATTTGAATTATTGTGAAGAATTGTATAAAAATTTTGTTAAATAATAATTTTTTCGAAATTCATTTGAAAATGCTATTCTAAATTAATTGAATTCCTGTGTGAATTTTAATATTTATGAGGAATAGATGTAAAATTATAGATTTAACGTTAAATGTGGTTTACAAAACAAATTGAATTCAAAATATTACAAGAAATTGTTATAGCTAATTTTTTTATGATTTTATAGCAAAAGTCATTGCACTAAACGGAAATTCGAGAGAAGCCCTTGGACCGAATAACGAGGGAGAATTGTGTTTTAAAGGAGAAAATCTCATGAGAGGATATTATGGCGATGAAAAGGCAACGCGTGCTACAATCGATGAAGATGGTTATCTTCATACCGGTGACGTTGGATATTACGATGAGAAAGGATATTTTTACATTGTCGATAGAGTAAAAGAACTCATTAAATATAAAGGATTTCAAGTTCCACCAGCAGAGTTGGAAGCTATTTTATTTACACATCCGGCAATAATGGATGCTGCAGTCGTTGGATTGCCTGATGAACTCGCTGAAGAATTGCCTCTTGCTTTTGTCGTCAAAAAACCAAATGTTGATGTTTCTTCAGCAGAAATTATAAAATATGTCAATGGTACAACAAATTATTTAATTATAAGCCCTGAAAATTGTTATTTTAACTTCAAAACTAAACTTTTGAACGGACCCTGCTAAATAATAAAAAAAAAAAATGATAAATTTTAGATGCTGTTTCACCTCAAAAGAAGTTAAGAGGAGGAGTTAGGTTCATCGAAGCAATTCCAAGAAGTTCTCCAGGGAAAATTTTGCGCAAGGACTTGCGTAATATGTTGCTCACAACAAAATAATTATAATTAGCTGTTCATAACTAATTATTAAGAAATAGAAATTAACATATATTTAGTATAAATTGTATAGCGAAATTATAAAAATTTACAATTTTGTTAATACTTTTTAAACAACTAGCTAAACAAATTATAAATTTTTTTAATAATTTCATAACCAAAACTTTTGAAAATCCTCTTATTAAGAACATAATTAATTGTTATTGTTTATATTTTCAAAAACTTTAATATATAATTCTTCACAAGAATTCAATTATTTTTATAAATAAATAATATTTTTTTAAAGAATTCGATTTTTGTAAACAGTAAAATTTTTTGCAAAAATTCAATTTTTTGCAACAAAATTTTAATAAAATTTCACGAAAGAATTCAATTATTTTCTAAAATTTTAATAAACCCTTCGAAATAATTCAATTATTCTCTTAAATAGTAAAATGATGACAAAAATTCAAATATTTTTAATACAATTTTAATAGAATTTCATGAAAGAATGCAGTTTTCTTTTTTAATTTTTAATAAAATTTTTCGAAAAAATTGAATTATTTTCAATACAATTTTAATAAACTTCAATAATCAAATATTTCATTATTATTATTAACAAACTCGGTTACTTTAAAAAGTTTGTGTAAAAAATTCTTTGTTTAATTCAATTATTTTTTAAAATTTCAATTAAAATTATTCGTAAAACTACATTATTTTCATAAAAAGAAATTCTTTAAAAGAATTTAATTATTTACAAAAACTCTAATAAAATTGTTTAAAAGAGTTTAATTTTCTATCAATCATTTTAATGAAATTTTAATTGTAAAATTATTAATTCGGTATAATTATTAACAAAATCGATTAGAAATTTCTTGAAAGAATTCAATTATTGTCAAAACCTTCAATAGATTCCATTCTTCAAAGGAATTTAATTATTTTTTATATTTTAATGAAATTCCTTGGAATTGTAAAAAATTGTAATATAATAAATTCAATAATTAAATGTAGAATTTCAATTATTATGAAACACGGTTGTCATAAAAAAATTGAAAGAAATTGTTCATAAAATTCAATTACTTTCAAAAATTTAAATTTAAATTACTAAAAAAAACTGCATTATTTAAAAAAAAATTTAAAGAAAATCTTCAAAAGAATATAATTAGGATTTTGAAAAATTTTAATAAAATTCTTCGTAAGAATGAAATTATATTTATAAATAATCAAATAAAAAAAAAAATTCGTTGAAGGAATTCAAGTATTCTGAAATGTTTTGACAAAATTCTTTGCAAGAATTCAATGCTTTTTAATACCTACATTAATTTTAAAATTGAAAATATTTGAAAAGAAAAATTATTAAAAAAGTTAGGAAACAAAAAACAAACAACTAACTTCAAACAAATTACCGGAATACAACGATTACACAGGACCACAAAATTTTCTTCGGGTAAATATACATTGACGGGACCATGTGTTCTATACGTATTTTGACGCCCTGAATCCAAATCTGGGTCTACTTTTGCCCCAACACGTCACAGTTTCGAGATAAATTAAAATTTCTCCAAAAACTAGACATTTTTACCATTATTTGCGAACGTTTATAAAGAGACAAAAAGACAAATTTTTCTGATAATTTTCTTTACATCTGTTGAAAATTTCATGTTTGTTATGAGAATTGACACGTGTAAATGTGTATAAAATCTAGAAATTACTAAATAAATTAATGGAAAAAATCGTTAAGTAGATGGTTACTTCGATTTATATAAAGTTACTATGTAATTAAATATACTTAAGATTTTTGTATTTATGAACAAAATGTTAAACTTTAAATAGAACTGAAAGTAATATCAGATCTCGTAGTAATCAAAATCTCTGAAGTAAGTCATTAATATATTGAATATATTTTACTTATTTACTTGCACTATTTGTAACATTAAATACATATTTAGAGAACAATGAAGGGTTAATTTTTCCAAATAAACATACAATTTCTGACAAATATGAAGAAAATTATGAGTAAAACTTGTATCCCTATAGAAATTTGAAAATTTTTTTTTTATTTTTGATCTATTTTTTGGAGAAATTTTAATTTATCTCGAAACTGTGACGTGTTAGGGCAAAAGTAGACCCAGATTTGGATTCAGCGCGTCAAAATACGTATAGAACACATGGTGCCATCAATGTATATTTTCCCGAAAAATATTTTGTGGTCCTGTGTTATTAATATAGGTTTTTTAAAAATTTTCCATCGTTTAACCATAATAAGTAAACATTAAATATATTAATAAAAGAATACTTTTATTTGAAATACTCTCAATGAAGTAAAAAATGGAATGTTAATTTCTAAAAGTTGTAAATTAATATCCATTAAATTAGTAATCTAGGCATAAAAGTCTCTTTATATTTTTAGTCAAACAGTGACTATAAAAGTCGCAGTCTGTTAAATGAAAATTGCAGGCATCACAGTATCTTTTTTCCTCAAAAAAGGTGAAAAGGGGAAATTTTTTCCTTAAAAAGGGGATAAAAATTTATTTGTTTATACAACTTGCATATATATAATTTCCATGACTTTTCCTTGATTTCAAGACAAAATTTTGACTTTTTCCCTAAAGAATATTCTGCGATTCCGTCTAAAAAAAATTAGATACTCAAAAAAATGTTCTATTATATTTATTTACGAATTTCTTTAACTGTAAAATTATTCAAAAATAACAATAACTGCTTCTTAAAAAAAAATATTTAATCATTATTATTTTTCCATAGGAATTAAGATTTTCAAAACATTCAAATTCAAATCTTTTTGAAATTCATGTTTTATAATCATTAAAGATAATCGAGTGATAAGATAATTATTTTTTACTATAACAAATATTTTTACTTTAACTTAACTTCAAAATTATTTTCATTGTTTCAAATCAATTAATATTTTCGAAATTTTTTAACTAAACTTTTTCTTTAAATCAATTATTTACAATAATTTTTTTAAAAATTCTGAGAATTTTCAAATGTATTTGTTTACAATTTAATTTTACGAAATTTCATCGATTATTCAGTAATTCTTCAATTAAATATATACCTATATTTAAAAATAAAATGTTTAAATAACTTCAATAAAACGTTTTGAAAAAATTAATTCTACAGAATTGTTAGTTAAAAATATGAAAAATTCAGATTTTCAAAGATTTCAATTTGAAACTTTTTCAAAATTCAATTATTTCTAAATATTCACGTTATAATGCTTTTAATATTCAATTATAATCGAAAATTTTAACTGAAATCCATTTTAAAATTAATATTTATCAGAAAATTCTACTAGAATTCAATTATTTAAATAAAAAAATAAAGAATTTATATTGAATAATTGAATGTTTCTTAATATTGAATTCTCATAAAAAATAATATCAACAAATTTTTAAATAATTAAATTCTTTCGACGAATTTTAATAAATTTTTTTTAAATAATTACATTTTTCGTGGCATTTGATTAAAATTATAATAAAAATAATTGAAATTCTGTGATGAGTTTGATTATTTATAAAAATAATGGAACTATTGCGAAGAAATTTATAAAAAAATTTGTAAATAATAGAATTCTTGTGAAATTATTTTATTATTCATGAAAATAATTGAATTCTTACGAAGATTTTTATAAAAGATTTTTTAAATAATTGAATTCTTGTGGAAAATTTTATTAAAATAGTAGATATTGTATATAATTGAATTTAGGAAAATTTTTGCAAATAATTGAAATTTTGCCAAGAATTTTATTAAAATTTTTGAAAATAATTGAATTTCTGCGAAGAATTTTATTATTTTTTAAAATAATTGAATTTTTGCAATTATTTGAAACTTCTTCAAAATTAAAATTTATAAAATTTGAAGTTAAAATCTTTTCAAGTTCATCTATTTATGAAAATTGTAAACGAAACTATTTTAAAGTTCAATTAATTTTGAAATGTATAAATAAAATTATTCATTAAATAATTTCTTCGTTATAATTTTATGATAGTTCTTCAAGAATTAAGTTATTTAAAAAGAAATTATTGTCAGAAATGGAAAAAATTGAAGGTTTTATATTAGAATTATTGTTTTTTCTAGAAAAAACTATTATTAATAATGAATATAAGACTCTTTTGTGATCCAATTATTATATTAGTGTAGAAATTTTGTGGTTTGTAGGATCAAATTTAAAATGAAAAAAACTAAATTTTTAAATTTTTTTTTATTAGACGTTTCGATCCTCATTTGGATCCTCTTCAGTAGTTTTATTGATATTCTGCAAATTACATATATTTTAGTTTGATAATAAAATGGTAATGAATTATTTGTATATACATGAATTAGGAATAAATGAAATTTATTAAGAAGACATTAAAACTCATACCTGGTTACATAACACAATTTTTGCACATTATTGTTGTTTCACTTTTTTTTTAATAATTTTTTTAAACATTTAAAAATTATTTATTTATTTCTCATTTTTTAAATTAAAACAAAACACTTATAGACAATACCAATGTATTGAGAAGTGAGATAAACTTGAGATGTAAAAAATTTAAAAAATTAGTTTTTTTCATTTTAAATTTGATCCTACAAACCACAAAATTTCTACACTAATATTATTAATAATATTTGAATTATTTGAATCATTTGAATGTTAATTAATTATTTTTCTAAAGGTCTGCATTCTGTTGAATGAGCCACCTTATAATTTATAAAATTCTTTATACGACATCTATATTATTTAAATTATTAACATAAAAAAACAAATTTATATTATGTTGTAGTGTTAATAATCTAAATCAGATATAAAACGCACTGAATTCTATAAAATTGAGTCTAAATTTTATGCGATTACACTTTGAAAAAGATTTCAAAAAAAGAAAAACTTGTTTATTTTTGATTCGAAAAAGGTGAAAAAGGGGACAAATCAGCAAAAAAGGGGAAAAAGGTGACAAATCGTCAAAAAAGGTGAAAAAGGGGATACAATTGAAATAAGGGGACAAAAGGGGAAAAGGGAACTGTGATGCCTAAAATTGTTTATTTAAAGTATGAGATGTTAAAAATTGATCTAAATGTAAAAATAATTTACTGAAATTTCTGTCTTATTTCGTCTGGAATGTGAGTTAGGTACCAACGATGATCTTCACTAGGAGCAGTGGCTAAGACTCCTCTAACATTTGGAAATTCGGTTTTCGAATCGTAACAATAAGTTTGTCCATGAAGATCCGTGAGTTTCCCTCCCACTGCATGAAGAATTGCTTCCGGTGCACATGTATCCCATCTCTTTGATCCTTTACTTGCAAAAACGTAACAGTGGGCCTTTCCCTCCAACAGCATCATTACCTAAAATTCACATTATTCTTTAAAATTTCATTTTCATTTTATATAAATATACGAAATAAAAAAAATATAAATATATCTAAAAACTCGTAATGATTATGGTGATTATTTTCTAATTATCTTTACTTTATGTCCTGCACCTCCGACTCGTAAAACTTCTGTAGGTTCCAGTGAATTGACAGCTTTTTCAACAGTCTTATCGGAATGCGATCTATTGGGAAAGAAAAAATTTTTAATTGAAACTAAGTAAAAATAAAAGGTGTTGTTTGAAAAAAAAATTTAACAGTGTTAAATACAATTTAATTGAAACTGAATTAATAGATGTGAAGCAAAACAAATTATAAAAATCTTACCGACTAGTTGTGAGAATTCGCTTTCCACTTGGAGGAGAAATATTTTTAAATCCACCAACTCCGACACCATCAATACCCCAAATTGTTCTACCCATAGTTCCATTATTTTCATTTTTATAATATGGTTGATGAATTATTCCGGCGATTGCTTTTTCTCCAACTGCAACTCCCACCAAAACTGTTACATGTTCAACCAAACCCTGAGTATATTCCGAAGTGCCTGAAAATTTGTAAATTCAAATTATTTACACATTCTTTGTCTTTCTCATTCTCAGACTTCGCACTCGATAATTAATTTTAAAAACATAGCAAAAAGTAGCTTTCAAACTAAAAAAAGTAGATATCGAAAAATTAAACTTGACGACCAAAAAAACTCGTTTTAGACACTTCATAAAACTGACAAAAATTCCATTCCATATTTTTTATTTTCCACACTTTTTCCTAATTTTCATCAAAAAAATTTACTTCTTTCTTATCGTGCTAATAAATTGAATTCCTGCAACGAATTTTATTATTCATGAAAAAATTTAAATACTTATAAAAATAATTTAATTCTTGCGAAGAATTTTATAAAACATTTTAAATAATTAATTTCTTTCGACTAATTTTATACAAATTCTAATTTAAATAATTAAATTCCCCAGAAATTTGTATTATTCATGAAAAAAATTGAATTCTTACGAAGATTTTTACAAAAAATTGTTTAAATAATTGAATTCTGCTTGGAAATTTTATGAAAATATAGTAGATATTGAAAATCATTGAATTGCGACAAGTTTTTAAAAACAATTAAATTTTACAAAGAGTTGAATTAAAATTTTTGACAATAAAATTGAATGTCTGTGATTTTTTATTAAACTTTTTTAAAAATTATTAAATTCTTAAAAAGCATTTTATTATTTATGAATATACGTAATTGAATTCTTGCGAAAGATTTTATTAGAATTTTATAAAATAATTGAATTTTCAAGAAAAAATTTATTACTTTTAAAAATAATTGAATTCTTGTGATTCTTGTGATTCTTTTTACAAAGAATTTTATTAAAATACCTCAAAATTATTGAATTTTTGGGAATAATTTTGTTATTTATCGGCATAACTGAATTCATTCGAAGAATTTTATTTATGTAAATAATTGAATTCTTGGAAAGAATTTTATTAAAATCTAAAAGAATAATTGAATTATTTCAAAAAAATTTAATTAAAATTGTATTTAAAATAATTGATTTCTTTTGAACAATTTTATTAAAATATTTGAAAATAATTGAATTCAATTATTTGTGAAATATTCTAATATTTGTAAAAAATTCTAATACTTTTGTACCTAAATAATTGAATTCTTTCAAAGAATTTAAAAAAAACATTTTTTAAATAATAAATTTTTTCGAAATATAATTTTTATGAAAATTTTATTTTAAATAATTGAATTCTTGCGGAAAATTTTTTGTTTGAAAAGAATTGAATTTTTCGATTAATTAATTAAAAATAGTATTAAAAATAATTGAAATTCTTGTAATAAATATTGTTATTTATAAAAATAATTTAATTTTGCAAAGAATTTTATTAAAATGCCTCAAAATTATTGAATTTTCGGGAATAATTTTGTTATATTTATGTCAATAATTGAATTCTTTGGAAGAACTTTATTAAAATCTAATAAAAGAATAATTGAATTATTACAAAAAAGTTTAATTAAAATTGTATTTAAAATGATTGATTTCTTTCGCACAATTCTATTAAAATATTTTAAAATAATTAAATTCCTGTGAAAAATTCTAATATTTTTGTAAATACATTCAATTCTTCCAAAGAATTTTAAAGAAACATTTTTTTAAATAATTGACTTGCCCGAGGAATTGAAATTAAACTTTTAAGAATAATTACATTTTTTGAGCAATTCCTGTAAAATTGTATTAAAAATAATTGAAATGCTGCGACGAATTTGATTATATTTATGAAAATAATTGAATAGTTGCAAAAAAATTTATTATAATTTTCAAAGATAATTGGATTCCTGCGAAGAATTTTATTATTTATGTATAAAAATAATTGAATTATTGCGAAAAATTTTATTAAAATGTTTAAAAAGAATTGAATTTCTGTGAAAACTTTGGTTCTTTTTAAAAATAATTGAATTTCGATTATTTTTTGAAAATTATTGAATTCAATAACATTTTGAATTATATATTTTTTAATGAAAAATAATAGTTTTACTAACAGGAAATAATTATTTAAATTATTAAATTATTATTAAATTATTAAATTTGGTGCAAATAAAAAATAATTTGAATGAAAAAAAGAATTATAATCACCATCAAGTGGATCGACCCAAACGCAAATATTTTTAGCATCAACGTTTTCAAGATGTTCTGGTAATTTGAGAGCGAGAATCTCTTGGTCCATGTCGGTGACAATCCAGTCGGATGGTATTTCACAAGTCGCTGAATTATCTTCGCCAATAATTGTAATATTTGGAAAATGTTGATTGAGTGATGTAATTATGCATTTTTGAGCTGAACGATCGGCCTCTGTTTGCAAATCGTTTTTGCCTTTTTCAATAATATTCAGTTCACCACGACTCATTACATCGCGAATTATTTTTCCCGCTCGATTTACAACAGTCACCGAAGATGCGACTATTCTCGCCAAAAGAGTTGCACTTTGAGCCATTTTCTTCTATTTTTCTTCTCTTTTTAATTCCTCTTCAATATCAGTTCAACGTGCAATTGTTTTATAAATCCCTGTAAAATATACTTTGCATTAACATAATATAGACAAAATTGGAATACTTTCTAATTTTTTCACGATACAAATACGTCAACGATTGCGAGGCCAAAAAGTAGTTGAAGTTAATTTGGAAAAAAATGACCTTTAATCTAAGGCTGCATAAACGTTAATGAAAAAAATGTTATGTAAAGTAAATTTAATTTTTTTATTTATAAAATTCGTAAATATATAAATACTTATAATTTTATTTATTTATTTATAAATTTATTACAAATTTTTATAATTTGATATTTATTGCTTAATTTATATCTAATGAAAATTTGAAATCACTACGAATTTTAATACAAAACCGTAAGTTTTTCTATTTCTGACAATAATAATTGAACTCTAACAGAATATGAAATTGAATTTATTTTAAATATTTTAATTCTTGAAGAACTATTATAGAATTATTATGTACTTAAAAATAATATTTAGCGAATAATTTTAATTAAAATGTTTAAAAATAAATGAATTTCAAAGAGTTTCAAATTAAAAGTTTAGAAAATTAAAATTAAAAATTCTGGAAAAGTTAATTTATTGAAAAAATTGTATTCAAATTTTTTTAAATCAGTTAAATTATAAAATATATTGCATTGACAAATTTTCGAATAATCAAATTTTTATTAAATTTGAATGAAAAAAATTCAATTTTAAACGGATTTGAGTTTCTTTTTTTAAATTAATAATTATTGAATAATTAAATTCTTAAATAACTTTCTCAAAATTATTAATTATTAAAAATAAATGATTTAGGTGAAAATTTTTGAAGTTTCTATTTTTAAATAGATATACCTATTATTAATTAAAAAATTTTCCCAAAATTCAATTGAAAAAAAGTTTTTATTAAAAAATTTGAAAATAATTAAAGTCATTTGAAGGATTTTATCAAACAAAAAAATTTTTTTTAATTGAATTCTTTCAAGAAAATTTAATTTCAATTGTATTGAAAATAATTGAATTCTCGCAAAAAAATGTTATTCATAAAAAGAATCGAATTTTTGCAAAGAATGTTATTAAAATTTTTGAAAATAATTTAATTTTTTCTTCTCAAGATTTTTATTAAAAAATTTTTTTAAAAATAATTGACTCTTTTTTTGAAATTCTATTAAAATTGTATTAAAAATAACATAATGCTTATCAATAATTTTTGAAAAAGTTCTAAAATTTTAACTGAAATTAATTTTTAAATCAATTTTTATTAGAAAATTCTACGAGAATTCAATTATTCAAATACAAACATAGAGAATTTATTAAATAACTGATTGTTTCTTAAAATTGAATTCTTATACATAATTTTAGCAACAAATTTTTAAAAAATTGAATTCTTTCGACGAATTTTAATAACATTTTTAAGAATAATTACATTTTTCGAGCAATTCCTGCAAAATTGTATTAAAAATAATTGAAATTCTGAGATGAGTTTTATTATTTATGAAAAAATAATTGAATTATTGCGAAGAATTTTATTAAAAATTGTCAAACAATTGATTTTTTTGAAAAAATTTAGGCAAATTCTATTTTTAATAGTTGAATTCTTTTGGGAAATTTTATTAAAATAATAGATATACAAATTATTGAATTTAGAAAATTTTTTGAAATTTTTCAATAATTAAAACCCCTGAAAAGAATTTGAAAATTTATGAAAATAATTGAATTACTGTAAAGAATTTAAAGCCAAATTTTAAAACATTTGATTTTTTCAAAAAAATTTATGCAAATTCTATTTAAATAATTGAATTCCTGTATGATTTTAATTTTCTTTTGGAAAATAATTGAATGTTCGTGTAGAATATTATCAAAATGTTTGTTTAATAATTGAATTCTTTTGGGAAATTTTATTAAAAATATAGTGGAATATTGAATATCATTGAATTAAGAAAAATTTTTGAAAATAATTGAATTTTTGTTTGATGAATATTATTATTTATGAAAATAATTGAATTTTGCAAAGAATTTTATTAAAATGCCTTAAAATTATTGAATTCTCGGAAATAATTTTGTTTTTTATTTATAAAAATAATTGAAATGTTGACAATTTTTTTTAGATTTTTTGAAAATAATTAAATTTTTGGAAAGAATTTTATTAATTTTGAAAATAATTATATTCTTGTAATGAACATTATTATTTATGAATATAATTGAATTTTACAATAATGAATTTTATAAAAATTTCTGAATATAATTGAATTTCGGCGATGAATTTTGCTATTTATAAAGATAATTGAAATGTTGAGAATTTTTTTTTAATTTTTGAAAATAATTGAATTTCTAGAAAGAATTAATATGTATATTTATTAATAGATAGTTGATATATTCTTTCATAGAATTGCGTTCAAAATTTTTTAAATTGAAACTAATTTTAACAGAATTGAAATAAAAATTTTTCAAAAAAATACTTCATTAAATAATTTATAAGTAATAATTTTTATGCTAGTTCTTAAAGAATTAAGTTTATTTAATAAAGAAATTAATGTCAGGCTTTTCCTCCTTTTTCCTTACCTGTGGCAACCATGCAATGCATAACCTAAACGTTATTCGTGTAAGTATTTTGCGCAACTTTAAAATTTTTTTAAATATAATATGTTTATAAGTAAATTTGTTATTAATAAAGACTAAGACATAAAACGTTGTATAATTAGTTTTTCATATTCAAAATAATAAAATAATTTTACTTACTCAGACTTTGTATACTTACAAAAGTTTTAAATATATGATAAAAACAATTTTTTTAAATTTCTAAAGTACAAAGTATTACAAGTTCATACACAAAATGTAATATAAAAAATTGTAAATTGAGAAAAATATTTAGATGATTAGATCCATTGTCCATATGTAAACATTCAAGTGATTCAAGTGCATTTAATCAGATGAGTATGGGATGAGTGTAAGCGTGTAAGGTAAGGTTAGTTCGGAATATAAACACGTGGGCAACATAACCTCAAAAGTTTTGTTGTTATTCAATCTCCCTTGATTGAAAAATCCGGTAAAAGTGTTTAGATATGAAACAAGAATAAAATAAACAGACTGAAGAAAAATTATTTTTAATCTATAAAATAGAGAATAATTTTACCTCTAAACTTACAGTTTTTTAAACAACATTTCAATTTTTATTTTCCATTATAGAAATAGTGTAATTTTTTTTGTCTCATTCCCTTGAATATTATACAACATTTATTTTTTCACATGTTTTCAATAAATTATTTCGGTGAGAATTTAAAAAAATTTAATAATGTTAAAACTTATCAAGGAACAATTGACAATTTCATCGACAATGAAAAATTCCATTCGATGTATTGCTGCAAAGGTTAACGAAGAAAATGGTTTGTTTGTTATCTTGTATATTTTTATAAATTATTCTAAATAATAAATTCAGGCTTCGCACTCATCTACTAAAATCTACTATTTTTAAATTATGCTACTATTTGGGTACTTTTTTAGATTTCAGCCACTAAAAGCTACTATTTGTTTTTTTGTTTTTTTGTATTTTGAGAATTTACACTACTTTACATTCACTAATAATAGAAATTAAAAAACTATTCTCAAAAATTATAATCAAATTCTTTAAAACTATTCAATTATTTTCATAAAATTTTGCAAAAGAATTCAATAATTTAAAAAAAAATTGATAAAATTCATCCAAAATTCAATTATTTTCAAAAATAATAAAATTTCCACAAGAATTCAATTAATTTAGAATAGAATTTTCAAAAAAATTTTTGATAAAATTCTAAGCAAGAATTCAATTATTTTCATAAATAATAAAACTCATCAAAGAATTTCAATCATTTTTAATACTGTTTTAAATTAATTAATCGAAAAATTCAATTATTTTCACAAATAAAGTTTTCCACAAGAATTCAATTATTTAAAATAAAATTTTCATAATATTTATTATATTTCAAAAAAATTAATTATTTAAAACAATGTTTATAAAATTCTTATGAAGAATTCAATTTTTACAGAAATTCAATATTTTTAAATATTTTATGAAACTTTTTCGCAATAATTCAATTATTTTCATAAACAATAAAATTCTTCCCAAAAATTCAATTATATTTGGAAATAATTCTTCGAAAAAATTCAATTATGTTTATAAATATATAACTTAATTATTCCCTAAAATTCAATTATTTTAAGGCATTTTAATAAAATTCTTTGAAAAATTTAATTTTATTTTTATAAATAACAATATTCATTACAAGAATTCAATTATTTTTAAAAGTAATAAATTTTTTCTTGAAAATTAAATTATTTTATAAAATTCTAATAAAATCTTTCGCAAGAATTCAATTATGTATATTCATAAATAATAAAATGCTTTTTAAGAATTTAATAATTTTTAAAAAAGTTTAATAAAAAATCACAGACATTCAATTTTATTGTCAAAAATTTTAATAGATTTCTTTATAAAATTTAATTATTTTAAAAACCTTTTCCAAATTCAATGATTTTCAATATCTACTATTTTTATAAAATTTCTAAACAGAATTCAATAATTTAAAAAATCTTTTTTAAAAATCTTCGTAAGAATTCAATTATTTTCATGAATAATAAAAATTTCTCTGGAATTCAATTATTTAAATTAGAATTTGATAATTTCAGTCAAAAGAAATCAATTATTTAAATATTTTTAAAAATTCCTTTCAAGAATTGAATTATTTTCATAAATAATAAAATTTATCGCAGGATTTCAATTATTTTTAATACAATTTTACAGGAATTGCTCAAAAAATGTAATTATTTTAAAAATTTTAATTTCAATTTCTCGAAAGAATCAATTATTTAAAAAAATGTTTTTTTTTAAATTCTTTAGAAGAATTCAATTATTTATAGAAATATTAGAATTTTTTACAGGAATTAAATTATTGTCAAATATTTTAAATAAAATTGTTCGAAAGAAATAAATTATTTTAAATACAATTTTAATTACATTTTTTTTAAATATATGTAATTCAATTATTCTTTTAGATTTTAATAAAATTCTTCCAAAAAATTCAATTATTTAATGAAATAATTCTTCAAGAGAATTTAATTATGTCTATAAATAGCAAAATTGTTCCCGAAAATTCAATTATTTTGTATCATTTTAATAAGATTCTTTGCAAAATTCAATTATTTTCATAAATATCAATATTCATCACAAGAATTCAATTATTTTTAAAAATAATAATTTTTATCTTAGATATTCAATTATTTAAAGAAATTCTAATAAAATCGTTCGCAAGAATTCAATTGTATTCGTAAATAATAAAATTCTTTTTAGGAATTCAATTATTTTCAAAAAAATTTATTTAAATGACACACAGACATTAAATTATTGTCAAAAATTTTAATAGAATTCTTTGCAAAATTTAATTATTTTTAAAAACTTTTCCCAATTCAATGATTTTCAATATCTACTATTTTCATAAAATTTCCAAACAGAATTCAATTATTCAAAAAATCTTTTTTAAAAATCTTTGTAAGAATTCAATTTTTTTCATAAATAATAAAAATTTCTCTGGAATTCAAGAAATATTCAAATTAGAATTTGCATAATTTCAGTCGAAAGAAATCAATTATTTAAACATTTTTAAAAATTCCTTTCGAGAATTAAATTATTATCATAAATGTTTAAATTCTTTCATAATTTCATGAATTCAATTTATTAGCAGGATAAGAAAAAAGTAAATTTTTTTGATTTTGCTACTTTTTAAAATTAATTATCGAGTGCAATGTCTGTAAATTTAAAATTTTTTAAAATAATAAAAATGTCCTCCTTTTTTCCGCAGGCGGTAAAGAATTGAAAAATGATAAAAGCATAAAATTCAGAAGTGAAAAACAAAAGAAAATGATACCAGAGGAAAAAAAAGGTGGAATTTTCCTTGAAATCAGTAACTATTTAAAATCAATAAAGTCAGAATATTTAATTGAACATTTACCAAAATCTTTCTGTAGATCAGTGAAAAATTCACAAAAAATATATCTTGTAAATAGAAAGGTGGCAGAAAAATGTGCAATGTTATTAAAAGACGAATTAACGAAAGATTCTGATATGTTTATAGCTGAGGCAGGTCCTGGTTTTGGATTTTTAACTGAAAATCTATTAAAAATGTCAATTGAAAAAATTTATCTCTACGAACCATTAAAACCACTTCTAATACCAAATTCGCTATTAAGAAATATTATTAAAAATAATAGTGATCGTTTAGTGCTTCGTGAATGTGATTTACTGGAAATGTGGTCAATGGTGTTTCGAGAGGCACAAGGACAAACTAATCTGGTCGAAAAAATGTTACATGGAACAAAAACAAGGAAATGGAAAGACAAACCCTATATGACTGTTATTGGTACTCTAAGTTCAGAAAATTTTATAAAACAATTAATAATGGATGTTCTTTCTCAAAGTGGATTCACGAAAAGGGGAAGAGTTATTTTCTATTTATTAATAGAACCATTAATTTGGGAGGTGTGAATTATTTTTATTTAATATTTATAAAAAAGAAAAAGATTTAAATATCACAAAAGTATGCGATTTTACGCAATTAAATCCTGTTTAAAATAATTCTTTACAAGAAACAGTTACATTCAAGAGAACAATAAATAATAATCTTCAGTTTTTTATTTTTGGAGAAGAGCCAAAATAAGTGAAACCGACAATAATTAAATGGAGAAAATTTTAAAGCTCAATTAAGGCTAATCGTTCTATTTTTTAAGGGATTAGTTCTAGTTCAAAAGTATAAAAAGTGTATTTTTTTAATTATTTGAAAAATTTTAGAATTGCCATACATGCTTCACAGTCTGTTCCCTATTTCCCTAAAAGTCCCCTTTTTTAATTTTGGCCCCTAAGTGTACCCTTTTTTTAAATTTCCCTTATTTTTGTCGTCGCAGGAAATCAATTATTTTCAATAATTTTTAAGTAATTTTGCAAAAGAATTCAATTAGCTTGATAACCAACAAAATTCTCCCCATAACATCAATTATTTTAAGGATTTCTTATAAAATTCTTTCCCAAAATTCAATTATTTTGATAAATATTAAAATTCTTCTCTAGAATATTCAATTATTGTCAAAAATTTAAATTAAATTCTTGGCAAAATTTCAATTATTTAAACAAAATTTAATAAAATACTTTGCACAAGTTCAATTATTTTTATAAATTTTAATGAATACCTCGTCAAGAATTCAATTATTTTTATAAATAGCAAAATTTTTGGCCAAAAATGTAGATATTTTCATAAAATTTATCAACAGATTTAATTATAGAAAAAACTTGTTGATACAGTTCTACGAAAAGATTCAATTATTTTCATAAATAATAAAATTTCATTTACGAATTCAATTATTTTTATCGCAGAATTTCAAATATTTTTAATATAATTTTAAATAAATTCCTTGAAAAATGCAATTATTATTTAAAATTTTATTAAAACTTGTGGGAAGAATTCAATTTTAAGATACATTCAATTATTATTTTTATAAATAAATAGGGAAATTCTTCTCATGAATTAAATTATTGTCTAAATTTGTTTAAAAATTCTTCTCAAGAAGTCAATTATTTTCAAAAATTTAAATAAAACTCTTCTCACGAATTCAATTGTTTTCAAAAATTATTATTTAAATCCTGCTCAGGAATTCAATTATTTTTATAAATTTTAATAAAATTCTTCAAAAAGTTTTCAATTATTTTTATAAATAGCAAAATTTTTCGCCAAAAATTCAATTATTTTCAAAAATTTAAATAAAATTCATCTCAAGAAGTCAATTATTTTCAAAAATTTTAATAAAACTCTTCTCATGAATTCAATTGTTTTCAACAATTATTATTTAAATTCTGCTCAGGAATTCAATTCTTTAATATAATAAATTTCATTAAAATTTTAATAAAATTCCTTAAAAGAAAATAAATATTTCCAAAAGTTGTTAATACAATTCTTCGTAAAAATTAAATTTTAAGAAACATTTAATATTATTTATTTTTGTATTTAAATAATTGATTTCTCGTAGAATTAAATTATTGTTTTTCGTACTTTTAACTAACAATTCTGTAGAATTAATTTTTTTGAAAATGTTTAATTGAATAATAATTGATGTTATTGATTTAAAGTAGAATTTTAGTTAAAAATTCTAGAAAATGTTAATTGAATTGAAATGATACAAATAATTTTGAAAAAATTACAGTAACAATATTCTTATAATATAAAATAATGATTTTGTCAGTCGGTCGTCTTTAATTATTATAAAACATAAAGAAATGGATCACTCCAAGTCTTCGACTCGGAGTGATCCATTTCTTTATGTTTTATACCTAATAATATTCTTATGAATTTTTCAATTTGAAAATGTTTGAATTTGAACATCTTAATTCCAATGAAAAAAAATGATCAAATTTTTATTTTAAATAAAACTATTGATGTTTTCGAATAATTTTACTTTTAAAGAAATTTGTAAATAAATTTAAAAAAACATTTTTTTGAGTATCTAATAATTTTTAGATTGAATGAGAATATTCTTTAGGGTCAGGGAATAAGTTAAAGTTGTGTTTGGAAATCAGGGAAAAATAAAGTTAAATTTTTGTGGCAACCCTGTATAAATAAATTATATTTTTATCTTTATTTAACCAATTTTTATGGTCCCCTAAAAGTCCCCTATTTTCTAATTTGCAGTCCCCTATTTCCCCTAAAATACTTTTTAGGGTCACTGTGAAGCCTGAATAAGAAAATATTTTTTCATAACAGTTATCTTATAATATTATCTTGTAAAATAATGTAAATCTTTTATTTTTTGATAATCAATTTTACATAATAATATTTAAAGAAAAATAATTTTTTTTCAGAGATACATAGCTTTAAAAAATACATCGGATTATAAGAGTCGAAGTATAATGTTTCAAACTATGTTTAATTATGAGAAAATCGATGAATTTTCTAGAAAAGATTTTCTACCGTGGCCTTATGTTTCCAATCAAAGAAAACAAAAAAAATTTAAGAATATACAGAATTTGACGTATGATAATTTATATTTAGTAAGAATTGAACCAAAGATTGATTTGTTCGACAGGATAAGTCACAAGGAAATATTCCCATTTTACTATTTTTTAAAACATCATTTTCAAAAAACTCACACCAGAGTGATACCGGCATTAGAGTGAGTATTTTTTTAAAATATTTAAAATTAAAATACAATTTATTAAATCAGAACAAAATTTTTATATTTGCCTAATGAAAATTTTACTATAATAAACAAATCTTTCAAAAATTACTTTTGAATAATTTCAAGTGTAATTTTAAATATGAAAATTAGCTTCTAAAAATTATATTGAAATATTTTTGTAAAAAGTAATTCTTAGAATTTTCTTATTCTAATTTTTTAAAATTCAATTATTTTCAATATTTTTAATTACATATTTCTCCGAAAATTCAATTACATAGAAAAAATAATACCTAACATTAAAATTTTTTAGAATCATTTAAAACATTTCGGAGAAAACAATTATGTGCAAAATTTTTCAAAAAATTCATTGGTTTCTTTTAAATTATACAAAATGTTTATAAAGAAATTCAATTATTCTTTTAAAAATATTTTTCAAAAATTCAATTATTTTCAAAAGATTTTACAAAATTTCAATTATTTGGAAAATTTTCAATTACGTACCTATTTAATATAATTTTAAGAAATAAAGTTTTTTTTTGTAAATTTTCGAATTAAAAATCTTTGTAAGTTAAAAAATGAAAACCTGTCAAAGCAAAAAGTAAAAGTCAAAATGCCTGAGAAAAATGAATATCTTTTGAAAGTGAAAGTAAAATAAAACTTTTAATTGAAAAATTCTCAAATCTTAACCCTAGAAGGAGTAACAAGCAAAATTCAAAGTATTCCCATGGCTTAACCAATAATTTTTTTACGCTCAAAACCCGTTGATAATTTAGTTTGAACCTCTATCTTTTGACACCTGTATGTGCCGCCAAAAGTTTTGCTCCAGGAAGAGCTCTATCTCCTGTTAAAATACGTCTGGAAAATTCTAATACAGAAAAATGTAGTATATGACAGTCAAATTTAAATTTTAAATTCAATATTGTTAATAATATTTTAACATATATTAGAGGTATTAAGAATTGTTAATTAAAACTTTGATTAAATATTAATTTACAGAATTGTGAGTAAATTAACGTACTCCTTCTATGGTTAAGTGAAAAAGTAAAAGAAAAATTACAAAATAAATGATTAAATTAATTTATTTTTTATTTTTACAGAAATTGGATACCAGGTTGTGGACCACGACTAATAATGAATAATTTTAATATTTTCACGGAATTCCAGGATTTGGATGTAGAGCAGCTCTTAAAACTTTATAAAGAATTCAGTTCGTTTCCAGAATTTGAGGAATGTTATTTTCTTAACTCATCGTCGTCCTATTACGATTCAGTCGAAGATGCTTTTCACGAAATGGGATTTAATTGAATACTTTATATTCTAAGATTTTTATGTTGGGAAACATTACAACACTTTTCTACAATTTATTAATTTTCATGCCTTTTAATGACACAATTATTGAGAAACATAAAAATTAATAATTTGTTCGAAAGTATCTTTTTTTTATAAAAATAAAAATAAGATGCTTTTAATACTACTTTTTAAGTCAAAAAGACCATTTGCAATAAGAATGAAATAACAACTTCCTCTAGATCATTTTATATGAAATTTTAAATTCTTTATTTATAAAACTTTTATAAAAATAAGTAATTTACAGGCTTCACAGTCTGTCCCCTATTTCCCTAAAAGTCCCCTTTTTTTAATTTTGGCCCCTAAACGTATCCTATTTTGAAAATTTCCCCTAATTTTTTCGTAGCAGGAAATCAATTATTTTCAATAATTTTTAAGTAATTTTGCAAAAGAATTCAATTAGCTTGATAACCAACAAAATTCTCCCCATAACATCAATTATTTTAAGGATTTTTTATAAAATTCTTTCCCAAAATTCAATTATTTTGATAAATATCAATATTTATGAGAAGAATTCAATTCTTTTGAAAAATAATAAAATACTTTGCAGAAATTAAATTATTTTCAAAATTGTTTAAAAATTTTCGTCAAGAATTAAATTATTTTTATAAATAGATAGGAAAATTCTTTTCATGAATTAAATTATTGTCAAAATATTTTTTAAAATTCTTCTCAAGAAGTTAATTATTTTCAAAAATTTTAATAAAACTCTTCTTATGAATTCAATTGTTTTCAATAATTATTATTTAAATTCTGCTCAGGAATTCAATTATTTTTAAAAAATTTAAGAAAATTCTTCAAAAAGTTTTCCATTATTTTCAAAAATTGTTATAAAATTCTTTAATATAATAAATTTTATTAATATTTTAATTAAATTCCTTAAAAGAACTTAAATATTTTCAAAAGTTATTAATACAATTCTTCGTAAAAATTAAATTTTAAGAAACATTTAATATTATTTATTTTTGTATTTAAATAATTGATTTCTCGTAGAATTAAATTATTGTTTTTCGTACTTTTAACTAACAATTCTGTGGAATTAATTTTTTAGAAAAAGTTGAATTGAATAATAATTGATGTTATTGATTTAAAGTAGAATTTTAGTTAAAAATTCTAGAAAATGTTAATTGAATTGAAATGATATAAGTAATTTTGAAGAAATTACAGTAACAATATTCTTATAATAATAAACTAATAATTCTGTCAGTCGGTCATCTTTATGTTTTATAATAATAGTCATATGAGTAGTACTTTATTTAACTAATTTTTATGGTCCCTTAAAAGTCCCCTATTTTTTTAATTTTAAGTCCCCTATTTCCCTTAAAATACTTTTTAGAGGCACTGTGAAGCCTGAATTTATTTTTTTAAAAATATTAATTTTTAGTCGAAAAATTGTTTTTGATATAATTTGCACCTTAAAATATTTGACTTTTGTAATTTTTCTCAAACAAAAAAAAAATTTCGGGTTTTGTTTATAAAATTTGAAAAAAATTGAGTTAACAAATAATGTATAGAATGATCCTTATTTAAAATGAAATAATAAAACAATTATGTTTAAGAGGAGAACAGTCTTCGTAGAAAAAAAAAGGAATTGAAAAATGTTATTCCTTTGAGAATAGGTATTTATTCTTCTGGAGTCTCAGAAGAAACATTTACTCTTGTAAATAATATTTATTGTTGTATAAAATTATATAAGAAAAATATTTATTATTGATTAAAAAAACTATTATAAAAAATTTTTTTCTTAGTCATAAAACAAATAATAAAAATTTTTATAATGTTTGCAAAATATTTTTTTTTTCATTGAAATAATAATAGAAGTTTGTGTGTTTTATATTTTTTTCCTCTAAAGAGAGTCGCGTGCATTTCAAGTTCAAGTGCCACTGTACCGCGAAGCATTTCTCTGTTTGTTTCATTAATTTATCACTGACGTAATAAGTCGGGAGAATGGATTAAAAATTCCGGTTTTTTTCTTGAAATAAAGCTGAGATGAGCGGTATTTCTGTGTAACTCTTCAACTGGACGTTTTATTCTCTTTGCATATATGTAGTTTGCCTTGAGAGGCGTACTCGGCGATAATCTCTCACACTTTAAACACAGATTCTCAGTCTTAGCTTTCTCAACGGGAAGTTAACATTTATAATAAGTTATTCACCCCCAAATTTGATTTGGTTTTTTTTATTTACATATTTCCTGATATTCTCCAGGGAAATATGAAAATTATATTGCAGTTTTTAGTCACGGCTGCAATTTTTTGGCAAATTTGGAGTCAAGACATTGCGTTTCCAATTGAGGGTACAACGAACCACGTGAGCGGAAATATTGGAAATCCCGGCGGACCAGTTGTAAGTGTGTCTTTTAGTTCTTCTTTTTTTAAATTCAAGTAAGAATTTTTATTCATTTCTTTTAAAATCATGTAGATATTTATTTATTTTAAAGGTATTCAAAATAAAAAGGATTTAAATATATGTTTCGGATTTTTTTCATCATCAGAATATAGTGATAGGAAAAAATAATTTTTATAAAAATTTAATAATTTTTAATTTTGAAATAAACTTCTGTTAAAATAGCTACAATTTTTTTTAAAGTACTTGATTGAAAACGATAAATTTGATTAAATTTGTGTTACAAATTTTCTTTTAGTTTTATTAGAAACTTTCGAAGTTGAAAATTAAATTGACTGTTTCACAATAATTATATGTATATATTCATGAATATAAATCTCCGATTTTCCTCATAGATTCAATATCTTTCTTCTGTCAAGATAAAAATGAAGACGAGTTTTCAGTTATAAAAATATTAAAATATTGAAGAGAAAACTTAACTTTTTTTGATTTACAAAAATATACTTTTAAATTATTGAAATAATAATAAAATAATAAATTTTCTATATTTATTTATACTGTATGAATGAAATTTGACTACTTTTAAATTATTTTAATATTTTATTGCATATCCCTTTAGTGCCTTTGGTACATAAATATGTAGGGGAGAGGTACGCACGTTGAGACGGGTTCTGTTTTTCAGTTATAATTTTTAAAAAACAGAATTTAGCGAAAAATTCGAAATGCTTTCTTAAAAGTATTGTCCAGGGCTACAACATTGCCAAAGAAAGTTATTTTTTTTGGACAAAATTGAAAAAATTTATAGCTGATTTTTTAAACATGTTATTTTTGACCAAAAATAAAAGTGGTACGCACGTTGAGACACCCATAGTAATTTATTTTAAATTAAAACAAAATAAATAATTACGTCAGATTCTAATTGTTTGTTGTTTATTTACTTATTTTGATGATCTTAGCTCAAAGAAAAAAAATTAAAACATTAAAAATTAACTTAAAAAAAATAAACAAAAAATAAAATTTTATTTTGCACAATAATAGTTAATCGAAATTTTTATATTCGCAATTTTTACAGGTGAAGAACATTTAAAACGCTTAAAAATTGTGGATTCAAAATCAATTTTAATGACAGTACTATTTTCACACCGTGAGCGTTTTAACCTGCGTACCACAGTGTGTCTCAACATGCAGACCTTGCCGTTATTTTTTTAAAGCTGTAAAATTATTTGTAGATGTTAACGTATGTATAAATTTTCGTCGGAACTTTAAAGTAGAACCAAAATTGATATGTAAATGTTATCCGCAATTTTTTCTGCCACTAAAAAATACAGTAAATACATTAAACAGAAATTCTGAAAAACACTTTTTTTAACTAAAAAATTGGTTCGCTCTAGTTCTACCGAAAAAACAGGAGTTATTGCGCTTTTATTGAATAAAAAGTTTGGTTATTAATGATACGACAAAATGCCAATAAAATTTTTGGTATTATCAGTTACACAGGTCTCAACGTGCGGACCGTCTCAACGTGCGTACCTCTCCCCTACCACTTAAAAATTTTAAAAGAACTTTTATCCTTTTAGGGGCGGTGGGACGTATACGTCCCATCTTTAAAAACCTCAATATCTTTGACGAAAATTAATATTTTTGAGTCAAATTTAGTGCGTTCTTTTCAGGAAGAATAGGGCTTTAAAAATATGTAACCAAGATCATGTTAAAAAAATTCCTATTGTTTAAAAAAAATTCATAAATTATTGTTAAAAATCACGAATTTTTTAAACATTTTAAAATCAACTAAAAATTGTTACTCGGGGGTTTTTGGGGTCGCTGATTACGATTCTGATGTTAGTTTTTAAAAATTCAAAATGGCGGATGCAATATGGCAGAAGATTTTTTAAAAATTTATTAGATTGTCACGAAACTTGTAACTCAAAGGTTGCTGTAGTCCCTGATTACCAATGTTTAGTTTATTTTTAAATTTAGAATGTGGGTTAATAATTAGCGGAGAAATTTTTAAATCAGTGACTTCGAAAATTCCCAAATAACAATTTTTAAGTAAATCCAATTAATTTAAAACAAAATTTACCGTTATGTTAGATTCGCCATTTAAAATTTTTAAAAACTAACATCAGATTCGTAATCAGCGACCCCAAAAACCCCCGAGTAAACATTTTCAAGCGAATACGATTAATTAAAAAAATTGTCCGCCATATTGGATCCGCCTTTTTGAATTTTTAAAAACTAACATCAGATTCGTAATCATCGACCCCAAAAACCCTCGAGTTAACATTTTGAAGCAAATCCGATTAATTAAAAAAAATGCCCGCCTTATTGGATCCGCTATTTTGATTTTTTAAAAACTAACATCAGATTCAGAACTAACATCAGCGACCCCAAAAACCCCCGAGTAAACATTTTCAAGCAAATCCGATTAATTAAAGAAAATGTCCGCCATATTGAATCCGCCATTTTTAATTTTTAAAAACTAACTTCAAATTCGTAATCAGCGACCCCAAAAATATAAAGATATGAGTTGTAAAGAAAATCCGTCCATATGAATAATGTGCCTCTCAAAGGGTTATACACTTACCCAGATAGAACGTAACCTTGCGGGAATGTTGCCTCACAATGTTAGCAATATTGCACGATAATGTTGTCGCAATGTTATTGAATGATTATTATGTCCCACCTCCGCAACATTACACGGCAATGTTACCCTAACATTACACGGTAACCTTCCGGCAACATTATCATGCAATATTGCAGTAATGTTACTTGGTAACGTTGCACAATAAGCTTGGAAATAAATTTTTTGCAACACTAACCTGTAAAATTGAATTTTACACACAGAAAACTGTGTGTAAAGTACTTCTTTTTATAGCGGTGTGTAAAGTGTTACTTTACACACCGCTAGCAGTGTGTAAAGTGAATTCCAGTGTGTAAAGTGATTTTCAGTGCGTAAAAAGGTTACTTTACGCAATCTTGTGACTGTTTGATGAGAAACAATGAAATAATGCTTTTAATTAACAATTTACAATCACATTTTTTTATTTTAGCTTCTAGAAAAATTCATTTAACAGTTCCCCACTACACCTAAAGTTACAGTAATATTGGCAATATTGCTGCAAGTTTAGTTGTTGTAGTGTTGCAAAAAATTTCGTATGGCACTCGTGCGTAAATCAGATTATACTTGTGTGACTTGCAGCACTCGCCTTCGGCTCGAGCTGCAAACGTCACACTCGTATAATCAACGATTTTACGCACTTGTATCATAAATAACTATTTTAAGTATTTTTTTTTATCAATTCTTCATCAAATTTAAGCAATAATATGTTTAATGTGAGTAAAAAAAACTGAATTATAAATTATTTTGCACGCTTACGCAGAAACCTTGAGCAACATTACAGAGCAATGTTGCTACAAGGTTACGTGCTATCTGGATAACCTCCCTACGGTTTGTTAAGGTTCTTGATTTGATTACGAATCCCAAGCATAACGTAATATTATCTTGACATCACTGTAATATTACATTGGAAATTCGTAATATTACACTGATCTTACTGGGATATCAAGATGTCCGCCTTGTAATGCATGTAATTAAATTTTGCCGTAAATTAAGCTCGTCGGATCAGGGTTTTTAGACTAACACTCTTTACAGTATTTAACAAGAAAAACGGGTTTATTAAAATAATCGAATATTTACAATAATTATATTATACGAAACGCAAGTGAAAATAAAAGAAATAAAGAAAATAACGCAAAGTCGGACGTTGAACGATAACAAAAAGGAATATGGAAGAATTTACGATATACTGCGGCACGCGGGCGCGCTATGAAAAAAATAAAGAAAACGAAAAAATACTCTTGAATTAATGCCGGAAATTATGCACGTGTATGTTGAGCGAAAAAACAAAAATTCTACACGTTTTCTTACGCTAATGTCAACTGACAAAAATCGCCAAGGTTAAATGGGAAGAATACGAATGAAATGATCTAACGTTGAGAAGGGACCCGTAAATAGTCGATGCTCCTTGTACTGATGTTGTGTCGAATAAAGAGTCATACTCTTCCGAGGGTCATACCACTCTTCGACTGTTGACTCGACAAACAAGAGTCATACTCTTGCGAGGATCAAACCACTGAAGCTCTACAAAGTCGATTGTATCGAGACCTTTTTTTTTCTTTTTCAAACCCTCTTAATTTATCAAATTTATTAAATACATGGAAATGTACATATATAATATATTTTCACAATATGGTATTTCGCGCCTGTTATTTAGTATCTAACTTATCGAAATATTTATAAATTATAATTACGTCATATATGTGTGTCGAGACCGTGCAGTGACCCTATCTTTATGCACGTACGAGAAACATGAGTATTCCGTGATTGGTCGTTTAGGAGGCGGTGGGGGCATCGAGAGCTGAGACTAGGGTTGTAAAGTTTCATGAAACTTTGGAAAATGAAATGTTTCATGAAAGTTTCATTGCTTCATGAAACATTTCAAAGTTTCAAGTTTTAAGCGAGAAATTTCAAATTCAATGCAAGAAAGTATAATAATTAACGCATATTTTGTTGTCAAAAACATGAAGTATTATTACTTACTTTAATATCTTTCTTTAATTTTTATAAATAAAATAAATAATTAAAAAATATATTAATAATTTAATTTTAAGTCACTCGTTAGAGGTAATATTTCAGGTAATTTTTAGTTAATATTAACATAACTACTCTCGTGTTTTCGGATGTAAACAAAAAATTTTCATTAAATTGTTTCGAACTAACCTAAAATTTCTAGAGATTATCTAACCTAAACTGACAACTGCGCATGTGCAAATAAAGCTTAATTATTGGTTCTTCAATGTTTCATGAAATTAATGAAACTTTCGCTTATGAAACATTGAAACTTTCAAATGAAAGTTTCATTGTTTCAATGAAACGTTTCATCACTCACAACCCTAGCTGAGACTCCGTGGATTCTGGAGGGGATACCGATATACTCTCGGAACGTTTTCTCTCGCGACCAGTGTTGATGGCTGGTCTAAAGTAGAGAACACATTCCATGGTACGCGAACGTGAACGTGTACGCGAACGTATGACGTCACCCATGCTATTCAAATGGGTGACGTCAGCACGGCAACGTTCGCGTTCATCCAATGTAGACTCTACTTAAAAACGCAAGCGCGTTTTTATTGATCGATCGCCTCACGCTTAACCTTGAAATTTATCGATGTGAATTTACTTGTGATTTTGTTTCTAAAGTAATTTTTCTTTTCGCGTATTTATTTTTAGTATACAAACATTACACTCCTCTTTCGTAGAGGAAAAAACGTTCGCTATAATCGGGAATACAAAAAAAATAAAAGTAAAATTGATAATACATACAAAAAATACTTACCTATTACTAAAAGATAACATGTTCGACGAAATCGTTGCCAACAAACAAGAAAAATATTCCGTCGGTGTAAACGAATATAATATATAACGAAATTAAATTCTAACCTTCGTTTTCCTCTGGCTTCTCCCACATCGTACAGCTGCCGTCCTTGTATGTTCTGAATTTTAATCGACGTCTACCTATGTACTTTATGAATTTTTGTCGCTTATGGTTGTTTATTAGTGATTACTTTCGTGAGTCTTCCTTGGTCAACAAGTTGGATCGGTGTTTTTTTTTCTCTCTTCGTTACCTGTCCACGTCGAACGTTCGCACCGGTCTTCTCTGAATGCTGCGGTTAAGTAGTGAAGTATCTACGGTGAGGACTGGTCCTTTGTTCTTTTACTTCATGAATTGATATTTTGTTTGTAGCGTTTCGTTTATTATTCGTGCTGGTTTTCCCTGAATGTTGTGGCTCTGTGATAACGTAAGGGAGAGTGGGGCAAAGGCGTTAGGTTTACATTTATCGATGTATATTTTTTAAATTAAGCAATTAATTTATGCGGCTTTTGTTTGTCATTATTCTAAAACTAATCAACAAGAAATTTTAATAGTTGTTATTTAGTATATTATAATTATAAATACATTATTTAATGAAATTTAAAAACAATACAAAAAATGCCTTTGCCCCACACGCTGGGGCAGCGACGTTTTCGCTTATATTTCTAAAAGAAAGCATTTATAAGCCTTAAAAAGATTAACAAATGATATTTATTATTATAATATTTACGAAACATAAGGTTAACTACATATTATTAAAAGAATTGGACTATTAAAATAAAAAATAAAATTTTTTAGTGATTTTAACCTTATATTGTGAAGTAATACATTGAAAATGCAAAAATTCAATTGTTTTTAACCAAATTATTTTCAATATTGCCTTTGCCCCACATAACAAACTTTTTTTTTACTTTAAATTTCAAATATTTAAATACAAAATTAAACTAAAACACCACGCCAGTTGTGTAGAGAAATATTTAATTTATTTACATGTTATGTTTTTAAAAATTAAATACTTAAACTTATGTTTTAAAAAATAAGAGTTTGTTCAGTAAAATTATCATTTTATTTTTGCAAAACAATTTTTTTGTTATATTTCTTTAAATATTTGATATTTTTAGGTTTTCTTTTTATCAATTGGTCTGATTGCATTGAAACTAAATTTTTAATACCAATTGGAATAGACAGAAGATAAAGGAGATATTTTAAAAACCGTCTTTGCCCCGCATAACGCCTTTGCCCCACTCTCCCCTATTTATAATCAGGACTAACCTCCTTCTTTTTGACTTCTTGGATTAAGCGTCGAAACTCGAGGTCTACTTTGGGCGTAGGACAATAAGAAATGGCAATTGGTTTGAGTATCCATTTTGGTGGCATGTTATTATCGAAAAGACTTCCAGAGATTAGTGATAAACCTCGACCAGGAGAAATAGACTTGTTGATTTCTGAAGGGTTAAAGGTGTCTTCCTCTAGTTCAGTATCTGATCCGAAAAGTTGATACATTTGTTCCTTCGACATTTTGATGTGTATCACAAAGGCCACGCCCCCTTGTGCTTTGGCATTTAATCTATCACAGCGTATAGTTACGTATCCCCTGATATTAAAAGCGATACCCTGTTTTAACTTGGTTTCATTTAACATCATGACGTCAATATTATGATCTATAAGAAATTGTGTCAATTCTCTATAGTTTCCCCTAATTCCATTGGCATTTTAATGGCCTATTGTTAATTTATTTAAACATCTCTTATTCGCCATTGGAAAGCAATAGTTCAGAGAAAATCTTTATTCTATCTTAGACATTTGTACAATTAGTTAATTTATCATTTAAAAGTTTTACTAGTCTTAGCATCTTACCTAGATTACAAAGTGCATTCAGTCTCTTGAGTTCCGCTGTCAGTTGCTACATATCCTTCAGTTCGTCCCATGTTGCTCTGCTCTGTTCAACCCAGCTCGGGCGGTAAAGTGTTTCTGCTCTCCTTGTTCCAGGCATTTTCGACGCTTTGCTTCATAGGTGGGTACTGCTTTACATTTTATACTGGCGGCTGAATGGTTTTAACATTTTCGGTTACTTTTCTAGTGGATCTGGCATCCAGTCTTTCCACAATATTCTCCACTGCAATTGCTGCACTTTTTCGGTTCGTCATTTGTCTCGCTCCCGGGCCCTTCCCCCACTTTACCTACTTTCCGGGCACCGTCAGTCAGACATACATGGTATGAACTACTTCTCCCCCCCACAAAAATGCAGTCAAATTTCATTGACGCCCTTCCCCTGTCATTTTATTCTCAGATTTCGAAGGAAAATTCTTCTAAAAATCGCAATTATCTTTATGAATAACAAAATTCTTCTCCAATGTTCAATTATTTTAATAAATGTCAAAAAAATTCTTGTCCTAATTTCAATTATTTTCAATAATAACATTTTTTGAAGGAATTCAAAAAAATCTAAAATTATAATCATGTGTATTTCACTAGATATTCTTATGTAGTTTATGGAAAAAAAAATTTTTTTATTCTAAAAGCCGATGTAGGGCAGTTCTGCTGCTCGCCGCGGAGTATGTATGTCTGACTGACGGTGCCCGGAAAGTAGGTAGAGTGGGGGAAGGGCCCGGGAGCGAGATTTCGACGCCGAGCAGGTTTACAGGAGTGAGTTGGCGTCGAAAAGTAAATCGCCCGTCATTTATGGACCAATTAGCTTATTATCTACCCTCAGTAAAATTTTTGAAAAAATATTATACAATAGAATCTTAGATTTTGAAAACACCAATAACTTATTAATTCCAGAACAATTTGGCTTCAGGAAAAGACGTAGTACTACGCAGCAACTACTTAGAGTAACTAATCATATTAGCACATATTTAAATATTAATAAATCAACAGCCATGGTTCTTTTGGATTTGGAAAAAGCCTTTGATACTGTCTGGATGGAGGGGCTTCTTCTAAAACTAAAGAATTATAAATTTCCATTATATATATTAAAAATTTTATTAGACTATCTTACTCATAGAAAATTTATTGTTTCTGTACGCGGTGCTAAATCACATGAGACTGATATAACGGCAGATGTTCCGCAGGGTTCTATCCTAGGCCCAGTGCTTTTTATATATTTTATTAATGATATACCACGCTGTGATAATTTAGCTAGTAATGTACCAAAACTTGCTATTTTTGCTGATGATACACCAGCCTACGTCTCCTCAACAAGCGAAAAACTTGCAGTTGATAAACTCATGCAATACGTACAACTCCTCTTGGAATACTTTTATAAGTGGAAGCTTAAAGTTAATATTGAAAAAACGGATCATATCATATTTTCTAATAAAAATTATGTAAAAAAAGTTAAGAAAAAGAAAAATGAAGTTCCAGATTTTGTAGTAGCGAACCAAGTTATAGAGTGAAAAACTAATGTAAAGTATCTTGGAGGAATTTTAGATCGCAAACTCAAATTCACACCACATGTCACGCGAGCTAGAAGCAATGGCTTTAAAATTATAGGTATTCTACAATCACTTATTAGTAGGCGTAGCACACTAAATCTTAAAAATAAACTTACATTATTTAAAACTATGTTTAAACCTACGATATTTTATGCAGTTCCCATTTGGGGAGAAACACCTGCAAAACAAATTTAAATTCCTTGCAGCGGCTACAAAATAAGTGTCTTAGAATGATTACCAAAGCTGCCCCTAGAGTTAGAAACACAGAAATTGCTAAAGAATGTCAAATTACGATGACGATTGAAAAAGAAGTCCGAAATATTTCCTCACACTTTTATAAAAATCAAATTTCGCATCTTACGGAACTTATTGATGTTTATATGTATACAAATGATTCTACTCCATTCAAAATCAAAACTAAAATGCCGTATCACTTGGTCACGTAAGTTAAAACCGAGTCTACTTGTTAGGTTATGTTCTAGTTTATAAAAATCTATTCAGGTGTGGGTTAGTAGTTCTATGTTTGATCTCTAGTCATTTATTTATAAGAAAATATCAGAGATTTTATAGGTTTTTATATCAGTTTTTACCTAATTTTCGTTATACATTGAATCATAATTAATAAAAAGAAAATTATAAATGTACCATTATAGTTTGCTCATAGGATAAAATTTCTATCTTAGAAATAAGTGCCTAATTTTGTACTGATGTGTAAACAAGAATCTTGTAAAACTATTTTATTATCAATAAAGTTGCTTTTATAAAACTCAGGCGTATTATGGTCACTTTATCTACCTGTACAGGCGCGTACTAAGTTTCCCCTTATAACCCAGCAGTCAATAAAGTAACCATTATAGCCCTAGGGAGATAAAGGGTACATTATTTACCGCTCACAGGTCAATAAAGTACCCTTTATCTCCCTAGAGCAATAATGGTTACTTTATTGACCAGCTGGGTTATATGAGAGAACTTAGCATTCATCGGTACAGGTAGCATAGAGTAACCATAATACGCCTTTGTTGTATAAAGTAAAGTATGGAACAAGGGAGGTAACCTCGTTTATGACCTCGCACAATATTGAAAAACTCGGACTTACCTCCCTTGTTGCATAATGTGCTATTTAACGTTAAAACCTGGAGGGGATAACAATATACTCTCGGAATGTTTTCTCTCGCGACCAGTGTTGATGGCTATTGCGCAAGCGCGTTTTTATTGATCGATCGCCTGACGCTTAACCTTGATCGATGTGAATTTACTTGTGATTTTGTTTCTAAAGTAATTTTTCTTTTCGCGTATTTATTTTTAGTATATAAACATTAAAGCCTAGAGGTAATAATATTACGTTGCAATATTAAGGTAATATTACATGGTAATATTAAGATAATAATACCTGGTAATAAAATATTAACCCTCCTACGGTTTAATTAAATTGCAGAAGTCAGGACCAAAATAGTTCAATTTACCTTGCACAGAAAATTTTAAATCTCAACATGCTTAATAGTTTTTTGGGTCGTTGATTACGAATTTGTTGTCCATTTTTGAAAATGGAAAATGGCGGATCCAATATGGCGGAACTTTTTCAAAAATTTTTATAACTTATCGGATTTGCTTGGGAAATGTTGATCGGGTTCTTTCGGGGTCGCTGATTTTAAATCTGGTATAAGTTTTGAAAATACAAAATGGCGGATCCAATATGTCTGATATTTAAAAAAAAAAATTTTAATTCATTGGATTCGCTTGAAAATCGTTAGTCGGGGGTTTTCGGAGTTGCTGATTACGAATATGGCATCAGATTTTCAAAATTTAGAATAGCGGATCCAATATGGCTATAGAAAATTTAAGAAGTTGTGTTAATAAGCTTCTGGAAACCATTACTTGAGGGTTTTTGGTGATAATTGATTACTATTTTACATTATATGTGATTGTCAAAAATTTTTTATAGCATTTAGTTTACATTTTTACTACACAAAAGAAGTGGAGTCTTGATAGAATAGTGTTTATACGCAGCCGAAAAGTCTTTAGACAAATATGATAGTCAAATTTATACAATGTTGGGTTAGCCTTTGTAAGTAGTAATATTGCTTGTGAACCGACAGATAATACAACTGAGTTTTGTGCGGACGAATGTGAGCAGGTCAATGTTGAATATTTGAAATGAAAATATTTAGAATGGATTCGCAATAAGAGATCACAAAAACCCCCAGATAATTACGACTTTTAAGTGAATCTGATATAATTTTTAAAAAGAGTTCCGCCATATTGGGTCCGACATTTTGAATTTTGAAAAACTAAAATGTAAATAAATGAAATTTGATAGGCAGACTACTAAAAAGGGATTCAACGAAATTGGTAGCTGTGTATTAAAATGTATAGAAAAATAAAAGTCAGAAAGGGGTTCCAGAAATTCAGCTATTTTCTGATAATTGTGGGGGACATAATAAATAGAGATTTATCTTTGCCATGTAATTGTACGTTGCAGACAAATTTCGTGTTAAAATCATTGACAGATTTTTGGAAAAAGGCCACACTCAAAATGAAGGGGATAGTATGCACGCCTTGATTGAAAGATGATGTAAAAACCAACTCATTTGTGTTCCACGGAAGTAGGTCAATCTAACAGAAACCGAAGACATTTTAAACGTTGAACTTTTAGTAAAGACTCAAAATTGGGATAAGGATATCAATGAAAAGAAAATATCCTGTACTCAAGTACGCGAAATCAGTTTCACTCCTGAAAAATCACACACAGTCGAGTTAAAATACAATTTCATGGATGAGCCTGTAATTTAAGATGTTAACAAAAAATATTTCTTCCTGTAAATTTTCAAACTTACAAATTTCTTTAAGCTTACACTGGTAGCATCCCGATAGGGAAGAAAAAACTTAAAGATCTTTTAAAGTTATGCGCGAATGCAATGATTCCTTCTAAATATAATGAATTTTACAATTCATTAAGATCGATTAAAAATCCTGATCTTGTAAATTACTCAGAACGCTCTTCAAGAAGTGTTGTCAGCAATAAAGAAGCATCGAATCTGATCAATAAATGCGTCGAGTGTTGCCCGAGATGTTACTAGAAGAAGAACAGAAGAAGTACGAAGTGCGTTTGAAAATGTGAATTATAACACTCCTTTGGAATGGAAAGAAAGTTTCTTTTGGGCCCAGCTTACTCCAAAGGAGACAAAAGGCATAGAGAATAGGTTGCCAGATTACTTATTTCGCATGCCACTCTAAATTGCAGAAGTAAGCAATACACCATCTTGCCCTTGGTATCAACGTTAACTAAAATGGAAACTGTGCATACCTAAAGAAGACCGCGATAAAATCCTTGAAAAAGTCACGATGAACCAACAGCAGGTCACCTTGGAGTCTCAAAAACTCTGGCTCGCTTGGGAGAATTTTTCTCTTGGCCAGGCATGCTAAGAGATGGAACTGAGTACGTTAGGAATTGCGAAAATTGCCAGAAAAACAAAAGCTCACAACAAGATGCGCATAATCAAATGCATTCAACCAACCTGGGAAATCTGTAGGATATGTTATCAGTGAATTTTGTCGGACCTCTACCTAGGACAACTTCCGGTAACACTATATTATGTGTCATCCAGGATAGATTTACAAAATGGGCAGAATTCAAACCTTTAAGAAAAGCTACAACTATGCTACTGATTTCTACGCTGAAAGAAATATTTTTTCGGTTTGGAAGTGAACCGTTCGACACCACCTTCTTCTCTTCAGTGTAATTAAGTGAAACTAGTCATCACCTTACCACCGCCCGTGAATTATTACCACCAGGCTTTCCAGACTCGCGTTAGAACTCTCTAGATAACACCGATGCAAATCGGTGACGAGCAGTCTACAGAATAACATTGCTTCACAGTTCCCCGTCTTCCCCGGAGATAGGATAAGAAACCACTTAAATCTTCGAATTTTTCTTCGAAATATTCGTTCGGTTCGTAGAAACCATTCACAATGTCTCGGACTACATCTAAACTTGTCAAAATGGAGATTAGGAAGAAGAATCAAAGGCGAGCAAGGGTTTATTAATTAACACCGAGCATTTATTCTTCTTACAGACATGCAGCCGAGTTTATAGTTCTTTTTACTTTCTTTCGTACTCAATTAATATTATTTTAGTATAATTATTTTGTTATGAAAATTTGTACTTTTGTTAATACTTATTAGTTTTTTAAAATATACTTACTTTCGAAGGTTTAAATTTGGCCTAGTTAATGACTACACCTTTCCAAATATATTCCTATTTGATTTCCTACTAGATAAATACTGTTTTGATAATTAAAGATGACACTTCATGCCACTAATAATTGTTCTTACGCAAAATATTAAAGTACCCGGACTCCATCTGTCGAGCGAATTCCGTAGCAACTAAAAATCATATCATTACAATATAGAAACTTACTTTTTCACATTTATATTGATGTGTACATGTTTTCTTATATATTTTATTTAAATAACAATATACCTTTTTATTCTCTAAAAATCTATTCATTTATTTAGATTCCTCGATTTGAATAATGGATATAAAATTTTAAATTACTGTATTGAAAAATTTAATCTTGACAGTTAAACCATTTCTTATAGAAAATAAAAAGTTAGATCATTGTAATCTTTAATCGAATAGATAGTACCTTTCGGGTCAGTAACAAAACGGTAGGTAAAAAGTCGTAGATTCCATTGAAAAGGATTATTAATTTCCAATTGTAAGTTTTTAATTAGTTTTTAATTTTTCCTTGAATGTAAGTGGAAAAGTATATAAAGAGAGTTTTCTTACGCATCATCAACCATTTTTTAAGTTTTAATTTAAGAATTTTTATTCACATTTAAATTGATTTTAAACTTCTAATTATGTCGTTTATATAATTTTATTGTTTTTTCAAACATTATTCTTATTATTTACAGTTTGTTTCTAATGTTTGTTTTTTTCAGTTAACTGAAAGGATTCCGGTACATTCGCCGGGACAGTGTCCGGAGAATATGTTACTTTATCCTGGAGCAGGAAACAGCAGCACTTGGGTTTGTGACTGCAGAGTGAATTATGTCTATTTTCCGGACACAGACAGTTGTCATGAACTTTATAAACGTGGTCCATGTCTGCCAAAGCAAATTGTTATTCTTCCACGTGAGGAAGTAATTCCAAAATGCATTGATAATGTATGCAAAGAAGAAAATCAGGTTCCATTTAACGGCACTTGCAGTCAAATTGGTAAAATCGGTGGAATTTGTGGATCAAAAGGAATGCTTATGATTAATGAGACGACATATCAACTTGAGTGCATTGATTTGGGAGTTGAACATTTTGTTATAATTAATGCGCCTATGAAAGTTTGTCCCCCGGGTAGCCGTCGAAATTCCTCGGGACATTGTAAATATGTCCTTTAGAGGAAATTTTATTATTTTCTTACTTTAGTACATATTATTAGAATTTTATTTTTATCTTTCCGTTTGAAATTATAAAATTTTACAAAGTGTCTAAGAGGCTGAAGTTTGGATGAGACTGGAGTTGATTATACATTATTTTACTTTTAAGCACTTGCAATACTGCACATCTCTAGGATTTAGATTTTTTTAAATCATATTCCAATTTTTATGTTATTTTTTATAGAAAAATGAAATTTTTACTACTTAAACTTTTAGACTAGAAAAGAATTAAGAAGATTATGCTTTTATAAGTCATTTAATTTATTAAATAAAATTATGATGAAACTCTTTATTTTTAATATAATTCTATTGACAAGCAAGGATATTTGCATAGAAACGGAGTTAAGTTAAGTAATTGAAGCGATAATTAGAATTAAATTTTTAGTATAAATAACTTTTTCACAATACTCCTTTAGTAATTTATTCTTAGACAATTTAAATAAGATTTTTCTTTAAGAATGTGAATTTATATAAACTTAATATTATGATTATTTCGTACAATAAAATATATATTGAAATAAGTGTAATTATTTATTTATTCCACAAACATTCTGATTTGTGTTGTTTTGCCGGATCTGTTTGCCAAAAAAGGAGCTAGATTTAATTATCATATTGCTTTGGTTTTAAAAAAATAAAGTAAAAAATGTCAGTATATTTTTTAAGAAGAGCATTATTAATGTAAGCATAAAAAAACTGAGATAAGTACTGCTGATATAATGTGATGACATTTAAAAGATTAACTTCATTAAATTTTATTCGTCTGATTAAAGACGGAATAAAATATTGACAAATGCATTGTATGAAATATAAGATACTTTAGTGTGTCACCGTATTTTAAAAATACTATTATACAATATTGACGGAAACAAAGATTTCTTTGCTTGTCTTTACGTTATATTTCACAAAAAGATTGACAATAAATTATTAAATTTCGACAAAAATGTTAAGTAAATATCCTTGATGAATATTAATTTATAAAAATAATACTTTTGTTACAAAAAAATGGTGTAAAATTACATTTAAAGACTAGAAGTAGCATTTTTGATATGCCCTAATCTCTAAGTTCAAAACTTAATTGATACTTAATATTTTAAAATCAGAAATAACGTTGATATGTTTCTTCTTCTTATACATTTATTTAAATATAATTTAAAAGGCTATATAATTAACCTGTATATATACTTTAATTTCCCCGCCGTATCATTCGGGTCCAATATTGGATTCAAATATATCGATAAAGGAAATTATAGATAGTTTAATAGAATGCAAGGAAGATAAAGCTTCAGGGCCGGACGGTATAAGGGGAATATTTTATAAGTCTTCCTCCGGATTGGATAGAATTTTTTGGAGCACTTTTAAATAGAATTATGGAGTTAGAGAGAGTCCTTAATGAATGGAGTCATTTACAAATGTTTATGCTCCATAAGAAAGGTGACCTCCCAGATCCTTATAATTATGGACCTATTATCCTGGTTAATGTGATAGCAAACATATTTACACAAATTTTATGTAAAAGAATGACCTTATGGGCCAATGACAATAATTTGATACCTGAGTTCCAATCCGGCTTTCGGCAGGGAAGAGGCTGCATAGATAATTTGTTTACATTCATGTCTCTCTTGCAAATACACATGTTGAAAGGTAATTCGGTTCAGTATGCGATTTTTGTAGATTTTAAGAGCGCTTTTCCCTACGTAGATCACCGATTATTGTGGCAAAAATTAAGTCATTGGAAATCAAGTTTGTGAACATTTTGAGAGATTTCCAAAGTAAATCAAATGTATACATTAAATCTAATGAAGGTATGACTGATGCGGTAAAAGTGACAAGAGGCGTTTTACAGGGAGAAGACCTGAGCCCTATATTGTTTATTTTATTTATCAAGGACTTAGAAGAGTTTTTAATCAAGGAGGGCTGTAGGGGTATAATAATTAATAAAATAACCGAAATATTTTTACTAGTCTACGCAGGCGACCTAGTTCTTCTGGCGGATTCCCCTTTGGAATGTTCGCGAAAGTTAAAAGCTTTATCTCTTTATTGTGAAACAAATAAACTAAATGTTAATGTTGAAAAAACAAAAATAATGATATTTTCAAAACAAAAAATTGTTGTACGATGTCGACTCGCAGACTGGGTTTCTCCCAAATTGGCGCCAGGTACAACGTCCTATTATGCGGTGATACGTCACAATTAACCTTAGCACCATATTGCCGCATAAAGACCAGAGAGACAGATAACCGGTTCATTGAATTTCCCTATAGCCCTGTCTTCGTCCTTTTTGGGTGAGCTGCCATTCCACGATTAGAAAAAAATACTTCTCACAATTTGGGTGCTCCGCTTTCTCTCTTAAGAGAGCTGTGCTGACCGCACCGGGCGAGCAGCACCACCAGCATGGTGTGCTGCTTTATCAAACTGGGGATGCCTCTTTACTTTAGTTAAAGGCGCGCAGCGGCAACCACAACTGATACAGCTGCTAACCTAAAAACTTTTCCGTGTAGGATAATTGTGGTTTTACTGCTGTTAGAAATATTTATGTTCAATAGCACAATTTTTTAGAATAAGAATTCTTTTTGGTTTTAATTTGAATTTCCGTTATTAATTACTTTTCTCGCATTTTTTTTTATTATTAGCAATATTATCGTCTCTATTATTATTATTTTATGATTAACTAATATTATTATCATCGCTATTAATCATTAGTATAACTATTACCATCGTTATTATCATTACGGTAACTATTACTTTTATTATTAGTATTATTTTATTATTATTATTATTATTAACCAATATGAGTATGGTTTCTTTTTTCTCGGTTCTGTTACTATTATCATTATTATTATTATTACTGGCACTATTAGTATATTATTATTACTATTACTATTGTTATTAATATTATGATTAGGCTTAATTAATAATGTTTCATTTTAACTGTATAACGATTGAATGGTTTGGAGGAAAAATATTGTAAGGCGATGAGGAATCGATGGGACAGACATGCCCCGTAACGGTAAGACGATAATTTGACCATTCCCTAAGGGTTAAGTGTTGTCCTTACGGTATAAAAGGGGCTGCGTTTAGATTATCGCTCTAAGTCAATTTTCCGGTATCTCCCTGAAAACACCAAACTATCGGTTTTAAGTGTCAAAAGAAAAAATAAATAATAATAAAGTGACCCGGTAAAAAGGCTTGAATAGAAAGGTATTAAAAATTATTTCATCATTATTATGAAGTCAAAAATTTTTAATACTTCTGAATTCCTTTTTTGTCCGCAAGATTTCAATACTTCTGTTAAGACAGAAACGCCTGTAAAACGAATCCTTTTCAATCCCCAAAGTTTACAATAATAGAGTGAATACTTTTTAATCCCTTGAAGTGGAATAAATTTGTGATCTATCTAATCCCTTTTAGTTCCTTGTCAATCAAGTGTAAGGTTTTGAAAATTTAATTCTTTTTAATGCCAAAATGAGGAACAATTGAGAAATTTTTTCCTAAAAAAAATGTATAGGTCAAAACGTGGGACAAGAACTTTTAACTGGTCAAAATAAACATTTACTTCTGCAATCCACCGCCCCTGCGCGTTGTTGGGCTGTATATTGTTATAACAATTGAAATAAATTATTTTATGCTTTAGTAATTATCTGGTGGTCATATTGGATGAATTTGAATTGATTTAGATCATGTGCAGCAACGGAATAAGAAAATAAACGTCCTTTTTTAAAAAAGTGTATTAATTTGTTAACTTTGATTAAAAAAATTATAAATAATTAAAATCCTCAAAATTGTCCTTGAAGGATGTCTTAAGAATTTATTCCCCTTTAATTTAAGACAAAGAACACTCAAATCGGTTAAAAATTGTAAGGTGTAGACATTTTTTAATAGTAAATTGTAAAAAAAATTCCACTGCGGGTCGGTGCACTGCAGAAGTAAATGTTTATTTTGACCAGTTAAAAGTTCTTGTCCCACGTTTTGACCTATACATTTTTTTAGGAAAAGACCTCACCTTTATGATAAAATTTTTTTTTTTTAAATAAAAACTGTCCATTTGATAAAAAAATGAAATTTTATTTTTTAATTTAATTTTTCAAGGTCAAAAAATTTTTTTTCAATGGTATTGCAAATTTTCGCAACTAATTGTCGATCTTCTAAGTTAATCACAATCGCTTTTGATCTTAAATTAGAAGTGGATACTGGCGCAATTTGAACGTTCTTTTTTATGATCCACATATGCAACACTTGTTTGCTACCAACAAAGAATGGTTCAACGATTAATTTGTGAACATGAATGGAACATGTTCCATCTGGCAATAAAAAAAATACCAGTAATTTAAGCGAAATCTCCATTATTTAGTTCTACAACTGTATCATTAAATTTTTTTGATCGAGTGTAACTTGTGCTGCTGAAAATGCAGTTATTAAAGAACCATCTTTCAAATTCCTTTTCAGTTACAGACTCAAAAATATTCGTCGGATTTGGAACATAAAATGTTACATTATTTACTTTCACAGCACTTTTAGTGTTAATTTTGGAAGAAAAAATAGTCTTACAATAATCGCTTGCTTTCTCGGAAATATCGTTGTTTTGCGGTCGAAGACGATATTTTAAAAGATTTAATGACTTTACAGACATTTGTTGCTCAACACTTTTCGGGCCATTGATAGTCTGTTTTAAGAAATAAATATTGTGTTCAAACGGGAACGCAGATGTTGCCCATGGAGGACCGGATTTTTTAATGGATTCAATGAAATGCAATAAAACATGAACGTTGAACGTCATACTGTCAACACTGTACAAATTTTCGTATTGAGCAACAAAAATCATCAAGTTCTGCTCGCACTCGTACAATTCATCATAGGATATTTCGGTTTTCAACAGAACAAACATACTATTTACAAACAGAATATAGTCAATACCATGTCAATATTTGCGAAATCAACGAAAGCTGATTCGCCCTTAACTCCTTGAAAAAAAGAGCCGTGTTCTTTGACACAAGCGATATCTTTCATGTGAGAAGCATGAGTTCTCAGTTCTGGTTCTTCTGATACGAAAGGATATCTGATCCCTATTTTAAAAATAAATAACCCTCGTTGGTAACAATAACTACAACCAAAATATCCATTAAACTGAAACCTGAATTGGAGAACAGCGCGTGCGACAGAGTCTGCGACAACACCAGATAGTGTGAAATGTATTTCAATTTCAGTGTTGAGATGTGCAATTTTGACTTTCATCCCTTTTGAATGTAAATTATTAGCTTGTTCTATAAATGATTGAATGAAAAGATTCATTAAATTTGGTTTAGGTTCATTTTTTACAATCATTAAACCTACTAGTAATACAAATTTAAATCTTAGATGAGCGGGTAAATTGTTTATAATTATTTGAAGGGGCCAAAATCCTCCTTTAGAAATATGAAATAATGGTGCACCATCTGTACTTATAATATAAGTTATTGTTGCCGCATACTTTCCAGTGGCAGTTTTATGCAAAATGCTGTCATCGATATCGCGTATAACTTTCTCATTACCTTTGCTTTCATGATAATCTGTGTCTTTTGGAACAAAATATTTTGCAGTCTCTTTATTTTCTAGTAGCATTTGCAGCTGATATTCTAAATCGATCCCAACGAAATAGTTAGAATTGCTTAGTGTTAATGTGTGTTCCATTTTACAAGTTTCACATAATACTTTTTTTCCTTTTATGCCCTTTTTTGATGACTTGTACAAAACTTTGTCAGTACATTCTTGACAGTAGAAATCATAAATAATTTTTTCAGGTTGTCGGTAAAATATTTTAGAAAGTGAATAGTTGGAAATGTTAAAATTTGAAAATTCTGGACCTGCAAAAATTTTTATCATTTCTATCAACATTTGTCGAGCCTCTTGTGAATCGCCAAACCTTAGGTTATACGCTACAACCATTTCGACCACGTCTCTTATAGTTATTCCTGATTTCTCAAACATAATTTTGTCACCGTCTTCAATAAAATTAGTTTTAAACTCTGAAGATTCCTGGTTAGGAAGTTGTTGTTCTGCATGTTGCGAATTTCTTTCAGGATAATCAATATCATCGTCAGAAAAGTTAAAAAAATCTTCGTCAATGTTCCAATTTTTGTCCTCGGGAAAGTAGCTTTCGCTTCACATCGAGTCATCCGAATTGTTCTTGTCAGCTTCAAATTTTTCAATAAACCCTCTATCTTCATGACTACCTCCGACCGTACTTACCCTGTAAAAAAAAGTATTGGGAGGTACGGGATTCCGTTTTGCAAGTGCCAACCTGCCAATGCGGTATTCGCGAATTACAGCATTGGGTGTCCTGGTGAATACGGAAATCAAGGGGTCCCAATGCGGTGCAAGTTTTAAGCTTTAAAAAAACGAAAATACGTGACAGGAGGAAATAATTAGTGTCAGTGCAGAAATATGCGAGTTAAAGGAATGAGAAAATAATAATAGTGAGTGTAAAAATGAAACTTTAAGAAAAAAAGGTAAGTTGAACTGTCAAATATGAGTCCAATGTGGCGTAGGCTGCTTTCAATGCGGTACACAATCGGTACATAGTGCAAGTCGCCAGTAGAGGGCAGAAGCAAGCAGAGCGAACACAGTGGCCCAGCTGACATATGATTTCCCAGTAAGAAACGAAAAATTGAAAAGGATTGAAATAATTCAAACTCTGTATGGTGTAGTAGAAATTATCCAATACTTTTGAATGCCATTTCTGTCCAATACTTTTCTATACCATGATAGGACCACGTTTCGTCTAAAAATGAATGCTATTTAATTCTTTTTGTAATTTTTAACAAAGACAAAATTTTTTTCTGAATGCTTTCCAATCCCATCCGAAATTATTACAGCCTGTCATTATATCACTTTTCAATTTTTCATTGGAACCGCGTTTCTGCATGCATTCAAGCAATCTTCTGGATTTTTGTAATTTATAAGATACATACAGTGGCAGATTTTGTAAAAAGTGTTTGTGTTCAAAGAAAAACTTGCTGAAAAATTGATTGTTTACCAATTTAACGTCATTTAAACGAGTCAGGGCCGTTATTCTGTTAGACAATAAATCATAACCTAAAAATTTCAGAGACCTTTAAACACTTTTAACTCTCTTAACTGATAATTTAATAATTATTCCTTTTTAAAATAGCAAATAAATTCATGAGTGCAGTTATTTGAAAGTAATTGAACATTCTATATGTCAACAATATTAGTATTATATTATTATACTACTGTCGCGGAATTCAGAAGCATAGGGCAGAAATGGTATTCAAAAGGATAGAATTTTTTTAATGCTTCTTAATCTTTGCTTTCTTACTGGGTATTCAAGAGGATTGATATGGTTACTATTTATATTGCTCTCACTGGATAGAAAAGTATTGGACAGAAATGGCATTCAAAAGAATAGAATTTTTTTAATACTTTTCAATTTTTCGTTTCTTACTGGGTTGCATTACATTACTTTCCAATTTTTTATTTTATAACCACGTTTCTGCATGAATCTAAACAATATTTTCGATTATTGTAATTTAGAAGATGCTTACCAACCCTGTAAAAAAAAAGTATTGGGAGGTACGGGATTCCGTATTGCAAGTGCCAACCTGCCAATGCGGTATTCGCGAAATACCGCATTGGGTGTCGTGGTGAATACGGAAATCAAGGGGTCCCAATGCGGTGCAAGTTTTAAGCTTTAAAAAAATCGAAAATACGTGACAGGAGGAAATAATTAGTGTCAGTGCAGAAATATGCAAGTTAAAGGAATGAGAAAATAATAATAGTGAGTGTAAAAATGAAACTTTAAGAAAAAAAGGTAAGTTGAACTGTCAAATATGAGTCCAATGCGGCGTAGGCTGCTTTCAAGGGGGTGCTACCCTCTGTACCAAAAACATAAGTTCGAATGCTCATTATGCCGAATTTACAATTTAGAAATGACCAGATACGCGAATCCTCAATAACCTAAATTGTATATTGAATGAAATTCAAAAGTAGGGAATAATCATTTGATATATTCTGCATATGGAGAATATTATTTTAAACTAATTCTTTTTTTCCACAATTTGAAATTATTGCAATTTTTATTTTTGGAATTTCCACTTTACCTACATTTTAATAGATCGAAACGTAAAATATCAGAATTGACATTTAATTGAAATATGATGGAGAATAAATATATATTCACTGAATAAAAAGATTAAATAATTATTAAATGTTTGAATTTAATAAAAACATATTGTTCAAAAGTTACAGTGCGAATTGTACAGAATATATATTAATAAGAAATATAATTTGGCAGAATGTCGATTCGATCGATTTTATATTTGCAAGAAATTCAATTTGACAGAATATCAATTTATAAGAAACACGTTTTCGTAGAACTTTAACTTGTCAGAATTGTAATTTTGTAGAATATTAATATTGGCAAATCTAATTTTGGTAGAAATCTGCTTTATCAGAATGATCACATGTTCGAATCCTCAAAAGTTAGAATTCCATTTTTACCGAAAATGGATTCCACATAAATATTTGGCGCAAATTTTAAAATTCTGATTTCTGATTGGTCGATTTTAAAATTTGCGCCAAATATTTATGTGGAATCCATTTTCGGTAAAAATGGAATTCTAACTTTTGAGGATTCGAACATGTGATCATTCTGATAAAGCAGATTTCTACCAAAATTAGATTTGCCAATATTAATATTCTACAAAATTACAATTCTGACAAGTTAAAGTTCTACGAAAACGTGTTTCTTATAAATTGATATTCTGTCAAATTGAATTTCTTGCAAATATAAAATCGATCGAATCGACATTCTGCCAAATTATATTTCTTATTAATATATATTCTGTACAATTCGCACTGTAACTTTTGAACAATATGTTTTTATTAAATTCAAACATTTAATAATTATTTAATCTTTTTATTCAGTGAATATATATTTATTCTCCATCATATTTCAATTAAATGTCAATTCTGATATTTTACGTTTCGATCTATTAAAATGTAGGTAAAGTGGAAATTCCAAAAATAAAAATTGCAATAATTTCAAATTGTGGAAAAAAAGAATTAGTTTAAAATAATATTCTCCATATGCAGAATATATCAAATGATTATTCCCTACTTTTGAATTTCATTCAATATACAATTTAGGTTATTGAGGATTCGCGTATCTGGTCATTTCTAAATTGTAAATTCGGCATAATGAGCATTCGAACTTATGTTTTTGGTACAGAGAGTAGCACCCCGCTTTCAATGCGGTACACAATCGGTACATAGTGCAAGTCGCCAGTAGAGGGCAGAAGCAAGCAGAGCGAATCGAGCGAACACAGTGGCCCAGCTGACATATGATTTGCATTACATTACTTTCCAATTTTTTATTTTATAACCACGTTTCTGCATGAATCTAAACAATATTTTCGATTATTGTAATTTAGAAGATGCTTACCAATTGTACGTTGGCAGATTTAGTGAAAAGTGTCTGTGTACGGAGACAAATGTGTTAGAAAATGTTTGTTTACCTATTTCACGCCATTCAAACCAGTCAAAGTTTCTTTTGCTGTGGCTCATTGACATCAGCCTATGCCGCATTGGGCCCATATTTGACAGTTCAACTTACCTTTTTTCTTAAAGTTTCATTTTCACACTCACTATTATTATTTTCTTATTCCTTTAACTCGCATATTTCTCCACTGACACTAATTATTTCCTCCTGTCACGTATTTTCGTTTTTTTAAAGCTTAAAACTGGCACCGCATTGGGACCCCTTGATTTCCGTATTCACCAGGACACCCAATGCGGTAATTCGCGAATAGGTACCGCATTGGCAGGTTGGCACTTGCAATACGGAATCCCGTACCTCCCAATACTTTTTTTTACAGGGTATTCCTAAATGAAAAAAGAGCCTCATGATTAATTGCTGGGTAGCGCGATAATTTATATAATTACATTGTTAAAACTACATATTATATACTTTTACTGTTTTTAAAATGACTTTTACTACGATTTTGGAAAACTAATCATTTCTAAAGGTATACTGCCACAGCTCGCTGCTGCTTGCCTGCGAGTCAATAAATATTGACTCGTTAAACAAATTATTATAAAATATTGAAAACATATTTGGGGTCGTTATAAAATCTCAAATGTTTACTCAGAATGTAGAAGAATATTTAAAGTCATTTTAATTTAAGTTATTTTTAAAGAAATAATTATTATTATACATAACTGAGAAAATTATTAGAATTAAATTTTCAATTTATATTATTTAAAAATTTTAAAGTATATAAAAACTTCAACAAATTTTGATACTAATAATTTCATAAATTTGACATCAGATTTTCTACATTCAAAATAATTAAACTTTCATACATGCCTTCAACTTTTGTTTTAAATGCATTTTTCCACCTATTAAAAGTTTTGTCACAAATCTGTTCTTGCTGAAAATCTTTATCTAACGCTAACTTATAACGTTTTGCTTTAACATGTCTATTGCCCTCATCCATTTTAGATTTGTTCAAAAATTTTAGTTTTCAATAAGTACGTTCTTAATTGAAATCCAGAAAAAACAGAAAAATGGAAACATTAAACTAATAGCTAACAGCACCGTTGGTTTGATGAATCTTGTATTTTTTCAAAACAATAGTAAATATTTTAAATAGTTAAATAAATGTAAGTTTAAAGGTAAAGATTATGTAATTGTAGACATAACCTCAAAACTAAAAGTTTTACAGCTATTATACAAATAAAAATTTATGAATGATTATATATAATTACCAGTTTATTCACGTTGATATATATATATATATATTGAAACATCATTAATTATTATAATTATTATTAATTTAATATCTAAAAATATAATATTTCAACTAAAATAAATATTATTTAAGGTAAGTATTGAAATACGATTTATTCTTATAATAAATACAAAACAAACAAATATATAAATATCACTTTATTTTAATCACAAACACACATATATACACAAAGTACAATTATTTTTTAAAAATTGTCATTTTTATTATTTTTATTATGTGAGAAAAAAACACTTGTACGCACAATTTAATTGTTTATAATTTCACATTTATTGGATGCAAAATAAAATCGACAAATGACGCGAATCACATGTAAGCACTGTTGTAAAAAAAGGTTGGGTCTATAGGGATAGGTAGTTAAACGTATAACTTGAAATATTAATAATAAATGTAATAATAATAATAAAAATAATAATAATAATACTGACAGAAATAATAATAGTATATTTATGAACTAGATATAATTTGCTTTGAAGTTACTTTGAATCGGAAGAAATAAATGTATTTTCAAGCTATTGCAGAAACACCTTTACAATGAGGTGTGTGAACGGAAGGCGATTTTGACATTTTTCGGTAATTTTCCCTAAACCCTAAACTTTTCGATTTATTTTCAAACAACTAGATTTTTATTACAATCTAATCAGATGAGGAGGTATTAGTTTTGTGCGAATTTATATTATTTGATTTATTTTTATTTTTTTATATTTATCTATTGTGGACTTAACCTATACCCAACTGAAAAAGTCCGTCTTTTTGAGATTTGAAATAATTCACATGGAAATCCACATGGAAATCCACATGGAAATTTTCTATTTTTTCTATTTTTAAATATTTTTAAAAATAAACATCAAATTCGAATTTGAGACCCCAAAGGGGTCTCACTCACTACTTTCTGCATTTTTAGAGAGGTTTTCGTTCATATTTTGAGTTTATTAAGAATATAAAAAAATCCATGCGGAAATCCACATGGCAGTCCATGCGGATTTCATGTGGATAGTTTCAAATCTCCATATGTATTTCTACCTAAAAAGTCCATGGGAAAATCCAGACGATTTTTTCAGCTGGGTAATATTTCTATCGATCTTTGCTATCACAACAACAAACAAAATATACTAAATTTGTTTGTTTTTAAAATAGTGATTAAACTTCTTAATTACATCTAGTTCATAAATATACTATTATTATTATTATTATTATTAGAGTTGTGCAAAAAGCTCGAGGCTCGAGGCTCGAGCGAGCTTTTTCGAGCTTTTCATTTTTCGGGCCGAGCCGAGCCGAGCCTAATCAGTTCGAGCTCGAGCCGAGTTCGAGCCGAGCCGAGCTGTGTAAAAAGCTCGAATAGTTTCGAGTACTCGAGTTAATTCGAGTACTCGAATTTTTCGAGCACTCGAGGGAATTCGAGTACTCGAATTTTTTCGAGCTCTGAGTAAATTCGAGTTCTAGAGAAAATTCATAGAATTTTCGCATTTATTATATTTAGCAAATAGAAATATTGATTCAGTAATTCAAAAAAATTCGAAATTTTTTACTTATTAATAGTTTTTTTAGTAAGTCAAAAGCTCGAATCCATTCGAGTACTCGAAAAATTCGAGTACTCGAATTCACTCGAGTGCTCGAATTTAATCGAGTACTCGAATTTACCCGAGTACTCGAATTTTTCGAGTACTCGAAGTCACTCGAGTACTCGAAAATTTCGAGTACTCGATACATCGAGCCGGCTCGGGCTCGGCTCGGCTCGGCCCGAAAAAATTTCGGCTCGGCTCGGCTCGACTTTTCGAGCTTTTTGCACATCTCTAATTATTATTATTATTATTATTATTATTATTATTAATATTATTATTATTATTATTACTACATTTATTATTAATATTTCAAGTTACGTGTAACTACCCATCCCTATAGACCCAACCTTTTTTACAACAGTGCTTATATGTGATTCGCGTCATTTGTGGATTTTATTTTGCATCCTATAAATGTGAAATTATAAACAATTATATTGTGCGTACAAGTGTTTTTTCTCACATAATAAAAATAATAAAAATGACAATTTTTAAAAAATAATTGTACTATGTGTATATATGTGTGTTTGTGATTATAAATAAAGTGATATTTATATATTTGTTTGTTATGTTGTATTTATTATAAGAATAAATCGTATTTCAATACTAACCTTAAATAATATTTATTTTAGTTGCAATATTATATTTAATATATTAAATTAATAATAATTATAATAATTAATGATGTTTCATTATATATATATATATACCCCCACAGCACCGAAACTTTCCTAAAAATTTATTAAATATATTTACTTGCAATGTTCGGAATATGTAATTGCAATGTTTATTGAAAGTTAAGTAAAGAACAATTTTCACTAAACTTTTTAGTTAAATATGCCGAATATTGCAAGTAAATATTTAATAAAATTTTAGGAAAGTTTCGGTGCTGTGGGGGTATATTTATATTTTTTTTAAAAAAATGGTATTCATATATGACCGTAAATACGACCCTAAATACGGGCATAAATACGGCTGTATTTACTGTTTCAATTACACTACCCTACTGAGGCCCGTATTTAGGGTCGTATTCACAGTCATATTTACGCTCGTATTTACAGTCGTTTTTTTCAGTAGGGACAGCATTAATGCATCTGAGTGTACATAAAATTATATATAAACGAAACAAGTTTTAGAAGATTTATTCTAAATATAAAAAACATCTTAAATGGAAAAGAATTTATAAAAAAAAGTTTGATACCAGTCGTTCTTCGAATTGTAAAAACTTGTTTTAACCTTTCTATTTCTAGAGGCTCTAGAGAGATGATATTTAGTAAAATGCTTTCAGTTTCTTTTGATTATTCAATCGAGTTTTAATACTTACTATTCACTTGTCAACTAATTATTATTAATATATCAACAGATATTACTTCTAGGAAAATTTCTTTCTGATTAATAGTTATGTGGCAATTACACATCTTTGTTGTGTCATTAATTTTCTGTCAAATACGAATGGAATTATTTGATTTTGTGGTGAGTTTGTCAATTTTTAAATCAAAAGCAATTACTTTAAAAAAAATAAAGAAAAATTTATAGATTTTTTAAAATTGAAAATTAAACATTTATTCAAAGTTGCAATTATTTCTTTTAAATAAATTTTTAATTTATTTTCTGGTGTTCTAAAACAATTTTATTATATTAAGTTCCAATAATATGACATTCTTTTACTAATGATGAAGTATGATTAATAAAGGCATCATTGTTGTGTCATTAATTTTCTGTGAAATACGAATAGAATTATTTGATTTTATGGTGGATTCGTCATTTTTTTAAAATCAAAAGCAATTACATTTAAAAAAATAAAGAAAAATTAATAGATTTTCTTAAATTGAAAATTAAACATTTATTCAAAGTTGCAATTATTTCTTTTAAATAAATTTTAAATTTATCTTCTGATGTTTTAAACAAAATTATAATATATTAAATTCCAATATATTATATTAAATTGTTTCACTAATTTTTCAATTTAATATAAAGTACTTTAATTAAAAACTATGTTTATAATGCTTTAACTTCAATGAAATTTTTAAATTTTATTATTTAAATAACATTTTTTTAATTTTTCAGACAAACTCGACGACATGCCAAAATGAAAATATGATTTTCTATCCATTGATTGAAAATTACACATCATGGATGTGTGATTGTATTATAAAATATTTATATTTTCCTGCAACTGATTCTTGTCACGAACCATACCGACAAGGACCATGTCCAACCGGACAATATTTGTTGTTTTCGGAAAAAGAGAATAGCGGAAAATGTGAAAGAAATCCTTGCATTCATGATGGTCTTGTGCCATTTAAGGGAGGATGTTACTCCCTCGGATTATCTGGACCACCTTGTGATAAAGAAGATAACACTATTCTATTAGTTACTCTCGATTTCAAATTGACTTGCTCATATCCTATATTTTTTGGAATCATAAATGCACCTGGAAAAACTTGCCCGACTGGAAGTCGACGAATTTCTTTAGGAATATGCAAAAAGATTTTGTAACGATGTTAATAAAAAATACTTTTTTATGTGATGAAAATGTTAAAATACTTTATTAAAACTGTTTTTAGAAAGTTTTAGGTTTTCATTGTTAAGCTTTTCAAATTTTTTTAGTTAACAATTTTTTTTTCATAAATGTTAAGAAATTTTTTTATACTCGTTCACCTTGAATTAAAGAATAATTTGTTTTTTGTTATTTATCGTCTATAAAACTGAAATTAATGAGCTGATGATTTCAGTGTCTCTCAGACTTTCAAGGACCCTTGAACATTAATTATCCTTTTTTAAAATTGTAGTTTTTCCGCCAAATCAAGGAAAAATGTGGATTCTACAAATTTTTCTTATGACTTTAATTTTCTTTCAATCATTTTGTCATGAAGTTGACATTTTGGTAAGATTTTAATGTTTTTAATATATAATTCTTTTCAGCAGTTCATTTATTACCCATCTGTCTTTTCTAAAAAACAGTTTTCAATTTTCTATAGAATAATATTTTCATATTTAATTTTGAAAGAAACTAAATATTTTAGAAATTATAAAACATTTTAGGTAAGAACTATAAAAATACATCTTTTTCTATTTTTATAAAAACTAATTATTATTGAAAAAACAAAAAATATTGCTGGTTATAATCTATACTCAGAAGAAAGTAATTTCTTATTAAGAGGAAGAATCTTCTGATATTTAAAGAAATTTATTTTTGATACTACATGTAAAAAAAGTATGATTGTATTGAAATTTTCTAAAATGATTATATTAACAATTTACTAGTGCATTTCATCTTTGAAACCATCCATTTAAATAAAATATTATCATAACATGATTTTAATTAATGTTTTATGATGTAACATTGCATTAAGGTGAGCATAAACGTTTCTATTATAGAAATTTAAGAGACCATCGAACATCTCACTCAAAATTGATTTATTTTAATTTTCAGACCTGTCCACACAGAATGCAACCATTTCCAGGATTGGAACCAAACACATGGGTTTGCGATTGCATTAAACCATTCATTTACCATACCGAAACGAATTCTTGTCATGAAGCCTTCTTCCAAGGTCCATGTGCAGATAATCATTATTTAGTGTTTCCCAAAGGAAAGTTAAATGCAAAATGTAAAGAAAATCCTTGTCATAAATATGCCGTTGTCCCCTTTAATGGAAAGTGTGTACAACTTTTTGCGTATGGCCCACATTGTCCAGATGATTTCACTCAATTACTTGTTAATGATAATTATGAGCTCTATTGTGGTGTACCAAAATCGTATACCATTATAACGGCTCCTCCAAAAGCTTGTGAAAAAGGAAATCGCAGAACGTCTATAGGACTTTGTAAAAAGGTTCTGGAATGATTTTTGATGTGGCCCATAAACAATTTAATTTATTAAAGTATAATTTCCAAGTTTATTTAATGTTTATGTAAAGAATAATTATTTTTTAAATTATAAAGTTGTTCATATTATTTATCCTTTCACAAGTTTCCAGATTTCGAGTTTAGTCATTTATAAATATATGTAAATTTTTTATACAGTATCGTCGGAAATTATCGGTACGGCTCAAAAACATACTAATTTTTAAACCACGATTTTTTTGTAAAAACACTTGTTCGATTTGTATGAAAATGGCGGCCGATTTCTCCCTTGGGCAAGAAAAATGCATGTGAACAGCTAATTTTCTTGCCCTTGGGAGAACACGGCCGCCATTTTCATACGGTCGAAGAAATGAATGACTTTCCTCCCTGTCGGCTGGTATCAGAAAGCGCCGTTTTTGTGCATGTGGGATAAAAATTGACTTTAAACAACAAATTTTTTTCTCTGTAATAATTTTATTTTAACCCTTCGTCAGTCGCATCAAATTTTGTAACGCGGTTAATCGCAGGTGAGTAAACTGCTTACCATTATAAATTAGTCCAAAATTGTTATAAAATGACAAATTTTTTTGAAATGTTAATTAGAATTTCTAAAAAACATATTGTTATTAAAATTTTCTTTCATTTTCTGTTAATTATTTAAAAAATAAAAAATTAATAACATGTGAAATTGAGTATATACTCGGTTAGTTGCACGGTAAGAAGTTTCCGTACTTTACGTCAAAAATATACGACATTTTCTATGCTTTCAAATTCAATAAAAATAAATAAACACAAAAATTCTTTTAACCCCTTTACTGCGACTACAATTTCAAAGAAAGTGATTAAAATTCAGAAAAAAAAATTTTTTGGATTTCAAAAAAATTTTCTATATATGGGTGATTCTCCTGAAAGGGACCACTTCACGTGTCTCCAACATGAGGTTCATTATTTAAATTAATTTTTCATTAATATTTTATCAAGTTTAAATTTTTTGAAAAATTTATTTATAATCTACGAAGATTTATCTATCTTTATATAATCTTCTATTGCTTATATTTAAATTTCTTCCTATTTAAAAAACATATTTAATTTTGTCATCGAATTTTGGTTAAACAGAATGTATATTTTATAATTATATTTTAACGTATTTAAACAATTTCAACATATTTATGATATATATCAAATTAAAGTTCAGAATATAAGGATTATTTTTTACTTACATTTGTTTAAAATAAGGTAAAAAAAGTTATTTAAATTATTAATTAAAATAGTATTATCAATGAGAGTAAAAATTAAATTCATCTCCGAAGCCTCATTTTCTATATAATAACATCATATTTTTTAACGTTTTAAACATAATATGTAATCGATGTGAAAATATTTGATGATTAAAACTAAAAATATTGTTTAAAAAATTGTAATATTTTTAAAATTAGAAAAAATGAGAATTTTTTCATTAAATTATTATCAATTCATCTCCGAAGCCTTTTTTATATTTGATAGGCGTTTTCTTTTGTTTTTAATTTTTTAATCATTGTTTTGAAATATTTAACCCTCAAATTAAATTATTAATTTAATAAAAATAAAATATACAAGCAAAAAGTGCAATAAATTAAAACATAACAATTTATTATTTAAAAAAAATATTCCTACCGAGTTTTTTTTACAAAATAATTAATTTAAAAGTTATAATTAATTATACTTAACCTCTAGAACACATGATAGTAAAATGTTCCTGGAGGTCTTATTTCTGAAAATTAATTTTGCGCAACTTATATTTTTATCTTTAAACATTTTCTAAACTTATTTATGAAAGAAAAGTAACAAAAAAAGAATAATTTGATTTTTTGGAAATTCAACCAAAAAAGGGTCCCTCTCAGGAGAATCACCCATATGGGTTTTTGGGGTTACTGATTACGCATTTGAAATTTTGAAAATTCAAAATGTCGGAACTAATATGGCGGATGCATTTCTAAAACCTACATTATTTTGTTTCAAAATGGTTACTCACAAGTTTTCGGGGTAACTAATCACGAATGTGATATCAGTGTTCAAAAATTAAAAATGGCGGATGCAATATGGCGGACGAATTCTTAAAAAATTGGACAAGTGCGAGTTGTACTCGCACTGCAATGGCGGGTTCCGTACACATATATTAAAACAATACTTGCAAAATTTATCGGTAATTGGTAGAATTAAAATCAATTAAAAAATATATTATAATCATTTGATAAAAAAAATAACTAAAAAAAATTAAAGTATTGTCCCAGTGGGCACACTTGTTCAAAAGACGTCCTAAGGATGTCTTTTTACGGACGTCTTTTGGACTTGTACAAAAAGACGTCTTTAAGACGTCTTAAAGACGTCCTATTCATGTTCTATGTCTTGGCCATTAGATGTCTTTAAAGTGTCTAAAAGACGTCTTTTTCATTCAACATTTGAAAATAGAAAAATTTTCATAAATAGAAAATATTATTTTCTAAGTTCAACTTGGACTTAGAAATTTATGAATGTGAAATTCATTGGAATTTTTCTAAGTTAAATTCATTTCATTGACAAGTGAGATCGTTAACTTTGTAGAGTTTCATATCTGTCTTGAACGGCTGAGGTGCTTAAGGTGCAGTGTTTTAAGCCCAAGGTATCCGAGTTTGATCCCAGCTTCGTAGGAATTTTTTCATTATTTCTCCACATTTTAGAAAAAATAAAATTAAACTTAAAATAAATTTAATACAATGTTACTGAATTTCAACTTAGAAAATATTATAAAAGAAATGTTTATTTAAGATCTAAAGGAATGTAAAAAGGACGTCCAAAAGACGTTTTAAAGACGTACTTTAGACGTCCTTTCTTATGTCTTTTAGACGTCTTTTGGACCAGACATAGAACGTCTTTTAGACGTTTTTTAGTTGTCTTTTTGATGACTCAGAGACATTGCCATCATTGTCCCCGAATCGTCCGCGGACAAAAAGGGACGTCTTTAAGACGTCTTTTAGACGTCCCTTTGCCCACTGGGGTATATTTAATATTGTAAACAATAATGAGTATTTGGCCTATTTAATTATATATTTACAAAAATAATTAAAATCCTTATTAATAAAATCAGATGTCTGTCTGTACATTGCTTAAAACTTCAAAATGTTAACATGATTAGTTATTATGGACATCAGAGATTCCAAAAATGTTCTTAAAAAATTTTATGTATGTATGTATGTATGTATGTATGTATGTATGTATGTATGTATATGTATGTTTGTCTGTCACAAAAACTTTGTACCCCAATCACACAAAAACATGTGAATCGATTTAAGTCCAACTTGGTAGGTTATTAGGTATTGACCCAAGGAAGGTTTATAAATTTACAGATTTAAAAAATATTAATTAGAACGGGAGATATTCAATTTTTTCAAAAAATTCAAAAAATCGAAAATTTCAAAATTTTTTATTTTTCATGGATTGCTTTTGAAGTTTATATACTTGAGTATTATATGTTATTTAGTCACATTATAGCATAACTTTGCAAAAAATAAAGTCCTATAACTAATATGTAAGTATAAAAATGTTTTCAAAAAATCGAAAATTTCAAAATTTTACATTTTTTTATGGATTGCTTTTAAACTTTCTATATTTGAGTATTACATGTTATTTGGTCACATTTTAGCATAATTTTTCAAAAAATACTATTCTACAACTAAGATGTAAATATAAAAATATTTTCAAAAACTTGAAAAATGGAAAATTTCCAAATTTCACAATTTTTAATGGATAGCTTTTAAACTTTCTAAAAATGAATATTATATGTTATTTAGTCAGATTTTATCATAATTTTGCAAAAAATACTATCCTACAAGAAATATAAAAAAATTTTCAATATATCAAAAAATCGATACTAATTACTATATGAAGTATAATTCAGTAGTATTTTTGGAGTCTCTGATTAATATTTTGATGTCAAAATAGTGCAATTCAAAATTATTTATCAAATCAATCTAATATTTTCAAGAAGTTCAGAAATATTGAAAATGGAAATTTTTTATGATTAAAATGATTTCGCAGGATGTCAAGAATTGTAAGTCACCTGTGATACAATACAAGCATATTATGCCACTAGGCAAAAACTTACATGTTAAAACGTTTTTTCATTTTAACTCTAGATTTAACTTTAAGAGATGTTTTGAGCAATGTAAAGACAAAAGTTAACACGGTGTCTATTTTTGTTTAACAAAATTCCCTGCTTTGTCCAAACTTTTCACGGTTTATCTCTTTTTTGTCAAATTTAAATTTACTTGATTTTATCCATAAATAAATCTACAAATGGCTATAAAAATTTACTTATTTTATGAAAATACTGTTTCTTAAGTTCATATAAATATAGATTGTATTACTTGCTGTCGTACAGTTTTCTGTTTATACTAATACATTTAACTGGGTATCTACCAAACGGGAAAAACTGTAAAAAGCTGGGAATATGCCGAACCGGGAATTTTCCTATCAAATTAAGAAAAAGTTTCATTATATTAATTCGCTTTTAAAAAATTGCTTTTTACTTCAATTTTTATTGATGTATAATATTTATGAAAACAGACCCGAGTCAAAATTTAAGCCCTACTTTTAGCCTAAAATTTAGGTCTTATGTTAGGTTTTAGCAGTCGTAACGTAGGGTCTACTTGCGATACAATTAGTTCCAATTAGACTCTACTATAACTCCAAAAACTGTATGGAAAATTTAATTTTTTTAATACATTAATTAAAGTACTACAAATTGATAAATATTGTTCTCTGCATTTGAATTGGTTAAAATAACTAATTTGATAACAAAAAGTCAATCACTGATTCAAATAGTAATATTTTCCTACTAAAATAGCTATAATGGTAACTAATTATTATTTTTTTCCGGTCAAATTAAATTCCCTAGCTATTTCCTGATTTTCCAGATTGGTAGAAACTTAAATGTATTGGTAGAAACTAAAACCCGTCGAAGACGGGTACGACAGCTAGTTACATGAATAAAATAGTTTAAAAACAAAAATACTGAAACCTTTTTCAATTTCATAAATATTGTATTTTCTTAATGATAGAAGAGACGTAATTATTAGGTTTTTTAATTGAAAGGTATGTTTAGATTAATTCTCGAGAAAATTCAGTAATTTACGATTTCACAGTTCGGATAATATGTTAGTAGTTAAACTTGTTTTCCTTGAATTTAAAAGAGTATGTTTCTTCCTTGCTTGACGCACCAATAAATATAAATCGTTGTGCGAACATCTAGTCTCTCATATTCTTTTTAGTTTCGTTATATTCTGCAATGAAATAAAATTAGTTATATAATTTTTTCTTATTCTAAACTATATAAAGCATTATTTTATTAATTTTCGACAAAAATGAAATTTCTTATCCAAATCAATTTTATTTTCGTAATTCTTTCCTTAGTTTCCAGTGACGAAAAAATTGGTAATCCAAGTCAACAAAGTGTAAGACGCTTTGATACTTCTTTAATTTTATTAAAGCGTGTCATTTGTAGATAAATAATTTTTCTATTACGTATTCTTCGAAACACGTTTAAAGAAACTTTTTTCGAGCAAGAAATTTTTTATACGTTTTTAATAAATACCATTAAAATATTTGATGGTTTATAATAAAAAATTTATTATATATATGTGCTAAAGCTTGGATTTTTTAAAACTACAAATTTCTCATAGTTCAATATTATGCAATTAACATTCTTTGTTTCAGTTTTTTTAATATAAATATATAAACAGTGAAAATTAATATTAAAATTTAACTATTAAGTACACATAAATCTTTAGTGTTAATGTAATATTTTAGAAAGAACGTTTACTTTGTTTTAGAGTATAAAAGAAAAGAAATATATTAAAAATTAATTATTTTAGCAAAATGATTGTCCGAAGAATATGGTTCAGCTTCCGGAGTCTGAAGATTCAAAGGAAATGATCTGTGATTGTCAAAAGAAATTTTTGTATCATCGAGATAGCGATTCTTGTCATGAGGCTTACAAAAGAGGTCCTTGTCCTTCGGACCACCATTTTGTCCTTCCAACCGATGAGATATCAGCAAAATGTGTTAAAAATCCATGTAATGAAGATGGACTTGTTTATTATCAAGGAAGTTGCAATAAGCTCGGACAAAATGGACCACCCTGTAAAGACAATTCAAATTTACTAGATGTCAATGAAATAAGTTTTGAACTGGAGTGCAAACCGGCATTCTTATTCGACAGTCGTCTTAATGTACACAAAGTTACTAACGAGTGTCCTAGAGGTAGTCGTAGAATATACTCAGGAAAATGTAAACACATTTTTCAATAAATAATAATTATGAGTTACATTATAAAACGAGAAAAAAAACTGTGATCATAACATATTTTTTCCCCTCTCAAAATCATTTTCCTTTGATTTATTCTTTGAAACTAGCTTGAATATTGCAGTTTAATATTGCAGAGCTTATCATGCAATACTTTGTTTTAAAATATTGTTTCTTTGTCCACTGTTCAGATATGTAATTATAAGAAAAGTAAAAAAAAAATGAACTAGAGCAGAGGTAAGTTATTACAGATCTTGAGTGTGTTTTTTTTTATTTGAAGTTGAAAATGAATTTCAACAGGTTTAAAATTTAAAATTCTTAAAAATTTTAATTTATATTGAAAACTATAATATTATTATTAATTTTCTTTATATATAATTTAAGTCTTAACAAAATTTAATTCGTATTTGATTCAAAATTATAAATCTGTTTAATCTAACTATTAAAATACTTTTATAACAGGGTATTGAATACGTCTCGACTTCAGAGAAACTTGTCGTTAAAAAAAATATTCATACCAGTTGAAGATTGTTGCAGTCAGAAATGTTTCACGAAAATGTCAACTTCATTACAAGAAAAATTACATTCAAAATTTTGGAAGTTCGGAAATTATGATAAACAAAATGTATTCCTTAGCACACTTATAAAATGTAGAGATCCTAAATCTGTTGCTGGTATAGAAGCTCCTCGATTAATTAAGTGTGGCAATATTATTTTCCGACTGATGAGACAAATATTTTAGTCTGCAAAATGTTTGTATGGGTGATTCTCCCGAAATACTCCTTTTTGTGAGTTACAAACAGAAAAGAAAAAAAATTATTATTTATGGATTAATGCAGTCAATTATATTGAGCTTTCAAAAATCTACCACCTCTATAGCATGATCATGCTAACGTTTAGCTTTTAAAGTATATATTTTAAATTAAAATTTACAAAAAAATTAAGAGGTTAAAATTTGGCGCCGGCGTTTTTTATTATATATATTTTTCTATTTACAAAAAATTATTTAAAAATTATAATTTATTAATATTATCTATAAATTTTATAGATTTTGAAATACTTACAGTTATCAAAAATCTCTTTAAACAATTGTCAAAAATTATTTTTCATACATTTTAGGTTCACTTTTCACTGGCAGTTTGTAAACAACCGACAATCATATCAATTTTTAATTTTTATTCAAAAAAGTGAGAGGAATGACGGGTGAGAGGAATGACGATTTCAACATTTTTTAATTTTATTTAATTGACAAATAATTTTCCTCCAGCTTAGAATGCCCTATCATGTTTATAAAGGATAACTTTATGTGAAAAAAATTTGCGATCAATTTATATATATTAATATTGTTTTTATTAGGGGTGAGAGGAATGACGCTTTAGGTTGTGAATCTCTGCTTATGTCTCAATTTAAATTTTTTTAACGCAAAATAATGACATTTTTTAAAAAGTAACTTAAGAAATTAATATTAGAGATGTTAATTTAAATATTGATCAGAATAATTAAGCAATATCTCTACCCAAAGCAAAAATATTGGATAATATTCAACGAGTGAGAGGAATGACGCGGTACTACATGACAAATTTCATTTTCTATATTTAAAAAAACTACACGACATATTTTATTTATATTTTTGAAAATTATTCTTAAATATCATAACTTTTAGAAAAAATTAATAAAGTACCAATTTTCATGTTTTAAATAATTGTTTTACCTATTGAAAAAATGAAAAGCACTTAGATGACAGGTTAGAAAATCGATTTTGAGGTGGTAAAATATTTTAAAAATGTATTAAACAATAAAATTTTACAACTTTTTCTTGCAGAACATTTAGAAAAAGTGATAAAATAGGGAAATATGACTTGGTATTTTCCCAAATGATTATAATTATTTAGAAAATCTTGATTACATGCAAAATGAGGTTTTTTGGAGAATCACCCGTATACACTACTTTAGAAGTTATTTGGAATTTTACAAATTAAAATATTATGCTAATGTTTCTGGAAGACATAATTTATTAGACTTATATTTCACGACTTATAGTAAATTTTTTTAATGTTAATATAATTTACTCATTTTGACTACTAAAGAGTGATATTTGTAATTATTGCTATTTAAGCTATAAGCAAAGTGTGGAATCTGAGAAAATTTTAAAACATAAATAGTCAGTTTTAGAGTTAAGACATTAAAGAAAGAAATATTTTCAGAAAAGAATGTTCTCCCTTGTGAGTGTGATTATGCACAAAACATGCCTCTGCCAAAGATTCTAGTGTCAGAACAATTTTATAAAAGATTTTTGTGGCTCTACCTATTTAATGCGCATAAGTAGTCAGTTTTAGAGTTAAGACATTAAAGAAAGAAATATTTTCATAAAAGAATGTTCTCCGTTGTGAGTGTGATTATGCACAAAACATGCCTCTGCCAAAGATTCTAGTGTCAGAACAATTTTATAAAAGATTGTTGTGGCTCTACCTATTTAATACGCATATATTAATTGAAGTCGGCTGGATTCACATGCCTTTAAATACGATAGGAATTTAGTGTGGTGGAGAGTCAGTTGCGAAGGAGCTTTTTTGTTCTATTCTGAACAACTTCTTCACTGTAAGTTTCTATTTGCTTAAAATGCCTAAAACAATGTTGTAAATAAAGCTATTAGAGCCTTAAGCATGATAATGAGAGTGGGTTCTAAGTTTCATAATCTCCGAGTATTAAAGTACTTCGCATTTGTTCAACCTCTCCTTGAATACGCTTCTGTCATTTGGTCACCTTAATACTATGTACACAAAATAAGAATCGAACGAGTGCAGAATGTTTTTCTAAGATTCGCTGCAAGACAGGTTGGCATTCCTTTTGATAGATATAACCACGATTATACTGAGCTTAGTCGACTTTTGGATATTCCCACAATTCAGTATAGATTTCATATGAATGACATTATATTTTTGTATAAAGTTCTAAATGGTAAAACTGAAAGCCCTACAATATTATCTCAAATTTCATTGTCAACGCCTATCATTTCTCTTCGTTTTCCATCAAAATTTAAAGTTCAAAACCATCGAACAAATTACGGGGATAATTGTGCTTTAACACGTATATGTCGGAAGGCAAATGCTATACGTGACATTGATTTCTTTCAACCTTACTACAATGTGTTCAAGGGCAAATTAGTAGAGTGTCTACGCAATATAAAATAAGCATTTTTTCTTTTTTAGTTAAAGTATTTTTTTAATTTTGTAATAAAGGGCATTGCCCGTGTATACATTGAAAATAAATAAATAAAAAATGCCCTCAAAAACGAAGTGTTTAAAGATTATGGTGTTGAACTTTTATCGTTATTTAATAAATATTTTTCAGTTTGTTCATTAACAAACATAAGTTTATACAACATATTTTATTCTCGAAAAGGATAGTACAAATTGTATTCATACCAAAAATTTTATTGAAACACATACAAAATTGAACATTTGGCAGTAAGTTAAAAATAACATTTTAATTAGAAATTGGTTTAAGAAATAATCAGTTTTTAAAATTTATTTTTAAAAAATATAAATTTTACATCTTTTTCTAAAAGGTAAAAACTTAAAAAAAAGTTTGTTTAAAGTTAGTTGAAATAGGGACACATATAGCAGGTTCGTTGCGATATCAAAGAGGTTTGCTATATGACAGAGGTGTCCTTTATTTCAACCAAAATTCGGGGTGTATTTTTTTCCACTAATCCAACTTACTTACAATTATTGTACTTTATGAAATTAAACAATATGTTTTTTCATAATTTTTAAATTTGCCATTGTGGTAATTTTTAAGAATCGTGAATTAAAATAAAGAAAATAATTTAATTTTCTTTTTGGTCAGTTACAAAAAACTATAAAATTTAAATTATTGAACTCTATTGAAAAACACGTTTACATCCTAATAGATGAACTCTTCTACTACCAGCTCGACAAACTTTAGCAGGCGCAGTTACAATCACAAAACCGATCCTCCTACATTTTAACTCAAAAGTGCCTTCTTTAGTCGCAGTTAACTCATAGGAATCTGGAGTACATGGCAGTCCATATTCGTTAATTTGATAACAACTACCTTTAAATGGAACCATACCATCTAATGCACATGGATTTGTTTCACATTTCGGATAACCTTCTCCTGGAGTAAATATTAAGTAACTTCCTAGATGACAAGGACCTTGCCTATAAGGTTCATAACAATATCCATTTAAGAATATAAAATCCTCATAACACTTACAGAGATAGTTTGACGGATAATGACTCGAATATAAATACGCATTTTGTGGACAGATTTTGGACGAATTCTGAAATTACATTCGTAAAGATTTACAACATAAAACAGTAATAAAAAAACATAACATTAAAGACCAGAATTACAACCAAGAATGATTTTTTTTAAAGAAATTAATCAAATAAAAGTAATTAGTTGAAATAAGTGACAAACTAATTTTTTCAAAAAATTTAAATATTCCTAAGTATCTTGTGTATTAATATAAAGAGTCCTCTTTCATGCTCATTTTAGATTAAAGTAGATTAATTCAAATTTATAGTACTATTCTGTTTTTAATAAAAGTTACCTGATTATCATTTATTCCTAAATACTTGGAGTCATCACATTGTATTTGAAAATTTTTATTAATTCCTAAATAAGTGTTATTATTACTGCATGGGTATCCATATCTCCACGGATAGTAGCAATGTCCATAATAAGGAACAAATCCATCAATGCGACAAGGATTTCCATCTTCAGGATTATATAATAGATCATCTATACAATCACAAAATTGTTCATACCCATTTTTATTTTCTTCCCAGAAAAATGTCATATTCTTAGGACAATATTGGTAATAACTCTGTAAATTGTAAAATACTAGGCATTATTCTGATATTATCTCGACTGCAACGTTGACTATGTAAACACATATGCAACATCATTGGTAAGTTCTTATATTTTCAAAGTACATGTTGTTGTCAGAAACAAGAACATGAACAAGATGTTGCACAGGTGTATGCTTACAGTACCTCCACATTACTATTTGACTCGTTTTGCGTCCCGAAATTGACATTGAGCTCTGCTACAGTCTAAAATAATTACAAAAAATGTAGCGAATCTGATTGGAGGTGATGGTCATATCGTTGTTAAGGAATTTGTACGATTTTTTGCTAAAAATGCATAAAAAGTGATCGTTTCCTTATAGATGTGTAGCACGCAAAAATTGACCATAATTCAAAATACTTTTTGAAGAAGATTGCTTGACTTTATATTGATGCACATTACTTCTTAAACACACTATATTCTCAAAAGTACCTACATTTTGCTGACATGACAAATAAAATTTTATTTAAAATTTTTCATCAAAACGTCAATTATATTGATGATTTTGCTCACATAAGTTAGATCGAAGACAATGCAGACAATCCCTACATGGAAAATAGTTTCAAACAACATTATCATTTAACACTAAAAGACAAATGTAATTGATATTAATTTCTAGTTATAGGTTTTGTTTCGTTGCTTGCTAAAGATTAAATCATAAACTGAAATCAATATCTCTCTAAGTTAATTTATATTCTGTATTTACAAATAATTTTTGTTATATCATTTAATCTGTTATGACAGTATGCTTAGTAGTGAACTAAGTTTATCAAATATATCTATAGATATGTTGGCTAGCAGATCTTAGCGGTCATTTTTATATTTATATTTCTAAAATTTTAATGATATAATAATTATTTTTTATACACTTATAATGAATAAAGATTCTAAGGCTTTTAAAAAAATTACTAATAAATAATCGCAAGAGGATTATATATAAAAACATTTAATTCTTATTTTAAATTTTTTTATTCATATTCTCATTTCAGTAAATATTAAATTATTTGCAGTGTATAACTGCAGTTACATTAGTGTTGCCATGTGATTTTTTTAAAAACATGTAATATAAAATTAATTTTTTACACAAATAGTATAATTATCAACAATCAGAGTAAAAAAATTGGGTTTTCAAAATTATGTCGCTGTAGAATAATATAGGAGCTAATAAATTGAATAATTATAAGAGCCATAAAAACAATTTATTAATTAAACAATTCACATACATATATACACATTGATTTAAATATTGTTACAAAATGATAAAAAGATAAAATTTGCAGATCTTGACTATCTACCATAAGGCTCATGATATAACTGTCGATAAAAGGTATTATGAAACAATATGTCGAAATTACAGAAATCCCTTCTCCCCGAAAAGTACCTACAGTCAAAATAAGCGCGTATATTTAAAGTCATATAATGACAGTTTGACACAATTAAATCCAACAAATAAAATGTTATTCTTTACTTGAAAACAAATAAAAAATCTTATTTTTTCGCATGGTGACCTTGAACTAAGTTTAAATCAAAGATCAAGCCGAAAGATCACTCTTGTAACAACGACGAAAATCGCAGTAAAATATGTATATTTTGTTGCAAAAAGAAAGGTTGCAATGGTATATAAATGGCTATAAAGCCGATGACAAATGGTTACCAAACGGAATTTGTAGTATGCGCCTTAATAAATTGTATAATTCGAAGAAGACTCAGCAAAAATTATTAGACTCTCCAAATATATCGTTTTTTCAATATAAAAATATTAACACAAGATCATCGAATCAATTATTATGTAAATATTCAATTTGTTAATTGGCTCGGAAATCTCCTGATAATTTTATACCGAGTAAAACTTTAGCACTTAAGGGTAATGCTTCTACAAGGGTTCCAAATAAATTAAAGGTATTTTAATTGCATACTAAGATTTTTTAAGTAATAAATGTATTTTTTATAATTTATAGGGAATGTAAGGTATCGTGGCGGACTTGTCAAATCTGACATGTAACGTCACATCTGAAATGCCTTATCACTGTGGTCGATGTCTTTTGTCGTGTTGACATTTTATATGCAGTAATATTAATGAGCGGACATGTGCTTTATTTGTACTCTAAGTGATTCTGAATAAAAAAGTAGTGAAAAAAGTAAAAAGTGTTATTGGATATTTGTGTTAACAGTGCCAGAGTGAAGATTTTTTGATAATTGAGTCAAATAAATGTATGGAACGTATTATTTAGACCTTGGACAACAGTTATTGGTATTTTACATTTTGCTCATTTTGCGCTGTATGAAAGTGACACCATCATATTTCCAACAATAGCTTGTAAGGTATGATGGCGTAATTTTTACAAGGTACACTTGTGTTCATCGATGCCTTCTCTCAGGGAAGGCACAAATTTGACGAGTTTTACCCACTTTCTATATTCTTTATAGTTCGTGTCAATAATGTCAACAGAATTCTGCTTTTCCATTGGCTGATTTTTTAGGCAGTATAGAAGGTAGGCAAACTTCGTGAAATTAGTGCCTTCTCTGGTAGAAGGCATCGATAAGCACGAGTGTACAGTGTCGGATCATTTTTTTTGCACCAATTTCAATTGTCTTTGCATTTTTTGTGTACTAATGCCTCTTGTGCTCAAACGCAACAATTCACGAATATGTGACACTTGCGGTCGAGAAGTTCATGCTAGTTCCGTTAAAACATTCACCAGCTACTTCACATGTCCAAATTGTAACAATAACTTAAGTCAAACTTTTTTTCTATAATTTAAAATCATAAGTTTTTTCTCTTTTTGTTATTTTTCATCTTTTCTAGTAGTTTTAATAAATGATTTTAACATCTATATAGTATTTTAGTTGAATATATAAATCAGCCACCATACCTTACAACTTTCGAAAATAAAAAAATCAATGTTTTACCCCAAGTGAAAAAGTTTCTGGAAACTAGAACTAGAAATTTCCGGGAGTCACTCTCGAGAAATTCTCTGGACTCTCCCAGGAAATTCCAGGGAATTTCTTAGTAGAGACTCCCAGGAAATTCTCGATCTAACTCCCGGAAACTATTACACGTGTGACGGGACTTTTCTAATCACATGCCAGGAATATCAAACATACACCCAGAATATTCGTGGAATATCCATAATTTTTTCAATATATCCCAGGGATATCTATTTGCTGTACAAATACATCAATATTGACATCTCTACTTCAGATTAATAATTTGGAATCATGTGAATCCGAAAATACTAAATGTGATAGAAATTGAGTCCATGAAAATTATTCGAACTCCAAAATAAATTATTCGTCAAAGACCTCTTGTTTTCATTTTGAAAAAATTATTGTTACAAAATGTTGACTTTAAAATTAGAAGCAATTTCTTTCTTTTACAAAAGATACTCACGAGAATTGAAGGGCTGGCTGCAATAAGGGAACGAACGCGAGACTTGGAAGGGATACTACTAGTCGGCTGGCAGTGACAAGCCTTGAGCCGCTCACTGTTACCTGACTGGTATTATCCATTTCAACAACGCGTTCGTCCCCTTATTGCAGCCAGCCCTTCAATTATTAATGATGACCTATTTCTGTTAGATAGTATCCAAGCAAAATGTACAAACAAACATTTTAAACAAATACATAACATTTTTTCATAGTAAAAGACGGATATTTAAAATTTCTAACTATTTACAGAGGCAATCTATGTCCATATCTAAGAATAATATATATTTTTTTTTAATTTCACTATAAAGTTCTCTTTGTCATGTAAAAATTTTGCTTAAATAGAGTTCACTTCGCCTACAAAAGAGTCAGATATTAGGAAGTATAAATTACATCCAAATATGAAAAAGTATAAATATTACTTCCTGTTGAATACAGCAAATAATTATGAAGTTTATAAAGTGTAGTTTTTGTTTAACATTCTCTGCTATAGTCATTCTTGGAATGTCAGCCCCTGGAAGTTATACTCGGGGATTAATAAAGTACCTAAAAAGGTAATCGAAACTACATCAGGCAATGTTTATCGTTGATGATCAATTTCTTAAGAATTCAAGCTAAAGCGTCAATTTTCTCATCACTGATGTTTCTAAACACTTTCCATCATTTAGTACTAGTTTGACTAATCTGCAGATTGGTTTACAAAAGCACTTTCCACCTTCATCTGAACCACCTAGGCGAACGACGCTATTTATCATGATTCTTGATGACAATCAAAATGACACCTGGGTTCATGTAGCACATACACTAAACCAACTGAAACAGTTATCTAATGGACATTCTTATCCCAGATGTTTGATTAATTTACTTTCTCAAAAAGAAAATCACTTGATCAAGGAAAATCTAACACTCTCATGGTCCGAAGATTTTTTAGACATTGTACATTCACGAGAAGAGCAACAGTTATTGGAATTCAAAGTACGTAGACAACCCATCATGCATGAAATCAATCCTTTTGCAAAAACCTACAGAACTCAAAAAGTAATAGCGCATACAAAATGGTTGTCAAACAAGCTTTTAAATTTTCATGGACAACCCATAAAATTTCTACTCTCAGTACTTATCAGTGCCAGCACACTTTCTACAATCTTACACCAAAAAAATTTGATGTGATCTCAAATCTAATAGATTTACCAAGTGCAGAGAATGGTTTACGAATAAATCCACTGATACGTATTGTGGACTCTGATGTTATACAAGCTGTGATTCCAATTACCTCCAAGTTTACTAAGATTGTCGTAATAATAAAAGAATTCATGTATATGTTGCTTACAACCAGTGTTGCAATTGCTGCTATTCGAATCGTAGCATGGATTTTGAAATTTATTAAGGCCTTTCTCCAATAGGTTCCCAAAACTATGCGTTTGTCTGCGAATGACTGCGTTGCGTTGATTTTAGCACATGTTGCCATAGCAACCGACGCAACGCAGAGTTTTGGGAACCTATTGGATAACCTTTAGAGAAACTTGTCAAACTTTCAACATCATTCAAATTATAATGGGAATGTCGATTACCAGAAACCCTGAGAAGCAAACAGAAAAAATAGTTTTTGGTAAGTGAATGTTGAGTTGCATTGTTTACTCAGGGTACTTGTACTCAGTGATCTTGGACTTCTCTTTGCGATCCGTGCCACAAATTTCAAGTCTCAAAGAACTTACAATCTCATCTCTAACTCTATTTACTAATCCTGCTTTTGAAAAATATTTGCTGAAAAGTCCTATTTCATATATTCGTAAAATAGGCACAAAAATAGGAAATGTTTCTAGCATAAAAAGCAATAACGACTGCTTCGCTTTTTTAAAAAACTATGCAAATGTATCTTGTATTTCGTTAAAGAAATCTATGTAGAAACTTTTTCAACAAGAAATTAAATTTAAACGCAAGAATACTGCAGGAACCTGTGGGGTATTATGTTATTTCCTGGATAGTAAGAAATGGTTCTCCTTATATTGATCGTTTTAATGAAGTGATACTTAGAGCATCTTAGGCCGGTTTATTGCATCAATTTCTGGAGCAAGGTATTGAAAAGCCAAATATGATTTTACCTCCAAAAGAAGTCAGTAACGAAAAATTGCTTCTAATTGTCTCTTACTTGCTAGCTATCGGATACTCTTTTGCAATAACAATTTATATTGTGGAAAATATGAGCGTTATTAATTGA